GACATGACAAAATATGAATTGGATATTATGGATGAATAATTTAGCCAAAAATTACCAAAAACCGGGGGAATCGGCTATTAACCCGTAGTGAACAACGCTGATTAAAAATATTGCTTAGTCTAGGAAAGACGTCTACTATAAAAGCAAGTATAAAAACAGTCGTTATCATCAGTCAGTCTTGATTATCTTCTGACAGTTAACGTCTGTCTTTCGTTATTTCCGTGTTTACTCTCCTCATTTATCTTTTTTACAATAAACCCACGCTATTCTGATTTTACTTTCAATTTTTTCTATTTTTAGATAAATTTAAAAATGTTTTATTCTCTACCAGTTGAAGTTCAATTTGACGTCTTAAAATGTCTTAATTTCAATCAATTATTTTCTGTTAAACAAACCAACTTTTACCTGCGCAATTTAATTAATAAATATGAAAATGGATTGGCTCGAATGGAATTTGGTCGGCTCGAAATTGTAAATATTTATTAACTTGCTAGTTTCCATCCACTATCAAACAGGAATAGATTTTGACAATCATTCGAAAGAGCTTTCCGAGCTTCATTGGGTTCGTTTCAACTGGTCATAACCGAGTCCATTTAAATCGTATTGAGATGACTTTGGGATCCAAGGAGTCTTTCGAACTTCCCAACGAAATTTGTCAAAATCTATTCCTAATTATAAACTCGCTTTAATTTTTATTTTAGGATAATTACGACTTGATAAGTTTCCAAGAAGAGGGTTATAAAATTATTGCACCTGAATCTGTAATTTCTGAATTTATTTTGAATGATCAACTTTTGGAGAAGGTGTTTAATTGATTTCAATTAATTAAATTTCAATTTATTTTTCAGTGGGAAGCAGGGATAGCTAAAGAAATTCCGTTGTTTTTACATAACATTGAATATTATAATAAATGCACAGAATTCAGTATTCGCCTGGACAGACCCAATTATCTTTTAATGATGCCAAACGTTCCAAAAAATATTGAAGAAATGATTATTATTCGATCTGGGTTAAAACAACTTTCTAATTGCTCTGTTAAAGTAGTAAGATTTCTTTTTACCATATTTAATCCAGAAATGCTCAGTTTATTTGATGACGACAAAACAATTTCCCCTCAATTCAACATACAAGAACCTTATGTTATTTTTAAAAGCGATACATTCGACAATTTTTTGAAATTCACTTTAAATCATCTGGTCAATTCAACATATCTTACTTTAAATATTTTTAACATCACAAATTTTGAGCAATATACTGATATTTTATTCAATATTTTAATAAACGAAGGCAATAAATTTTCAAAAATTGTTGTACGATCTCCTGTATTTCCAAGGCTTTATGATCTTATTGTTGAAGTAAATTGTTTATTTAAAATTAAAAATAATTTTTAAATATTTTAGTATATAATAACTTCCAAAGATTGTTCAAAAATGGTGTCTGAAATTGGTTTGGATGTTCCTTTTCAAGATTTTAAATTAGACAAGAGAGCAGAAAATGTTCAAAATCGTTGGGAATCGAGCCTTATTAGATACCAAATTGCCAATATTTACAACCCAAAAGTGAGATTTTTGTTCAATAAGTTGAGTTGTTCAGTTTTTATAGAAAGAATGTAGAGAGATGATGTGATAAATTTTCATAGAACTTATATTATTTACAGGGATGGGACGGGTTGAGAAAAAAGTCGGGTCAAGTTTCAGATCGGATTTTCAAAATTTTCTTCTGATCGGGTTTCTGATTTTGGTTCGAAAGAAGTCCGGGTTTTGCGAACATGTCCCATCCCAAACATTACCCAAAATTTTGTAATTAATTGTGTATTATTTTTTTGTTAAATTATTTTTTTTGTTTTATAAAATATATTTTATTAGATTTTTAACTATCTATTTTATTAATAGTTCAATTCCTAAAAATCTTGAGACTGAAAGATGTTTTTTGCTTTTTTGCCGATTGTTGCCGAAATTGTAGGTAAAGAGGTCTAGTATAAAAGCAAGTATAAAAACAGTCGTTGTTATCGTCAGTCGTCTCGTCAACAGTTGACAGTCTTGTCTGTTTTTCTTTGTTACCATGCATTACTCTCCACAGTGTAATTTTTTTATGGTAAAATCGCGTATTCGAATTTTTCAGATAAATTTAACATTTGGCATTCTGTCATTAATTATTCTGTCATTAATCTTTTTTTACAATAAAATCGCGTATTCTGATTTTAAATAATTCAATTTTTTATTTTTAGATAAATTTAAAAAAATGTTTTATTCTCTACCAATTGAAGTTCAACTTGACGTCTTAAAATGTCTTAAATTCAACCAATTATTTTCTTTCAAACAAACCAACTTTTACCTGCACAATTTAATTAATAAATATGAAAATGGATTGGCTCGAATGAAATTTAGTCGTCTTGAAATTGTAAATATTTATTAACTTGATAGTTTCCAATACTATCCGCCGTGAATAGATTTTGACAAATAATAGTCAGACAAAGGGGCTTTCCGAGCTCGAATGGCAACAGGTCGATCTAGAAATTCTTAGACGTTATGACCAAATGAAACTTCACTGGGAATTCTGGAAAGTTCCGACGTTTTTTGGGTTCGGTTCCGGGATTCGGAACTCAACTTGGATCCGGTTCCAGTCAAAATGTCGGTTCCGGCGAAACACTAGTATACAATGACCTGTTTGCTATGGCCTCCGTTTCTTCTGGCCATAGCTATGTCCATTCAAGTTGTATTGGGATGACTTTAGAATCCAAAGCGCTCTTTGAATTTCCCCGCCGAGATTTGTCAAAATCTATTTCTGATGAGTATAATTCACTTTAATTTTTATTTTAGGGTGATTACGACTTGATCGCCTCCCGAAAAATTGGATTCACAATTATTGTGCCTGAGTTCCGGAAACTCAAATTGGATCCGGTTCCGGACAAAATATCGGTTCCGGTGAAACAACCTGTAACTTCTGAATTTATTTTGAATAGACAACTTTTGAAGAAGGTGTTTAACTAATCTTTAATTAAATTTAATTTATTTTTCAGTGGAAGACAGCGATAGCTGAATCAATTCCTTTGTATTTAAACAATTTTGAATTTTACAGAGAAGGTGCGGAATTCAGTATTTATTTGAAGCCAAATTATCTTTTAAAATTGCCAAACATTCCAAAAAATATTGAAGAAATGCTCATTATTCGATCTGGGTTAAAACAACTTTTTAAATGTGCTTTTAAAGAAGGAAAATTTGGAGAAATTGTATTCAATCCACAAATGATCAATTTATTGTTTGATAACGACAAAACAATTTCTCCTCAATTTAAAATACAACATACGAGTATTATTTTAAAAAACAATACTTTCAATAATTTTTTGAAATTCACTTTAAATCATCTGGCCAATTCAACAGATCTTATTCTAGATATGTCTTACATCCCAAATTTAGAGCAATATACAGATATTTTATTCAATATTTTAACAAATGAAGGCAATAAATTTCATTGGGTTTATTTTTACCTTTATGGATCGACAAGGCTTTGTGATCTTATTATTGAAGTAAATTGTTTGTTTAAAACAGAGGTGGGTCGGAATTCCGATTTCCGGCGTCTTCTCCTTCCGATTTCCGAAAAAATTGATTTCCGAGTTCCGCTTTTGAGCCAGTTCCTATTTCCGGCTCTTTCGATTTCCGACACCTCTGACTGTTCCGACCCACCTCTGATTTAAAATTAAAAATAAATTTTAAAATTTTAGTATATAACAACATCCAAAGATTGTTCAAAAATGGTGCCTGTCATTTTTTTAGATGACAATGATTACCCAAATTCTAAATTAAAAAAATTAGCAAAAAATGTTGAAAAATATGATGATTTTATCACGTATCAAATTGCCAATATTTACAATCCAAAAATGAGATTTGAAGTTAACCGTTTTTGTCGTTCAATAACCATAGGAAGAATGTAAGAGGGAAAAAATTTTGAAAAATTGTTTAAATCCGTCGTTTTTTATTTGACAAGTCAGGCGCCGACTTGGTCGATTCCTGTTGTTCAAAAGAGATTATAGAGCTTGAGCTAGTAATGTTAAATTAGCCTGCAAGAGCAGCAATAAGGACTTTTCGATCAAGTCGGAACTTGTCCTTGTAACAAATCTTATAAAAAAATTATTGCGCATTTTTTCGTTAAATTATTTGTTTTCTTTTATTTATTCGAAATTAAAAATATACAACGAAATGGAGTCCAATAACATCGTTGTCGAATAAATTTAAATAAAGTTTAAGTAAAAAAATAAAAGGTCATAAATGGGAGGTCAAAGGAGAATTTTAGCTATTCTATTAATGCTTTAATATATATCAAGAAACAGAAATTTCTTGATATATATTTTTTCGACCAAAAATATAACAGAAATTAGAACTCGCAAAAATATAAAATGAACACAGAAAGATATTGAACAAATAAAATGATCATCACAATATTTAAAGAAAGAAAAAATTAAATTAAAAATCTGAATTGGGAAAAAAGGGGAAAAGCTTAAAATGTTTGTAAAAATATTTTTAAAAAAATAATAAAATTAAAAATTATCTTCTTGTTGCTCCAATTTATATTTGAGGTAAACTGTAGAAAGAAATTTATTCCCAAGTGTATATAATGCCTCGATTTCCAACTTGCAATTACTTGATAACATAACGGCTAGCTATAAATAGAAAATAAATTATAGGGATGCAAAAACAATTAGGATCAGTCTAATTAAGAAAAAAATTTCAATGGAAATTAAGGAAAAATGGGATAAATACACTCAACTTGCACTTAAAGGGAGAATCAGGTTCGATGCCTGACGGCAGTTGGTGGCCTTGGTGGCTTTTTTGGTTGTATTCCCTTTGTAACACTTAAGCGGTACGCCCCGAGGGGGAAGGCAATAGGATCTGGCTTTGCTTGTAAATCCAAAAGCAGAAAGGTATTGACTTAGCCACTAACAATATATAAATCCTAAATACCCTCTTCGTCATGCAAGTGCATAAATTGCCTTTATAGTTGATTTAATTACGCCAAAAAATTTCTCTCAATTGGACCCTACCCTTTAAAATTAAAAAATCAACCTCATCAAAAACAGCATTTTCTTCCAACAATAAAACTCGTTTACTCAACTTTTCAATCCTTCGTTTATCGGAATTTGTTAATTTAAGTAACTGATTTTCCGGCACAGACAAATTATTTGCTTCAGAAGGCAAAAAACCAATCCATTTAAGTTGAGGTAAAGTAATCCCTCCAGATTCAATCCAAGAACGATCAGAGCCGTATTTGTAGGTTAAAAAGATTTCAATGCCTTTTTAGAAAATAAATATTTTTTAAAATTGTTTTTAGAAAAAACCATAAGGATCGGCATCAGTTAAAATAAACATGGGAATATTTGGTAATTGAGAAGCTAGCCAATTGAGAAATTGTCGAGTACAAATGTCAGGATAACCGCGGCCCTTAAAATAAATTATTAGAAAGTAATGATTTATAACTAATTATGCGGACAACATCTTTAAAAACGATCTTAAATTGAGAGTATCTTAAATAGTAGAAGTGAGGACTGAACGTATAAACCAGGGATGTGCTGAAATGGATTTTAAAAAGCGGAAGGCGAAAGTCATTTCAAAAAAGCGAAGGACGAAATTACGAAAATAATTTTAAAAAGCGAAAGACGGGAGGCCAAAGTCCGTAAAAGGTGGAATTTTGGCGAAATGGCACACCTCTGATGTAAACATGTTAAAAACACTACTAAAATGATAATGAAGGGAAGAAGAGAGATCCAGCTAACTAACATTAAAATGTTTACTAGATGGGGGCTTAAGATCTATACAAGGTTAAAAAGTAAGTTATCTGTAGAGCACCTTTACCCGGTTATCGAAAATGCCTAGCAAAAATTACCAAGAGGTTGCAGGATCGATGCCCGCCCCAGGCTAAGCACCATTCTCTTATTAAAATTAAAATTCAAAAATTACAAACCGTTACAAGAATAGTTTTTGGAAACATTTCCATAAATTTTTCATCCAAAAGGTGTTGAAAAACACTATCCTTCTCCAAAATCAAAATTGCTGTAGCATCAGACTCGGCAAAATCAAAATTAACAAGTGACTCATTTAAGGCGATCATTCCAAAACGAAAATTAATTTCATTATCATCCAAAGCATTTAAAAGTCTAAGAGATCCAATTGCAAAACCTTTACTACAACTTATCTTTAAAAATTTAAATTTAAAAAATTTTTAAAACATACAACATGTAATTCACTTCTACTAGCCATTAAAAAGTTACAAACAGCAGTTAAAGCTCTGTCAAAGTTTGATTGTTGTTCATAAATCTTTTTTGATTCGTAGAATAAATCGCTTAATTAAAAAAATTATTTTACTGAAATAAAAGTTTTTTGAAAAGGAGAAATTCAAAAATATTTTATGTCTACTTAAACTAACAATAAGTCTACCAAAGAATAAAAAGGCAGTAGCATCTTCTTATTATTAAAACATCTTAAGCAGCTCGACGAGATACGTGAATCATGCTGTTGTCTAAATCAACCTTTCATAATTATAGGCTCACAATTGTCAGTTATTAGCTCTGCAGTAGCTGGGCTAACAATAAGGTAGAACGGAGTGGCCTTTTGACAATTTTGTATTTTAAGGTACTTTAACCCTTTCCTTTAAAAATTCTTAAATCTGGTCAAAGATCTATTCATCCAAATTCAAAATTACCGTTTAGTTGCATGTCGATTCTCAACGAGAAGTTCATATATTTGAGCCAAAACACGAAGTCTAAAAGTTAACAAACGTTTTGAAGTCGTTCCCAACAATTCAACAGAATTTCTTGAAAATTCATTATCAACAGGATTGGAGGTGTCAGAATCTCCACTGGTACTAGATTGTTGCTGTTCATTGTCTTCAAAATCCCAATCTCCATTTTCACCTTCTTCGAATGGATCGGCATCTTCTCCCGAACTTTAAAAAAAATTAATAAAAAATATTTTCAAAGAAAAAAATAACCTTTGATGTGGACGTTTTAAAACTCTTCTCATTGAATATCTTGTAGTTTCGTGAGCATCTGCAGAACAAAGATTCATTGTAAAATGGACAAAAGCACCCTCAATCATTTCTATTAATTCCTCCCTGCGTTGCTCATTTAAAGACATTATTCTTGAAAAAGTGTTTATTAGTAAATATAGTAGAAAATAAAAGTTCAAAAATAAATATAAAAATATTATTAGAATAGATAGAGATCGAGATTTTTAAAAAGCTTGGACTCTGGAGTTTGATTTATTGACCTGGGTCGGATCCCGGGCCTGTAGCCAGGAAAAACCCAGGCCCAGGAAAAACTCAGGAAGGTCAAAAAATGCCTGGGCCTGGACACTGGGTACAGGAAAAACCCAGGCCTTGTCCAGACCAAGCTCGATCACTAATAGATACTAATATAATTAGAAAACAAAAAAAAAATAAATTTTTAAAATTTTATAAAAGTAAAAATTTAAATTAAATTTAAAAAAAGAGAAAAATAAAAATACAAAATTTAAGATTTTGTTGGATAAGTCCTTTGACCAAAAATTTCAGAACCTACACGAACATTGGTACTCCCATATTTAATTGCTTTAAATAAAAAATTTTAAAATAATAAAAAAAATAGTTATACCAAGTTTATAATCAGAAGACATTCCCATACTTAATTCAAAAGTTCGTTTTAGTCTAGCTTTCAATCCATCCCTCAATTTAACTAATAATTCAAAATCAGAATTAGTTTCTTGATTTTTGCTTTCGGATATTGAACCAATTGTCATTAAACCTGAAAATGAATTAAAATATAAAAAATTTTTTTTGAATGGTTCGCAAACTAAGGAGTCAGCAAAAAAGGAAACTGACTGTTATGAAATGGAGTAAGTCATCATTAGAGGACGTCGGAATGGCAAACAGTAGAAATAATTTCGAAAACAGGACAGTGGCGTTAATTTGATTGGCTGGCTTATCATCTCAAACAGCAAGCTTGAAAAGAAAGGGCCCAGATAGAAAAACACCAATCCACCCCAATTTTTCTCAAAAGAAAAAAAATAAATTACCAATAAGTGAAAGATTTGAACATTTCCATTCCACATGGTCAACTAACTCATCAAGTCCTTCAGGCTCCACACCTCCTTTATTTTTCTCACCACTTGTGTTCACTTTAAATTTGAATAAAATTTAAAAAATAATTAAAACAAAAAACCTTGAATAAAAACTTTCAAAGGCTTTTCATCTTTACCCAAAATAGATTGAAGCAAATCGGCATGCTTTTTATTGTCCAATGTTTCAATACACCATAAGCCAGGAATCTCACAAATTTTTTTGAGCTTAATTGAATTTTAATAATTCTATAAAATATCAAAAAAACTTTATTAGATTGTAGCCTTCCAATAAAATGCCAATTAATATCGTGAACTCCACGAGAAACCAATTCTTTAGCTTTTGATTCCAATTCATCTATATAATTTTCTCCAAAATGTCTTTGACCTTTTTCATAACACGCAAATATTGAGTCAATAGGGAATGTCTAGAAAAAATTTTTATTTGGAAAATGAGAAAAATTTTTCTGGACTTGTAGCAGAAGCTGATCGAAAAAATAACGAACGTTGGGAATTGAAAATGACCTAAAAATCGGAAAAAGAAACATCTAGGAAAGACATGAGACTAATTAGCCTTTTAAATCTTTAACTCAACCTTAGAAACAGCAACCAATCGAACATCAATAGAATATATCGCAGCCAATTCATGAACACTCTTCAAAACATTCGATAAATTTTTGGCCACAATTTCCGCTGCCATTAGAGCAAAAACAAAAATTAAATATCAAAAAGTAAAATAATTTTAAAAATAATTATTTTTAATATAAAAAATATCAGAATTTAAAAAAAAAGAAAGAATATCTGTCAATTTATGCCAAATAAAATAAAAACAAATTTATCAACTCTAAAATCTAACAACATTATTAAATTCAGCAACTAATGGATCTACAGCTGCATTTCCATATAAACCGCTAAGTTGCTTTCGGGTAAAAGTAAATTTTTGTTTAGGCGGAGGAGGAGGTTTTTCTTCAGCAAAAACTCTAACAGGCGGCAAAGGACGAATTCTACGTCCTAAAAATATAAAAAAATAATTTTTTTATAAAAAAGCAACCTTGATAACAGTCTTTTGGTTTATGATCACTACCAGCCATTCGATGACCAAAACGTCTGTACATTTGGACAGAACCATAAATTTTTGATCTGAATAACAAAAAATGCTGAGGGAAAAAAAGAAGTGTTCGTATAACCTGTAATCCTCATGAGACAATTTTCCAACAGTTGCCATGCAAGTCTAAAAAAAATAAAAATAGAATTGAAGGAAAAAACAAAAAAATTTAGCCGTTCAGCGGTTAAAGAATTTTCTTGTGAAAAATTTTCCTGGGGACTTGCTAGCCCTCTTAAAAAATTTTTCTGAAAAAAATTTTCAAATTTCAACTCATTAAAATAAATTAAGCCAAACCTTTTTTAGCGCATACTCATGTTGATTAGGCATTCTTACAACAGTAAAATCATCCTGTTGTCTAACAATTTCACCACATGATCCAGCTTCGGTTATACAAACGTGCGATTTTTCAGTTGGAAAAAGTTCGACAGTATTAACAAGAGTCCCTTCCGAAAGAGCTCCTAAAAAATAAATTTATAAAGAAAAAATTCAGCATTCTCATACCTAAAGGATATGCATTTCCCTCAATGCCAGGCGTTGGATATTTTGGAATATGACTTGATGTGCTGATAATTTGGCCAGCTTTCATTCCTTGAGTAGCATAAATCCAACGTTTTCCCTTGGCGCCAGCAACTAATGCCAAATGCGGTGTTCTGTTTGGATCCTGACGCACCTCGATAACCTTCACAATTTTAAAAATATTTAATAAAATAAAAAAAGAAACCCTCTCATCATAAGTTTCTTCAGGATTTGCTGGCCCTCTTCTATGGAGATCCAACATAAAATAATCAAACCTCACACCTCCTCCAATGCGAATATTCGACTAAAATATTTTTTATTAATTTAAATATAAACCAAAAAAATAACCTTTCGTCCAGTTTCAGGGTCTCGACCTCCCATCCTTCGAATTTTAAGTGGTTTTATTGTGTATTCGTCATTTGTTACTTCTTTCAAGTGTTCAAAGTCAAAATTCAATCGCTTCTTTGGTTTTGTCCCACGAGCAGGAAAACCTCGTTGACTTGAAGCTATAATGGTCGTTGGAAGCAGAAAAGGCTGTGAAGGTTGGTAAGCATTAAAAAATTTAGTAGCAGCTAGATTAAGATAAGGAGAAAATCCACGTACTTTTAACATACTTATTAAAAGGAATAGAAGCTTAAAATTGAAAAAAAAGGAATTATAAAGGAAAATAAATAAAAACAAATCGAAAATAAACGATTATAAATATAAAAAAATAAAAATATTAATTTATTCATTTTTAAATATATTAACTTAAAATAACCCGAAAAGAAAGGTGATTTTGTGACTCTACGATTTTGTTGCTAAAGTTGACACATACGTAATTTTTATTATTTTGATTTTAATTTTTCAGATTAATTTTAACTAAAAACACGGCGGATTCGTCAGACTTACAATTAGATCATTATCTTTAAAACAAGCAGTGAGAACTTGAAGGATAGCCCCTAAGGATAGCCCCAACCCTATTAAAAATAAACTATAATACTTAATTAAAACATTTAAGGAGATTTTTACGTTGTTTATTTAAATTAACTTTTAACAGAATGTTGTTTTTGAAGTTTTAACTTCGAATTCTTTAATATTTTAACATCCAATTATTTCTTCGCTTTTTCTTTTTCTTCACGATGCCAATCATAATGTTGACTAGCTCTATTGTCCAAAGCAGTAAGTTTGGCATTGAGAACGTCAAAGTCATCAATTATCTAAAAAAATAAACTTACTGATAAACATATCCTCCAATAGCTTGCAGAGTAACCTTGAAAAATAAGTAATAATTTTATAAAAAAGTTTAAAAAATACGTTTGAAATCGCCAAAGGTGATTTACACCGTTCCCGTTCAAATTTTCCCCTTGGTGAAGAATTGTGAGCTTTCCAAATGTTCTTTACTTTTGCCTTCAAATCTTTGACTTTGCTTTGAAATTTCCCGCTTCTCACAGCCAGCTAAAATAAAAATAACTATTACTAGTACAAAACATAAAGGCACGTTGCATAGGTGTGCCCAAGGATCTTAAAAAGCGAAACGCGAAGTTTTTCTGTTTTCCTGTAACAACAGTTCAGTGTAAAATTTTTTTTTGTAAATAGTTGATTTTTCATTTCTTTTTACTAGGCTGATCTCTATTTTATGCAAAAGGTGGCAAAAGTATGTAATAGTTAATTTTTTGGGGGCTTTTTAAATTCACTTCCTACTTCGCGTTTCGCTTTTTAAGATCCTTGGGCACACCTCTGCAACGTGTCTTTATGTTTTGTACTAGTAATAGTTATTTTTATTTTAGCTGGCTGTGAAAAGCGGGAAATTTCAAAGCAAAGTCGAAGATCTGAAGGCAAAAGTAAAGAACATTTGGAAATATCACAATTCGTCACCAAGGGGAAAATTTGAACGGGAACGGTGTAAATCACTTTTGGCGATTTCAAACGTATTCTTTAAACTTTTTTATAAAATTATTACCTATTTTTCAAAGTTATTCTGCAGGCTATTGGAGGATACGTTGATCAGGTTTTTTTCTTTATATTAGTAAGTTTATTTTTATTGTCTAGATAATCGATGACTTTGACGTCCTCGATGCCAAGTTTGCTGATTTGGACAAAAGAGCGGATGAGCATTATGAATGGCATCGAGAAGAGAAACAAAAATTCAAGAAATAATTACATGTTAAAACTTCAAAAACAACATTCTGTTAAAAGTTAATTTAAATAAACAACGTAAAAATCTCTTTAAATGTTTAAATTAAGTCGTTTATTTTTAATAGGGTTGGGGCTATCCTTAGGGGCTATTCTTCAAATTCTCACGGCTTCTGTTTTGAAGATAATGATCTAAATGTAAGTCTGATGAATCCGCCGTGTTTTTAGTTAAAATTAATCTGAAAAATTAACATTAAAATAGAAAAAATAAAAATTACGTTTGTGTCAACTGGAGCCACAAAATATACATATACACAATTGAATAATTTAATAAATATATACAAATAATTTAAACTTCTTCATCGTTTTCTTCAATAAAACAAATAGACGTTCCATGGAAAGAATTTTCTTTAGGCTCAAAATAAGGCAAAGGAATGATTGTAGCCAAAGCAGTAAAGCTCATTAAATTTGGACATTGAAGATTAAAATTGTTTGTTGCAGAAGAGAGCTGTATAGGGTCCTAAAATTAAATTAATAGGGCCTAACAAAACATGAAAATTGGTAGTTTGAGTCCCTTTCCTTTTTCATGTTGGAGGAATAACAACAGGAGGAAAACAAATTTGTATGGAAATGAATACTCGCAAGGGAACATTCCGAAAAGCCACCAAAAATTTCGCGTTTTTCTTTGCACTATAGTGTAGAGGAGGGTCGATAACCTAATTAGGGCGTATCCAGGGGGTCGGTTTCGGGGGGGGGGGGGGGGGGGGCTAACACTGGGTGGGCACAAAAATTTTTGGCGTTTACCTTGGCGTTCCGGACACAAATTTTTTTGTACATAAATTTTCATCTTTTCTGCGTCGCAGGCGAAAATTTTTTTAATTTTGGAAGGCCGTAGGCCAAAAAAATTCACTTTTTTGCGCCGCAGGCGCAAATTTTAAGGATTGTGAAGCTCAAGAAGCCAAATTTCTTCCATATTTTGCGCCGCAGGCGAAAATTTTTAAAATTTAGAAGGCCGTAGGCCAAAAAAATCACGTTTTCGGCGCCGCAGGCGCCAAAAATTTGATTTTCAGCGCCGCAGGCGAAAATTTTTTAAAATTCAGATGCCGTAGGCCAAAAAAATTCACTTTTTTTGCCCCAACCCTTCCTTAAATTTTTTCCTTTTCCCCATTTCGGAAGGGGGGGGGGCTCTAGCCCCCTGGATACGCCCTTGCAACCTAATGCCAATTTTTGGCTTTTTGGCCCTGACCGCCAAATCAACAGGTTATAGCTGATCAGTTTCAGTATTTTGAAACGGCTGAGTGAGGAGACAACATGAAAAGGACTCAAATTACCACTTGTGTACGTTTTGTGAGATCTAGCAATTAAATTTAAAAAATATTAAAAAAAATTTACATTTCCAATTAAAATTATCCGTCGAAGGTCAACATTTTCTTTGCTGGAATAACTTGAAAGAATGTTTTCATACATATCCTGAGTGCAATGTATCATATAAAGAAGAGTGAAGTCATTTGGGAATGTAGAAGGAGGTGTTGAAAGTAAATCATCTGGCTAAATTTGAAGAAAATAAAAATTTAAAATTAAAAAAAAACCGGGAGAACTTGTATCCCACAACTTTGAAGAAACTCCTCTTCAATTTCCGAAGTTAAGGGATCTTGCGAAGTGACCATTTCTACTCCAAAATATTCCTTGATATGTAAAAGAAGTGCCAATTGCCATAAACTGTCTTGACTAGTGCTAATAGGTCCAATTCCAAAAACACGGATAATTGCTAAATTGTGACCATTAAGTGCTTCTTCCAGTTTAGAAAAGACAAAATGCCTAAAATTTGAAAATGAAAATTAAATAAAATTAAAGGGTACAGCCCAAAATGGCGCGTGGCCATAACAGCGCAAAGCCATAACTTGATGGAAAATGTCTGGACCTTATCAATTTTGTTACAAATCTCTTTAGCTCGTTAAGAGGAATCGTTCTATACTAAATATGGTAAGATTAGGAAATCTTGAAGCAAGTTATGGCATTGCGCCGTTAAGACCATGCGCCGTTCTGGGCGTGTCCCAAAATTAAAAAACAAACTTGAAAGACTCTGGAAAATTATTTTTAAATTTTGTAACAACAGTAGACAATTCAGCAAAAGAAGTTTTGTTGTCATTATTAGATTTGTGGGGAGTGTTAAGTATTGCTTTGCATTTTAAAGTAGAAGGAAAAGTCTTAAAGCGGCGTCCTTTGCTTCCATGTCGAATAACCAGAGTCCATTCATCTACTGATAAACCCATTCAACTAATAAATATTGGAAATTTTAGTTAAAATTAAAAGCGAAGCTTCAGAAAACAAAAAAAAATAGAAAAACAAAAAATTTAAAAATTTTTTAGAAATTTTAAAAATTATGTGACAAAATGAAAAATTTTTCTCTGTGTGGCAAAGTGTCAATATGGCAAAATGGTTAATTTTTTTCAGTGTGGCAAAATGTTCAAATTTCAGCGTAAATTTAAAATAAATGGAACGATAATAAAAAATTTTTCCGTCATCAAACTTTTTTTTGTTGGTTGTGAGTTTTATGAAAGAATTTTTGTTTCAAAGAAATTTTATGACGTATATAAATTTAATTTTAGATAAAAAGTTAATTAAAAAATAATATTTTAATGAAAATTCCTTCGGAGAAACTAAAACCTTTCACCACAGAAATTGTAAGATTTTAATTTTAAATTTTTTTCACAAAAAAATTTTAGGCACCAGAATGTTCCAAATTGATCTCCAGTTTAAAAAATGCCGGCGATTTTACAATATTCGTTAAAGGCCTTGACAATATTACTGAATGGTGCAGTGTTTTTGGAAAGGTTTTTTTTAAAGATTATGGGTAATAGTGTCGTTTCCAGTCCCTTTTTTTCGTACACAAGTTTCCCTATAACTTGGTAAAAATTGGAAGACTTTTCCTTCCTCGATCACAATTGCCTTACTATATCAAACAAAATTAAGTTTTTTATCCAGTTTTTTAGAAAGAAAGGAAGGCAATTGTGATGTAGGAAAGGAAACGTCTGTCCATTTTGTACAAATTATAGGAAAAAACTTGGGGAGGAAAGAAGGAGGACTGGAAACGACACTATTACTAGATTATTATTTCTATTTTTCAATTTTCCTTCAGACTGAACTTGGTCGTTGGGTTGATGTTTTAAACGATTGTGATGCAGTTTTGGAGGCTGCTGTGGCTTTGGCGAGTTTTAAACTTTCTTAAAAGAATTTTTAGTTTAAATTTAGGACGAAGATGAAATTATGTCAGTTGACAAAAATGAGTCGCAAGAAGCACAGATTATTTCAGTTTTACGTTTTACTTCACTTTTGTTTGAAAACACTTTTGGACGTTCCATTTATTGTTCAATGGATCGATTAATTAAACTCCTTGATTCGCGCAAAATTTGGATTGTTGTGGCAACTTTGCGCCTTTTAATGGTTGTTAGCAAGTGTTCTCGTTTTATTACTCAACATTTGAATAGTGATGTGCGACTTGAGCTTTACAGTAAACTTATGGCTATTTTAGAGGTTTTTTTTTATTTTTGAAGATTATGTTTGAGGGCCCAGACTTTGATACGTTTGAATATATTCTATTTGAAAGATCTGAGTCGAATGATTCCAAAGTCAGCCCGCGGTCTCATATATAACCAGGTTGCTGTCCGAAACCTGTGACCCGAAATGAAAACGCTTCAACCCGTACCCGAAGATTTTTTGTACCGAGGCAACACTGATATGGACGGAGTTACAATTCCCTGAAAATTTAGAAACTATGGGGTCATATATTAGCCCTCAAACCCTTCTGGGCCTTCAAACACAATTTTACTTCTATTTTTATATTTTTTAACTTATTTTCAAGATTTGGGCAGGCAAATTGCGACTTACACCTTTTGCCGAATTTTGTTCTGCTGACTTTTCTTACTCTCATGGCTTCAGTATTCAACCAATTCCTGAGATGGATGAATTTGTTGTTGATACAAATAAGGTTTTTTTAAATTGGTTTTTTATTTTAAATTTTTTTAGTCTTTTAATGTTTCTTTAAATGAATTGAAAAAATATATTTCTGAATCAACGGCAGAACTCAAAGATTCTGAAAAACAATTTGCGTTTACAAAGCTGCGTTTTCTTTATAGCATCAAAAATCAAAATGAGCGTTTTTATCAAATAATTGCTCGTCTTATTTCTTCTTCCATAATATGTAAAGTTTAAAATTAAATTTTTTTCTAATCTTTTTGTACTCTTTGTTTCATCCCCCCTCCTTTCCCCAGTTTTAGTATCATTTATTTTTTATCAGGGTTGGGGTTTTCGAGTCGGGCCGGCGTTTGAGTCATTTTTTCTGGCCTCATCTTTTTCGGCCGGTCCGACCGAGTCTTTTTCGTGCCAGAATTCAATGTCCGACTCGATCTTTAGGACCGGGCCGGATCGGGCCCTAACCCCATTCTTTCTGCCTAAGACTATCATTTTAAGTTCATTCCTATCATTATAAGTGAAATATAAGTAAAAATAAATTTTATTGCTTGATCGATCAACTATAACCAAAAATGAAAAAGGACGAAATTAATGATCTCAACTATGGGGGAGGACGGGCTATCCAAAAAGTACCTATTTTTCAACATTTTCAGTTTATTCTCGTTGTTTAATTGCCGATGATTCTCGTTTAAATGGACTTTCCAATGAACAATTTATTGAACAGTGCTGCTCTGTTTTACATTTTGAACCGACTACAAAATATCAAGCGTTGGCGGATACCCTCAAAACTGAGGCATTAAAAACCTTGGCTAGCATTGTTTTTCTTGAGAAGACCAAAAAGTTTGATTATTTTTTAAATAATATTTTTGGGAGCAGACCAATGTACGCGAGCCCAATGTACCGCACAACCATGATTTGTTTCAAAATTATAGAATCCGGGACGCTCTGGTATGGTTCGATTCAGAACACCGAGGCGCATCGAACCATACCAAGATGCCTCGGATTCGATAATTTTGAACCAAGTTATGGCTTTGCGTTACATTGGGCTCGCGGTATATCGGGATGTACCTATATTTTTTAGAATTCAATTTATTGTTGACACTCTTGGTTTGAAAACCTATCACGGTTTTTGCCCGTCACTTCTTCGAAATTGTATTGAACGCCTTAAGGCAGGCAAACTTGAGGCGAATGGGGATCTTTCTGCCGCTTTTGTTACTTCTCTTTTTTCTCTTGTTTATCATGTTGCGGGATTTGAATATGGTTTTTTACTTTTCTTAAATCAATTTTTATTTGTTTGTAAGGTGGAGATGCTCTCAATCGTTCTTCTTTGGTGCCCGTTCTTTTAGGCGTTGTCAAAACCTATTCACTTCCTGAACAATATATTAGCTATGTCACTCGTTCTGTTCGTATAATTGACATTTTAACGGGAATTGACGTTGCCCAATTCAATTCTAATGGTGGAACTGATGCGATTATAAAGAGATTTTCGGTTTGTTTCATATTCTTATTAATTTAAAATTTTCGTTTTTTATTCTAGCACGAGGTTGACCAATGCAAAACACAAATATCTGAACAAACAACACCAAATACGACACTTCTTTGCAGTCAACAACGCGCTGCTTTAATGAAATCTTTGTTAAATTTTATAAAACGAGCAGTGATTGATGCAAACCTTGCAGTCCAAATGCGACGAATAATGGAAACAGAATTTCCACAATCTCTAATTTTCATCATTCAACATTCACAATATTTTGGGTCTTCTCTTTTGCATTGCACAGTGTCGTTGATTACAAATTTTATTTATCAAGAGGTATGATTTTCTTAAAATAGTTTTATATTTTAAAATTTTTTCAGCCTGCCCAGTTAACAATGCTTCAAAATATGAAATTAACTGATGCTTTGATGAATTTAATTTTTGATGAAAAGGTTGGATTTTTTATTTTTTCCTTGGTCTCTGATGATTAAGGAAAAAACGCTAGCCAGAACTTGCAAGTTTGGTAGTTAGTGTCTCTTTTCTTTTTTATGTTGTTTCCTCAAGAATTTATTTTCTTTATGTATTTTCCTCATCTTATCATTCTTCACAACATTAAAAGTAAAAGGATTTAACTACCAACTTTGCATGTTTTGGCTAACAATAAGACTACTTATGATTTTTTTCTAAATTTTAGTTGCCAATTTCAAGAGATCTCGTTTGTGCATTACCAAATGTCTGTTCTGCTTTGTGCCTTAATGAACGCGGCCATAATGAATTCAAACTCTATAATAATCAAAAACCTTTGGAAAAAATATTTAGAATTATTTTTTCAAATAAATTTTTGCTTTCAATGCGTAAACGAAAAACTGAAATACGTGAGTTTTGTGGAAAATATAGTTTTAATTTTTGTCGTTTCTAGTTGAAACTGCTCATATGCTTGGAACATCTTTTGATGAATTAATTCGACACCACCCTGCTTTAAGAAAAGATGTTATGGGAATACTTTCTGAGGTTTGTTTTCTGTTTTTTTGTAGTTTATTTTCTTCGTAGATTCTTGAAGAATTGCTTCAATCTGCTACTAGCGAAGATAAAAGTGTTTCTTGGAGTATGGGGAAGGCTGTTATTGAAGATGATTCTGTTGAGCATGTTTTGCTTGGTGATTATATGGCAATTATGGGAGGTTATTTTTTGTTATTTTTTTGGAGAAATTAAAAGGTTCCTTTACCATTTAAGTGATGATTGAAACAATTTTGTCAAATCGAAATGTTCAAGACAACATTCAAACTATAAATGAATTAAATATTCCTGTTCGTTTAGTTAAATTATTGAGTGAGGCTAAGAAACCACAAACGGTTTTACTCAATTCAAGTTATCTTCCTAATTTGGCAAATATTTTGTGTTGTATTTTGGTATGAGATTTGCGTTTAAAAATGTTTCTAAAATTTTTTTAATCTAGCGACAAACTTCTAAAGTTGACGACGCTTTTTCTTATCTGCTAGAACGTTGTTCTTTTGAATTGTCTGCATATTCAACAGAAATTGAATGCCAACAAGAAAAACTTTTTCAATTGATTCGACTCAGTTCTTTGATAAATACAATGAATATTTTAATGAAGTCTGTGATACACGCTCAAGGATCTTACGAGTTTGTTTCCTATAAAATTGAATTTTTATTTTTTAAAATTAGCAGTATTCGTCCGCTCCTTTTACACCATTTTGCAACTGATGACCCTTCTCGGGTTTTTATTGACACGCTCTTTGACACATACAAATTGATGTCTTCTAAATTGTTGGCAAATGATAAAATATTCAATGCGGCAAGGCAGACTACTTCACAAATTCTTGAGGACACAACCAAAGTTCGTGACCTTCTTCGAATTGATGATGACCAATCGCTCTATGAGCAGAGAATGGAAGTAGACTCACAAGCGACAACTGTTCCTTCATCCTCAATTTTTCGTACTGGTAATATCCACCCACCTCCATCAATGTATTCTGTTAACCAACCAATTTCATTCACAATTAATATTGGCCGTGCTGCAACTACTGCTTATTCAAGTGGTTCTGACTTGTTTACAAATTATAGATCTGGACCTACAAACTCTAATAGTATTGAGAGCAATTCAAACACTGTTGGAACTACATCAGAAACTACACCAGCTTCACTTTCGACAACAACTGAACGTCCTCTAAACCATGTTGTTTACCGCTGTCATCGTCAAATTAGCGAGCTTATAACTTGTATTGGAAAAATTTTCTGCAATGCAAGTGTATTGAAGGTGAGACAACGTTTAGCAATCAGTTTGCAATTAAGTCATGAGACAATAAAGAAAGATTTTCGAAATGTGAGCACATTAATTCTTGGTGGTGTTCAACGATTACTGCAGACAAACGAAATTGATAGTAGCATTAGGTAAAATGTTTTGAGTAGGGTTGTTCCCCGACGGGGGGGGGGGGGGGCATGGGGATCACTTTTCGGGAAGGCAGCGCCACGGGGGTGGCGAACCCCCGTGGCTCTGCCGCGAAAAATTTTCTTTTTCACGGGGATGGGGAATCTTCAAAAAATCTCTCAAATTCCCCGACTTTCGGGAACGGGGAACAACCCTAGTTTTTTGAAGTTTTTTTTGTTTCTAAAATTTAAAAAAAATGTTTTTCAGTGCTTTATACTTCACTACACCACTCAATTTTCTCAAAAAATTCCTTATAGATGATATTAACAATATTCAGCAATTGCTGCCGGATTTCTATTTGTCTGGCTGTTACAAAAATTTCTTCGCTCTCGTGACAGATTGTTTTAAATCAAACATTACTAAAGGTTATTCAATTAAAAAAAATTTTTTTGATCTTTATTTTTTCAGAAGAATTTACCACAATTATTCATTCATGGCTCAACATTGCCCAAAAATTCTCGTCACCAAATTTGGCAACTCAGCGAAATGGTGCGCAACAACTACCGCCGCAGCAACGGATAACTGTTGATGGTTTTGAGTTGAAAAATTTCTTAGCGATTGCACAGAAGGTGAGGGAGGGATTATCTAAATTAGTAAAGAAACCACTTCTTTAGGACACTTTTTCTGCCATTTGTTCAATGTTGAAGGAGCTAATGAAGCATTGCGAAACGTTTTCTGATGACCCATCAATGCCTTCAACTTCTACAAGTAGTGACAAGGACAAGGGTAGTAATGAACAAGCGGCTTTTAAATTATTGGAAAAGTTGCTGGAATTTATGAAAGGATTGCTTAAAGATATGATGAAATTGTTGGAATTAACTGAAGGCAAAGCTGAGGCGCCAGCTGAAATCCCTGTTGGCGAAATTGACCCGGCTAAGGTTTTTCATATTTCTAAATTAATAAATAAAATAATAACCCCTCAGATTCAACAACTTGTAGAAATGGGCTTCTCGCAAAGTGATGCTGTTGACGCTCTTTTGGTGACATCATCAGTGCCAGAAGCAGCTGAACATTTGGTTAGCATGCTAGAAAGGAATCCTACAGGTCTAGGTTAGTCATCTAAGTTAGTAGCAATGCTCAAAATATTTTATTAGTTCCACCAGTTGTTGCAGCATCAGCAGCACTAGCAGAAGAATTGGCATCAAATGCAATTGTAGAAGCTGCTCTGGCTCCACGAATTTCTGGCCCAAAAGCTCTTGATGATACTCAAAAACGGGAGAGTACACTTATGGAACAAGATACTCCTTTGAGCGCGCTAAAGCCTCTGAACAGGGATGATCTTCAGGTTTTTTTTTAGAAATTGAGTGCAGTTATAATTTTAATTTTTATAGGAGAGAGTAGAGTTTATTTGCAAAGATATAGTCACGCATTGCCTTCGTCTTCTCAACAAAAATCGTTCTGTTGTTCTTGGTTTAGCAGAGTTGATAACTATTTTTGCTGAGGATCATTTAGCGCGTTCTTGGGTGGATGATGAATTTATTGGTTTGCTTATCAACGAGTTAAGCATTGAATTGGATAAACTTTCGAGTGGTGGACATCAGAAAGATGACGAGTATGGTCGGCAATTTTCTTCACTTTTGCATCTCTTCTGCCTAGTTTGGCAAAATTTCCCTAATCAGAAAATTTACAAACGAGTATCCAACGATAGGACCTCAACTTGAAGAACGTTCAACATTTTATGTTTTGTTGATCGATATTAAATAATTTTATCATATGCTTTGATTTAATGCATATTTTTTGTTTTTTGATATGTTTTTTTCACATAAATATGTTTGCAGATGGTTGAAGTTCTGATTTTCATATATTTTTCTGAGTTTAATTCTCAAGAATATCTTTTGAATTTTTTAGTAGATTTTGTTTAATTTAACCTTAATTTTTTTCTAGTTTTTATGATTTCTTTGGTTAGGACAGATTTGCAAGTTTTCTGTAGAATCGGCGCGAATTCTTTGTCAATTTGTGGGCGTCGCTATGTAAATTCTAAATTATTGCTCAATTCAAATTTAAAACCGACAACAATATTTCGATTATATTCTAATAAAAATGAAGTTAAAACAACCAAGAACATAACAAAAGAAATTGCTGAGCCGGAGCGTAGTTATCTTGAAGACATTTTGGACGAAAGTGAGGAAAAGCCTAAAACGACTGGACAAAAAGGTTGTTTTGATTATTTGGGTGAGGGGAACTCAAGGAAAACACAAACCAAGGAACGACAAATCAAGGAACGACCAACTCACGTGCCATACCAACAAAAGGAACAGACAAAGTGAGGAAGCGCTATTGAATAAAAAACCGATTAAGTCCTAAGAAATAAGGGTACAAAGAATCAAAAAAGGGAATGAAATTGAGTTGGCATGGTCCGTGAGTTGGTCGTTTCTTGACTTGTCGTTTCCTTGATTTGTCTGTTCCTTGAGTTAGCCTGACACGATTTATTTTAAATTAAATATTTCCTATAGTTAAAAGAGCAGCAGAGACTTCTTTTTATGTTAGTGCTGGACTTGCTTCTTGTGCGGTGCTTGGTGGTTTAGTATATTTGCTCGTGAAGGAGTTAGTCTCGTTCAGCTCACCAAACGGTGTTTATAGGGATGCATTTAAACGGGTAAAAAAGGATGATAGATGTTTTGAATTGTTTGGAGAGGGACTGCGGGCGCATGGCGAAACATCAGGTAGAGGACGAAGGCGACACATTGCCAACCAACGATTTGAAAAGGATGGGCAACAAAGACTGCGAATAATGTTCCATTTAAAGGTTTCTTTTAAATTCTTTTTTAATTTGATTCTCCGCTTTAAGGGAGACAAGGCAAACGGAAAAGTTCACGCGGAAGTAGCTAATATAGACGGCAAATGGGATTATAGGTTTTTAATTGTTGAATGTGAAGACCAGCGACCACATACTATTGTTTTGATTGATAATAGATGATTAAATTTTTAATTATTAATTTTTTTTAAACTTGTTTTAACGGATATTAATGTCGAGATATTTTGTTTATTTTCTAAATTTTTACTAATTTCTTTAACAGAATGGTTCTGACTTATGAACAGAATTAGAAAGAAATTTTTCAAATCTTTCTATATTCAGTGCCTTCTATGGACTCTAATTTATTCAACAACGTTATTTATTTATTTTGCCTTCATCAGACTAAATACTTGGCCAAAACAACAATCTTATCATCATAGAAAAATTGTTCCGGATTACAACTGTACTTGCAACAAAAATATTATTAAAAAATCAGCATTTAATATCTTACCAAGGTTTTTAAATTTTTCTTCATTTTCTCCAAATAATACAACTCAACGAATATTATTTCTATCTGATTCAATCAAAAAATCGGAAATTTTCAACTTTTTTGCTCAATTTAAAGTGCCCGTTAGACTAGAGCAACACTTACCAGGCGATATTTTGCTTTTGGAATTGAATGGAAATCCAAGATTTTCTCTTATAGTGTTTGAGAATTTCTTGACATTTTATAGTCTTTCAAGCGAACAAAAAGAAGCGTTGAACAATTTTTGTAAAAAATATTCTGTTGGCATCATTTCATTTTTTGAATTTGACATTGGAAAAAGAACCCGCAAAAATTTTGGTGAATTTGAGGCTTTTGGTGGATTACAAGTCAAAACAGTTTCATTTTCTTCTAATTCTCCCGTCAGAAAAATAGGCAAAGATGGATGTGAATATTTTTTTTCTGAAACGGAACAAACTGAATGGACACTTTTTAAGGAAGTATTGCCTAATTTAATACCTTTATTGGAAGCAACAACGTCAGAGGGAGATATTTTTTATCCAGCTTTTATTTTTAATGAGGGTATGCATGCTATATTTGGAGCAAAACCTGACCATTGGATTGTCTATATTGCCTTATTGGATATGATTAATTATTTTGCTCCTGATATTTATTCAGAAGATTTGGAAAGGTTTTGTTATTTTTTTAATTATTTTTTCGCTCGACGTTTATTTTCTTTTTCCGTTTGAAAATGGTTAAAGATGCATAATGGTCATACAGACATTTATAAAACAAACAAGGCATAAACATTTTGAAGCCTATTTTCCTGTTTTTATTTTTCATTTTAGTCCCTGACCATTGTGTTCCTTAAACCATTTTTGGAGAAGGGACAGTATGAAAATCTGGGCATTTTATTTAAAAATGGTCAAAGGCGCATATTGGTCGATTAAATTTATTAAAAAGGCATAAATATGATTTCGAAGGCTATTTTTCGGTTTTTTACTGGTCGATAAAATCACTGACCATTATGCTACTTGTGATCATTTTTAAAGAGGAAGATTGTGAAAATACGGGGGAGATAACCTGATTATAACATATATTTTTCTTTGGTATTTTTAGATTTATACAGATCGATATTGATGACGTTTTTGTTGGTGCAAGTGGGTCTTTGTTTACTGCTAATGACATTAGAGCGCTAATTAACCTTCAAGAAGAATTAAGAAATTCAATTGACAATTTTACCTTTTCGCTAGGATTTTCTGGTTATTTTTTTCGGCATGGATCTGATGCTGAAATTGAGGGAAATGACTTTCTTGTTGGTATTTTTTGTGGATATTTAAATTATTTTTTAAATTTCTTTAAGCAAACGCAAAAAATTTTAACTGGTTTCCTCATATGTGGAGGCACAATCATGCTCATGAACATTCTTCTGATTATTTGATTGCATTAATGGCACAAAATGAATTTTTTTCTGAGGTTTTTATTAATTTAGAAATTTTTTTTAAACAATTTTAGAACTATGGAATCCCTACAAATTTGTCTTATGCTATAGCACCGATACATTCAGGGGTTTGTTTTCTTTTAAATATTTTTCCAAATATTTTTTAAAAGTATATTTTTTATTTTTATTTTCTCTTTTTAAGGTTTATCCTGTTTATCAGCCACTTTTTGATGGTTGGAAAAGAATTTGGAATATTAGTGTTACTTCTACTGAAGGTTCTTTAATCGTTTTTCATTTTTATATCAATTTCTTTTTTAGAATACCCACATTATTCGCCCTCTTCTCAACGTCGCGGTTTTATTTATGAAAATATTAGCGTCTTACCACGGTAAATCTTTTGGGAAAAGCTTTAAATCATCTTAAATTCGTTCAGACAAACCTGCGGTCTCTTTACTCATACACATTATTTTCATGCGTATCCTGGAGGAATAAGCAATTTTTTAAATGGAATTTATGGGGGCGCTGTTTTCAAAACTTTATTGCTAAATAAATTCTCAATTTTTATGACTCATCAACAAAATTTTGCTAATGACAGACTTGGATCTTTTACTTTTTTGAATTTAATAAAATTTGTAAAATGTTGGACAAATTTGAAATTGAAGTGGATTGAACCTGTTGAAATGGCTAAACGTTACTTTGAGAAATTTAAAAGTGAAGAGACATTGTTATACACGGTTAGTCTTTCCTCAAAAATTAAAAAAAATTAGACCAAGGATGTAGCCAGAGGGGATTCTGGGGCTAAAGCCTCCCTCGAAATGGGGAAAAGTGAAAAATTCGAGGAGGGAATTATACAAATTTAGACAAACTTGAATTAGACGAATTTTTGTTAAAATTGTCGTTTACGGGCTCCCGTTTTTTCTCCCCATGTCATTTCTCATGCATCTACAAAATGGTCAGACTTCCTTTGCCTTTTTCCTTCCTGGTTTCTTTTTATGTTTTTCCAACAGGCAATCAAGAAGGATTTTTATTTTTTTTATTCCTTTTTGGAGAGTAGAAAAGACGGAAAACCCGACCATTCTGTAGAAAAAACTAGGAAGAAGGGTGACAATGTTACCAAAATTTTTAAATACGGGCAACTTATCCAAATTTAATTAATTTTTTTAAAAGAATTTCTGTACCGACAAACGCCACATTCGAATGCTCCCAGTGACTACATCTTGTGATAAATTTGATCATCTTCCCAATTTAATTATTTTGGGTCCACAAAAGACGGGTTATATTTAATTTTCTTATTTTTAAAATTAAAGAAATAATTTCTAGGTACAACAGCTTTATCAATGTTTTTACAAATTCACCCAAATATTTCAACAAATTTACCAATTCCCGGTTATTTTGAAGAACTCCAATTCTTTGCAGGTCCAAATTATAATAAAGGAATTGATTGGTATGTAGAGAATTTTATTTCAAATGAATCGTCTTTGCCCTCATTAATTCGTTTTGAGAAGTCCGCAAATTATTTTGACAACCCAAAAGCTCCAGCAGCCATTTCAGCATTATTGCCAAATGCAAAATTGATTGTAGTTTTTAGCGATCCTGTTAAAAGAGCTTATTCTTGGTATAAGGTTTGAAATAATTTTTTGAATTTTTTAAAATTTAATTGGATATAGTATACGGAGGCCAGAAAAACTAGGGAGAAGTGGGGACGCCTGTGAATCCGAGATATAAGTCCCTGAAAATTGAATAACCATAGGAGGGCGTAAGCGCATTTTTGGGGTGAAAGATTCGATTTTTTTAATGATAACTCGTTCGAAAGACTCCTCGAGCTCATTTCGCCTCGCCGAGACGAATCGAATGGTATGTGTTTCGTATCGAAATTTTGCCTCCGGTATACTACAATTATTTAATTTCATAAACGTTTAAGCATATGCAAGCAAAAAATGATTCTGTTGCCCTTAAATATTCTGCCGAAGAAGTTTTTATTGGAAATTTTACTGAAACTGATCATTTAAAAAGGTTTGATTTAAAAAACAAATTTTAGAAAATAATTCTCTAAAATTTTAAGAAGATCTCTTTTACCCGGCCTTTATGCTCAACATCTTGAATATTGGTTTGACTTCTTTCCCCCTTCAAATTTTTTGTTTGTTGACGGGGATAAGCTTCGTAATGAACCATATCTCGTCCTTCGCGATTTATTCAATAAATTGGAACTTCCAATTGTGGACAATTTATCCAATCGTTTAAAATTTTCTAAAAAGAAAGGATTTTATTGCATCGTTTTGGATAATAAAAAAGCTTCATTGCATTGCCTTGGAAAAAGCAAAGGACGTCGTTACGAGCCAATGTCTGAACGGCTGAAGAGTCATTTGGAAGCATTTTACTCAGAGCCGAATAAATCTTTAAAAGAATTTTTAAATAAATATAAAATACCTTTACCTTCTTTTTTGATTAATTAAGAGAAAATTTTTTAATTATTTTTAAACGATCTCACTTAAATAAAAAATTTTTATAGCTTTTTTATTTCTAAATTAATTGTTTTTATCAATTTTTACTTAAAAATGAAAATTTATTTTTTTTCTTACATTAATTTATTTTTTAGAGAAAATGCCAAAATATTACTGTGACTATTGTGACGCTTTTCTTACTCACGATTCGCCATCTGTTCGTAAAACGCATAATTCAGGACGAAAACATAAGGTTTTTTACTAGATTAGTTTTTTTGGTAAATGTCCGGTTGGTGTCCTACATGTCCGCAAAGAGAATGCGCATTTTTCCTTCCTTTTCTTGCATTTTTTTCTGCAAGGAGTGGCGCCCATTTTTCCTTTGTGTATGGTAGCCTTTTGGCATGTCGAAGGAAAGAGGGAAAATAATAAAAATTAATTACTAATAGAGTACAAATATTTTAGATCAGAGATGAAAAATTTGGGACAACATTCTCAAATAGATTTCTAAAATATCTAGGGGAATCTTAATCCATTCGAAATCTTAATCTGTTCCAGAATGCTTCAATCTGCTGTGTATTTGTACCGTTGACTGGATTCATAAAGAATTGTTGATGATTTACTGTTTGGTGTTGATATCCTAACTGATCTAAACCTAAAGTGAATTAATTCTGTTTGTAAATCAATCTAACATTATTAGTTAAAATAACTTTATTAGTATTAAATTAAGTACTCTATTAGTAATTAATTTTTATTATTTTCCCTCTTTCCTTCGGCATGCCAAAAAGCTACCATACACAAAGGAAAAATGGGCGCCATCCTTGCAGAAAAAAATGCAAGAAAAGGAAGGAAAAATGCGCATTCTCTTTGCGGACATGTAGGACACCAACCGGACATTTACCAGTTTTTTTCTATTCTACAAATTTAGGAGAATGTTCGTCATTTTTACCAAGCTTGGATGGAAGAACAAGCTCAAAAATTGATTGATGCTACTACAAAGGCTTTCACTACACAACGAATGATGGCCCCAAATATGATTCCACCGATTGCTCCAGCTGGGATGATGGTAAAATTTTTTGTTCACTTACAAATTAATTCTCTTTAAACTAGGGTAGCACCTCGACCCCTGAAACCCCGACTATTTTTTTGGCAAAAACCCCGACCCGAACCTCGAAGACTCTACCACGGCAAGCCCCGATCCCCGACGATCCTGCCTCCGAACGCTCGGGGTGCTACCCTACCTTAAGCCCTCAAACCCTTTTCAGCCTCGTCCTTTCTTAATGCCGCCGATGGGAATGTTGCGTCCACCAATTATGCCGCCCAATTCTTCTGGCTTTTTCATGCCTCCAGTTCCAACTACTGGTTTCTCTATAGCGAATCCAGGGATGCCAACAGGAATGCCTCGTATTCCAATTCCACACATGCCAATGCCGCCAACAACTACTGGATCGGGAGGTGAAAGTGGAGGGCAACCACAACTTCGAACTCAAATAAAAATGCAGCCACCAGAATAGTATTTTGAATAACAAGAAGGATTTAAACAATGTTGAAATTTTTTGAGTTTTTTTCAGTTTTTTGCTTTTAATTTTAAATTTGATTTGAAAGGGAAATTTTCCAAAAGTAAAATTTTCCAAGAAAATCAACCCAATTTTACTTATTATTCTTTTATTTTGTTTCTTTCAATTTTCGATCAGATAAAGTGTTTTGTTTAAATTTTTTCTTCTAAAATATAAATTTTCTTCCAATTTAAAATATCTTTTCAATTATTAATTTCTTCGTTTAATCTCCTCATTTTTTCGTTATTAGATGGAACAAAATGAAATTCGTCGTCATATTAATAGACAATTTTCAATTAGAGGACATTCTCTGAGCAAGGACACTTTGTCCTACCTGGTTGACCAATTAAAAGATATGGGCCGTGAGCAATATCAGAAAACGATGGCCAAAGTTATGGAATTAGTCGAAAAGGAAAATGGTTCGTTTAAATTTTAAAAATTTTTAAAATAATTTTTTAAGTCGATTCTGGTCTGTTGGACTTGAATCTGCTCAAAAATGTCTTGAAAGTCCTCTCAAGACAACAGAAAAATGAAAGGTTAAATTTCTTTGTCGGATGGACTAAAATTTATTTTTCTGTTTTTTTTTCTGCAGTGAAATTAATTTCAAGCTAGAAAATGCTTTTGAATTGTTAGCAGCAAATAAGGAAACGTCAAGGGATGTTCATTTGGGTACTGATGTTTATTGGAAGCGATTTGATCTTGTTAAAAAGGTTGGATTTTTAAAAGGAAAATTTTATTTTTATTATTCAAAATTAAAAATATACAACGAAAGGGAGTTCACTAACATCGTTGCCAATTAGGGGGCATTCTCTCTGAAGGACTTGAAAATTGCATAGGAATAAATTATAAATTTAAAAATATTTTTTGATATAAGAATTTTGAAAATTTTCTTTGGGTTTCTTAGTTTAGAAATTTTTATTAATTTTTTGCCAAAATTATGGCAAATTTTGAACGAGTTTGTAACTTGAAGTAAAAATTATTTAATTTATTAATTAGTATTAAATCACATTTTTACATAAATTTTTTAATGTATCATCATGGTTAAGTTGGATATTTCTTAGTTACAATTTATAATTGTCGAAGGTTCGAGTCTAGAGTCACTGGAGCATTTGTTCATTCGTGTTTTCAGTGCTAAAATGACTCATAAATTGATTTCAAGTGCACACTCTTGACAAATTGTTTGTTTGTTGGGATATACATATTGAGACAATTTTTTATAATTTTTTTAATTCAGTTTTTAAAATCCCAATTTTCAGTTATTAGCCAAAAATCAATCAACAGAAGATGATGTTTTTGTTTCAATCGACTCAATTTTTAATTTATGCGGCTCCAAAATATGTATATTAGCTCAACTCTGTAGAGGAGACGGTGCTTGGTTTGTTGCTGAAGACCAAACAGCACGAATCAAATTAGATTTGACAGAAGCAACATACGAACCTGGAATTTATTTTGAGGGGGGTATTTTTGTTTTTGAAGGAATTTGTTCTTTGACAACATTAAAAGTTGAAAAAGTGTCACTTCCAAGACTGACAGGAATTAATTCAGAGGAAAATACTTCTCAACGGCAAGATGTTCGCTTTTCTAGAAGAAGGGATCCAAACGATAGAATTTGCATTTTTTCTGATCTTTTGTTGGATAATGATAAGGTTTGTGTTTAGAAGGCTTGATAAACAAGGATGTAGCCAGGGGCTTCTTGGGCTATAGCCCTCTCCCTCCAAAATGGGGAAAAGGAAAAAAATTTGAGGATGGGATTGAGCAAGAAAGTGAAAAATTTTTGCTTATGACCGTCCAAATTTCAAAAAATTCTCGCCTGCGTCGCCCAATTTTATCCCCCCCCTGAAATCGACCCCTGGGTACGCGTTTGCTTAATAATCTATATTAATTTTTTTCAGGTGTTGAAAGCTTTTTATCGAATTCTTGATGGTTTTTCATCCAATCCACCAAACATTTTTGTCCTCTGTGGACGTTTTTTGAGCGTGCAAAGAGCTTATGGGTATACCGATCAAAGTATTACAGCTTTCCGTCATTTGGCCAATATTCTTTCACATTTTTCTACAATCTATTTAAATTCGGTATAATTTTTTGAATTAATTTTTTTAGTAATCTTCCATCAATTTAATTTTTGTAGCATTTTATTTTGGTGCCACATCAGGAAGATCCACCGCCTTTAATCACATTTCCATGGTTTTTATTTAAAAAATTATTTTTTTCTTTTTTGCCTTTCACAGCCCCCCTCTACCCCCAAGTGTTCAAAAATGTTTCAAAGATTTGCCAAATATACATTTTGCTTCTAACCCGTGTCGACTTATTTTCAAGGATAGACACTTTCTTATATTTCGTGACGATGTGATAGAAAAAATATGCAGGTCAGCCATTCATATGCCAAAAGATGTACAGGCTGAAATGATTCCAAAATTGGTAGGGAATTTTTAAAAAAAATTAAAAAAAAATTTCGAAAAATTTCAAAAAAAAAAATTCAAAAAAATTTCAAAAAAATTTTTTCCAAGTTTTGCGACACAATGTGGAGTCAACGACACCTTTCACCACTTCCCCTCTTTTACAATTCAATACAACCCGAAACTGATAAATTATTTCATTTATGGCCTGAACCGGATGTTCTTTTATTAGCTGATAAATTCAAAGGATTTATAGAAGAAGAAAATAATCAGAGACGGTTAACGATAAATCCGGGGCCATTTTTGGCAGAAAATTTTGAATTTCAAGTATATTTCCCAACTTTAGGAAGGGTCGATAATTCTGTTTTTGTTTTAGATGAGAATTGATAAAGAATTGATAATTTTAAAATAATCATTCGATTTTTTTTATTTAAATTGAAGGTTTTAAGACTTTATTAATTTTTGTTAATTTTATGAAATTTAAAAAGTCTGGGACCTTGATACCTTCAAAGAATCTTTCCATCAGTGCTGGGTATTTGGCATTTGTTGGCTCCGGCTCCGGGGTTTTCAAAATCTCAGCTCCGCCGGAATTGGAACACCCCCAACATCTGTGGGGATTCTGGTACTGGAAAGCAGCCACAATCAAGCTGGCCCCCGGAGCCATACCCCCAGCACTGCCTCCCGTTTCTGAAATTGATTTGTCCTCAATTTAATTATTTTCCCTCGTCAAAGCTTCCCTTCTTCAAACGCTTCGCTTAACAAATTTTTTGGCATTTAGAATTATTGTTGTTTGAGTATGAATTATTTTTTTATTTTCATTAGGCTTGCGTAAAAAAATAAAATTTGGCTTCTAGGTTTGGAGATTTTTTGGTTAATTTTAATTATACTTTTTTTAATATTCATTTTCAGATTAAATTCTTAAAAATATGAGCTTTGCTAATTCAATTCCATCAATTATTCCTTCCTCATCAACATTAACATCTCCAATTATAACAACTTGTGAAAATATTAATGAGACCTCTTCACCTTACAAACAAGACAATCAACAACAACAACAAAACAATTTAAATCAGACTAGAAGTTCACCAACATCTGTGGGAACACCAAAAGAAAATTCTGGTACTGGAAAGCAGCCACCATCAAAAAGTTATTGTATTTTGACTCCTTGTAGCAATTCTCATCCTTTTGAAGAGCGAAGGTTTTTTTGGATTTTTCAAATGTGATTTTATTTTTTTAAAGAATTCTTGTTGGACGATCGGAAGAGAATGCTGTTAAAATTGGACGTTCTATTGTTAGACTTCAACCAGCACATAGTAATGCTATTTTTGATTGTAAAGTGCTTTCAAGGAATCATGCAATTCTTTGGTTAGTTTTTTGTTGGATTGAAGTTGCTAAGGGTTGGGGTAAGGGTTATTTCGTTCTGGGTTACGTGATTTTTTGAACTTTGATTATGTGGTTTTAACGGGGAAAATTATTTAATGGGTTCCCATAGTCTTTCATTTTTACTAGTGACCGGAAAAATTGATTTTTCCGGTTCTCGGGTTTATAACTTGAGCCGGACCGGATCTGGCTGGATTTTTCCGCATTAATCCGGTTCGGTCTTAATTCGGAGAAACCCAAATTTGGGGCCCGGACTCCGGAAAAGTCCGGCCTGATCCGGTGCCTTTCACTAATTTTTACCTTAAATAATTTTCAAAGCTCCTTGGATTTTTGGGGCTCTCCTAATCCCTATAAATAATAAAATCATTTTAAAAATTTCAGGATGAATGATGACGTCCATTTCTTTATTAAAGACACTCGAAGTTCAAATGGCACTTTTATAAATAATGATCGATTGAGCCCAAGTGGAGAAGAAAGTATAATAATTTTTAATCTTTTTTTCTTATTTAATTTTGAAAAAAATAATTTTAGGTGAACCTAGAGAGCTCTTTTCTGGTGACATTCTTCAACTTGGAGTTGAAATTGTGGATAATGCAAAGAAAGGTTTTTTTAGTGTTTTTAATTTTTATCATTTTTTGTTAAAGTCGCTAGTGGATGTGTTACTTGTATTGTACGTTTGACAAATGAGAGGGGTGAAGAATATGTTGACAGACCTCAATTGGACTCTTTTGCTTTTCCCATTCGAAATGAAAATCAGATTCCATTGAATTACACTTTGGTTCGAAATGACAAATTATTTATTTTTGAACAATATTTAAAAGAGGCAAAACATAGAGAAAATGTAAGAAATTTTTTGTTTAAAATGATTTTATTCTTTTTAGCTTCTCGGTCAAAAGCTTCAAACTATTGAAGGTCAACTTTTAACTGCACAAGAAGAACTTCAGGCAAAATGGGATGAACATATCAACCAGGTTTTGAATTTTAATAATTAATTTTAAGAATAATTTATCTTGGGAAAGGCTATATTGTGCTTACGGAAGAAATAGGAAGAAAATAGAAAAAATGAGAAAAAAATTCTTCGCTTGCGAAGAAAAAGCATTGAGAATGAGGAGACGCGATTTTGTGCTCTCCTTTTTTGAGTGTTATTTATTTACGCAAGACGCTTTTTATGTAAGCACAGCATTCAATGAGAAAAATGCAATGTTGTTGCTCCGGTCGATAATCTTACAAAGCTTGAACGAATTCTAGAAGCTTAGGGAGCGCTGCTGGTCCCTTTTCAAATTTTTTTTCTAATTAAAGCTTAAAATATTTTGAATCAATCCAAAAATATTCTAAATGACATTATTTAACCTCTTATTTCGCATAATGACCGATTCAGTATTTCATAAAAATCCAAAAAAATTTTAAGGAACTTCTTCTTTCTCGTATTGAACTTCTTGAATCTCAATTACTAACTTATCTTAACGCTAAAAACGTTGTATCACCCAAAAATGCCCAAACTGCCTCTGCTAACTGTGTAGAAAAAGAAGAGGAAGTGAATCAATTAAAACGAGAAATTCGAGAATTAATTGAAGACAGGGCAAAGTCTGAACAATTGGCTAAAGAGTCGATTAGGTTTTTTTTTAATTTTAATAAAATTAATTAATAAAAAAATTTTAGGAAGAAATGCGAACAAATTCAGGAAGCAACTATGCGTTTGAATGATGTGGAAATGGGTTTGGTAAATGTGGAGGAGGAGTGCGCCTTTCTTCGACAGCGTTGTTCAGATTATGACCTGCAATTAATCAAGCAAAGAGACAATTATGATATGCTTATGGGAAAGTATAATGAGGTTAGATGGAAGTTTAGTTTTTGGTTAGGTGTGGGGTTGTTGAATCACGGGAACTCTCAAGCCGAAGCTTTCGGATGTTGGGATTTCTTTGAATCCGGATCCACCAACTCAAGATGGGTGTGTTCAACGGAATATTGACATGAAAATAATTTTTTAAATTTTTGTAAAGACTTTGGAAATAAGTATTACTTTTTTTGGAGCAACAAAGAATTTTTATTTTTTACGAAACATCTCTTTACTTTCCCTAGGTCTGTGCTCAATTAGTTACGGCAGAAAAGGCTGCTGCTAGTGCCGAAAAACCTCTTCAACCACCACCATCACCTCCTCCTTTGGAGAAAGGCTTTTTAGTGGAGAATGGTGTTGATGTTTCTACTTGTTCTTCAACTGATACTAAAGAAGAGAAGGAAAATTTGACAAAGGACAAAAATGCTGAAAAGGTTATTTTTATTAAAAGAAATTTTTTAATTTTGTGGATATTTTTAGATGGATTTAAGCGACAAAGACAATAATAAACAGCATGAATCAAATGTGGAAGAAGGGGAGATTGTCAGTCCGTCTTTGGAAGAAGGGGAGATTGTTAGTTTGACAAAATCGACATTTTATAATGAGGAAGAGCAAAAAATGGCAAACTACTTCCATAATTGTAAAGAACAGGAATTACTCAGAAAAGTGGCTGAATTGGAGTTACAACTTAAAGAACGCAAAATTAATGGGAATAATAATGAAGAGGAAAGGGCTTTGACTACAACAACACCTCAATCTTCTGCCGATTTTCAGGTTATTTTTGAATTAAAATATACAAGCGGATATCGTTTATATATCCCGTGGGTTGAAAAATTATACTTTATGATGAGGGGAGTCTTAAATTTGGTTTCATATTCCTAGCCAAAAAAGTCGGAAATTTTCTAGAGTAACTCGATATTGCTCTATCGATTGGTATCAAGAGAAAGTACAACATTTTGACTTGCAGTTCGAAAGGTTCCCTTGTTAGACAGCTCCAAAGTCTAGCAATTTACGGGAGAGGTAGTAACTAGGCTGATACTAAAGATATACGTACAAAAATTGCGTTCAGAACGCCAAAATTTTGGCACAAATTTTGGTCTATATTGGATTACCCAAACCCCGATCCAATATCTGGATGGAGTTTCGACTTTTAAAAATTGTTTAAAAAAATTTTTTAGGTCTTTTTGTTGTCAATCTTTCCATTTTTGCTTGTTTTGTTGTTGTTTCTTGCACCATTCTTTTACTTTTCTGCTTGGCCTTGGACTTCAAATAATGTGCAGCAAAATGTGGAGAATGAACAACAATTATTGCAAAATGAAGAAGAATTAACAAATAAAGAAGAAAATGAATGAAAAGAGAGGGACGGTATTTTTTATAAAAATAAATTTAATTTTTTTGGGATTAACAATTTTAATTTTCTTGTTGTAAAAAATTATTTGGATGACTTATACTCATTTAATTATATATATACCTACCTACTTTTTTGTTTTTATTTTAAGGTTTTAACAGGAATAAATTTGAATTAAATTAAAAAAATTTAAATTTTGATAATTTTGGGACCTAATAAAAAAATTTTTTTGAATAAATTTTATTCAAAAATAAAAAGAGTATCAGGGATCAATCGTATCCCCCTGATCCGAAGAAAATTATGAATACTGGCTCGAAACCAACCCGACTTTTTTCTCAACTTGGCCCATCTCTAAAGTTTAACTGTTATTCTTAAAATCTTCTTTAAAGGAATTAAATAAAAGTATAACAAAATTGCGGAGTCTGGGAATGAAGTAAAAACACAAAAAAAATTGTTTAAATTTATACCAAAAGGCAAGAAAAATGTTTATTTAAATTTAATTTTAATTCAAACAAAAAAGTACAAGCGCTTAAATTTGCATAAAATTAACATGCTCTTTTTCCAGTAAATTTCCAGAAAGAAAAAATAAATTTTTCATTGAAAAAGGGTTTTTTATAAAAATTTTAAAAGAAAAAGAAAATTTAATAAAAAATGCAAAAATAAAAGATGTCCGAGTTTCGTGTTAAAAAAGAGGAAATTTTAACGAAAAAAAAAATTTAATTTTTAATTAAAGGGAGAACATTAAAAAGTTGTTTTTTTGAGTGACATCCAAACGGGAGACTTTTAATAAAAATTATTTCTTTTAAATTCCATTCTCATGTCAATTTTATCCAATCCATTTTTCCAAAGAATAATTTTAAAAAAATAGGAAATTATTATTTTTTCTGTTATTTTAAATACTCTCTTTCCCCTTTCTGCTTTATCCTCCCTCCCCTCTATTCCCCCCCTCCCCCTCCCTCTATTCCCTTCCCCCTCCCTCTATTCCCTCCCCCTTCCCTTTATCCCCCTTCCTTCTATCCCCTCTCCCCTATTCTCCTCTATCCCCCCACTCCCCCTACCCCTTTCCCCCTTATTTTCCCCCTAAAAACAAACTAGCCTGATGAGGGTAGCACAAAGTTAGCCTTTATTGGAGATATAATATCCCTTTCCCTTTTTTAAATTTTTTCCCTTTCTCAATGACTTATTTTTACTTTTACATTTTTTCTTAGCTTCTTTTGCTTTTGGCCCAAGTTGATGTGTTTTTGCCTATAAAGCATTTGCTTACCTTCTCCTTTTTAGCTTGTTTTTTCAATATGTTTTTAAGTACATACATATGTTTTGTAAGCTTATTTTATTATTTTTTTTCTTTTGCTAGATGTAAAAGAATTTTCTTTAAAGAATATTTCTCTGTTTTATATTAAATATATCCTCTCAGTTTTATCCGCTTTTTGTTTCCCTCGTTTTTCTCTTTTAAACATGCGCCTTTATGTTTGTATTACACTTTTTCTTCTCTCCCCTATTTCTTTAAATTTTTCTTTTTCTCTAATCAACACATGCTTATTTACTACAACCTTGTTATTGGCATTTTGTCTTCTCTTTCTGGGACACGCCCAAATAGGCGCGCGGCCATAACGGCGCAAAGTTATAACCTGCTGGAAAATTTCTGGCCCTTATCAATTTTGGTCAATTTTGGTACCAATCTCTTTAGCTCGATGAGAGGAATTTTTTAATACTAAATTTTGAAAGATTCGGAAATTTTGAAGCAAGTTATGGCTTTGCGCCGTTATGCCCTCGCGCCTACTTGGGCGTGTCCCCTTTCCTCTCCGCTCTGTCTTTCTCCTCTGTCTTTCTTTCTGCTTCTTATTTATTTTTACTTTCTTTTAGGTCAAACGGCTGTCTCCTTTTTGCTTATTTACAGCCTTTACTTAAATTTATATGTCTACTTTTTTCCTTCCAATATTCAAATTATTCTTTTTTTAAGGGCCACCATCTTAAAAACCTTCTCCCCCTTTTCGCATAACTTTTATTTTTCAAGGCTTTTTGGTGGCCTTTTTTGGTTGAAAATGACGCTTTTATTTTGCCACTTTTTTCATATTTTTAGAAAACAAACGTCATTTCTTTCCAAAATATTTTTTAAAAATAATATTAAAATTTGGTTTCTTTGCCTATTTTTTCTTCAAAAAATTTTTTTTTTAATTTCCAATTTTTTCCTTACTAAAAAATTTTAAAAATTTATTTTTCCCAATTAAAAGCATTTTGTTTTATTTTTATTTTTCCTCTTTTGACATAATTATATGTATAATTTTTATTTTTTTTTAAAAGACATCTTTTCGTCTCCTAAATAAATGACAATTATTTCTGTAACAATTTTATTAAAATTTTGCTAAATCTTGCAATTATATTTACTTTTTATTTTGGTTAAGCCACAAGATTGAATCAGTAAATTTTGTTTTTTTTTTGTAGTTTTGATCCGAGATTTTTTTCCTTTTTACTTCCTTAAAATCTCGATTTATTTGTTTTTTCTTCCAATCAAAAATTTTAAAAAAAAATTTCGATTTTAGTTTTTTTTTTCAATTTTTGACGATCCCAGCTGCCGACCTTCCTCTCTAGTTTTGATTTTTGATCAGTTTTCTGTTGTTTTTCTTCCAATTTTAGAAATTTTATATTCGAGCTTAGGGGCTGTAGAATAAGAAGTTGGTTAGATGACGATGGTTAACATGGTTAACCTTACGACCGTCTTATGCCACAAGTAAAACCCGCCGGTTGGTGGTTACCTAACCAGCAACCGAGATCTTATTATCAGATGTTTCAAATTTACCCCTGCTTTTGATTTAAATTTATTATTTTTTTCAGACAAAAAGAAAAATTTTTTAATTACTAGAATTGCTAAAATTCTTCCTACAAAATAATTTAAAAGAACTTTTCTTCATTTAAAACAATAACAAAAATGAATTCCCCAAATTTGCAACGTACAAGAGAAAGGAGAAGTAAAATAATTTTTAAAAGATTGAGAAAAAAGAGAAGAAAAGAAGGGAAAGAATTTAATAAAAAATTAATAATTAAAAATAAAAGAATATTTTCAACAAAAATATTTTTAATTTTATTTTCAACAATTTTATTAAATGAATTTATTTTAAATAATGTTGAGGCTATTCGTTGTTATTGTACAGGTATTATATTTTAAAATTTATTTTTTTAAAAATTTGGGGATTAATCCACTAGATCACTTTAAAGGTTTATTTGGAATTTTTCTGGAGGGAGGCTAGGTTACTGAATCTGAAACAGTTCAGAATATCTAAAAATTTCCAGCCGTGTTTTTTGGTGTTAAAAAACTTAAGAGTAGTTATTTTTTAATTAAAAATTTGGGTTAACCCACTAGATCGCCCTAAAGATCCAACAAATTTACATTGATAATTTTTGAGGGTGATATTATGGGTTAATCTAATTAAAAAAATTTTTTAAAAATAAAAAATATTCCAAAAAATTATTGGAAGCTTTTAAATTTTAATTTTCTTGTAGATGAACACTGTGTCCCTTATGGTGTTTGTGAATCAAATGTTTGCTTGGTTGGATTGCTTAGGGCGAATAATGCAGGTTTAAATTGTTTTTTAAATTAAATTTAGTAGAGGTTGAAGTGATTTAATTATTTTTTAAATTTATTTAAATACTCATCTATCCCAAAAAGAAGAGCGGGAGCGTTTTTTCATTACCTGCAAGGAAAGGAAAATGGAGACGGATGGACACGGACAAACAAAACACGGACGAATTGCTTTGGAAATTGATGTCCATGTTTTGTCTGTCCGTGTCCATCCGTCTCCATTTTTCCTTTCCTTGCAGGTAATGAAAAAAACGATTCCGTCCTTCTTTTGGGATAGGGTCACTCATTCCTAGTCTACTCCAAAAGCTTGGACCTATTTTACAAAAAAAATTCTAATAAAATTTTTTTTCAGTAATCAGAACGTGTGGCAGTCAATCATTAGGTTGTCAAAGAAATGTGGATAGATGGAGCCATTTATGTTCTTGTGACGAAAATTTTTGCAATACTTTTTTATTTCTCAAGTTATTTTAAAAATTTTACAAAAATTTTTTTTATTTTTTTAAAGAGCAAATACAAATATTGACGGGCCTAGAAATCGTCTTTCATTAGAAAACCCTTCAAATAAACAGTCTGACTCGTCAGATCAAAGAATATTTGAAAGAGTAGATCAACCATCTAGTGGAGAATTTGCAACGTTTGACCATCAATTAGGTTTTTTTTGACATTTTTTCTTGACTCATTATAAGGTACACCCAATACCTCTGTTTAAGAGACTTTTCTTTAAAAAAGTTGGTTGGTTAAGGGGAGAGCTGTCTAGAGGATTTTTTTCTTAACTCCATGTAAGATACCCCCATTAAAATTCGTCTTTTAAAATTTGGCTGGTCTCTTGGTTAAGGGAAGCTGCTCAAGCAGTATCTCCTATTCAAGATATCACCATTATAGGGTACGATTTAAGGGTTCGACTTTATTTTTAATTTTATACAGATACTGAGCCAATGCCAATCAAAAATTCTAACTTGCTCACTCTTCTGTTAGTCATTGTCCCCCTCTCTGTTGGAGCTGCAGCGGTTGTTGTTGTTGCTATTAATTATTATTGTCATCTTTGTTAATTTTTGATATTTTTTGTATAAGGTTTTTATTATTTCAACACTGCAAAGAAATCCCGTGATCCCTCTTAAAATTGAAAAGATGAAAAGTTTTGGGAATAAATAAAAATTTTTCCCAAAAATTAAAACGTCGGGCCTCACTTTTGCAACACTTCGTGCAGGAGAAATTTTGAAATTGAAGTGATAGTTAAATTTGGCTCCGGATTTCGCCCGATTGTCAAAAATTGACAGATTTAAGACTGCCTTATATGCGAGGTCCGACTGTAATTAATTCACTTAATCTTATAGTACTTATTTAAAAATAAATTAGAAATTTTAATGATTTTTTAATAAAATTTTAAAAAATGAAATATTTTTGTGCCTTCCCCTACATTTTTATATTTTTTTCTTTTTTTTAATAAATTTTCAATAAATTGTAAATTTATTTTTTTAAATAAAAAAATTTAAAACAAAAATGGAATTAACAAAAATACCCCAGAAAAAAATCCCAAAAAACATTCATTTATAAAGAGCCAAATTTCCAATAAATTGTTTCAGTTTCTGTCTTTGTTGAGGTTTAATAGCTATACAAACAGCCATTCCATCTTCATTCCAAATTTTGTGTTGAATACCGGCATCTGCCAATTTCTTTGCTTGTTCTAATAATTCTGGTTCGTCTTTCACCTTTTTTTGAAAGAATTAGAAAGAAAAATAAAATTCAAAAAAAACCTTTAAAGTCACTTTATGCATATTTTCCATATTTCCCATATATTCTTTAACTTCTGGGTCGTCTTTAAAAGTCCATATACAAGCTGTGGCTGCATGGGCTATTTGAGTGAAGACAGCTCCTAACGGCCATTTTAAATCAGAAATGAGATCTGCCCTAAGAATTAAATACATAATTAAACGTTCGCCCTGTGTTGACATTCTAAAAATTTAAAAAAAATTTTAAGAAATTTTGAAAAAATTAATAAAAAATATTAAAGTTGGTTGTAGAAATTTAAAAAATTTAAAAAAAAGTTAGGGTTGGGGGCTCGATCCGAAAGATCGAATCGGCCATTGAATTTTGGCCCGAAAAAAAACTCGGTCGGACCGGCCCGATAAAAATGAGGCCAGAAAAGATGACTCGAACGTCGGCCCGACTCGAAAACTCCCAACCCTAAAAAACGTTTTACATTTTTTATTAAAAATTTTTTTTGTGAATAATTGTGATTGTTTGTGCCAATTGTTGATGTTTTGGTCACTAGGACCACGTCATGAAAAATAAAAAAGCCTTAAAACGATTCAAACTTAAGAGTCTTATTTGTTAGATTCTTGTGACTCTCTCTGCTTACAAAAAAAATTTTTTTCTTAAAAATTCTCTAATTTGAAGTTATGGGTATCCGTGATCATTTACTAACACAACCAAAATTGCTTAATTATTTGAATAGTTTGGAAGAAGAAAAGAAAGATGAATTTGCTGAATATTTGCTAAAGGTTTTTTTTTGAAATTTTTTAGATTATAATTTTATTTTTAGTTTGATTTTGATTATTTGGCAGAGGCTTTCAAATCCTCACAAAATTCAACACTTCCAGCACTTGAAGATATTTCTCCTATTGGGCCAGAAAACTTTGTTGATAGAAGTGAATTAACTGATATTGAATTGGATAGGCTTTTTAATTTGGGTAAAATTTTTTTTTAGAATTATGGTGCGGGCCTCCCGGTTTACGTAATTTTCCCTAAAACCCGGGAGTCTGCCTTACATCAGGCGAAATTAAAAAAAATTTTTTTAAAGGTTTAAAGGCCGTTTCTGAGGGCAAAGTAGCTGCGCTTGTTCTAGCTGGTGGGCAGGCTAGCAGACTTGGCTCTGACCACCCTAAAGGAGTTCTGCATCTTGGCACTGGTCTTCAAAGCAAAACAGATTCTCTTCTATTCATCCAAGCAGCTCAAATCCGTTACCTTCAGGATATAGCCAAAGAGAAATTCCCAAACTCTAATAAATCGACAATTACTTGGTTAATAATGACTAGTAGATCAACTGATGCTGATACTCGTGCTCATTTGAAGGAAGTTATTGAAGAGACTGGACTTTGTTCGGATCAAGTAATTTTTAAGGAAATATAAAGGGGTTAGATTCTTAGATATTATAGCTTATTTTTAGAGATTGAGATTTTTAGAGTATGGGCCTGGATTAATATTTAACATTATTTGTGTCAACCCTTTGCTGCGGATCCAGGAAAAATTTAGAAAGTCAGAAATACCTGGTCTTGAAAGACAGGCCCATACTTACACCCATACTTACAATTAGTTTGATTGATTTTTTAGAATTTATTTTAAGATTGTCACATATGTTCTACATCTATTAGATATTTACAAAAATTATTTTTAAATTTTCTTTTCTTACCAGTGAATAATAATTGAAAGAATAATTTTTAAGGTAATCATATTTACCCAAGATGAACTTCCTGCCTTTTCTTTGGATGGAGAAGCACTTCTAGCTGAGCCTTATCGTCTTGTAACCTCTCCAGGTTTTTTTTAAATTTTTTTCCTTTCCAAAAAAATAAATTTAAGATGGTCATGGAGGTCTTTATAATGCAATTTCTCCATTACTTCCTTTATTAGAACAGAAAGGATTGGAATTTATTCAAGTTTACAATGTGGATAATATACTTTGTAAAGTTCCTGATTTGTGTATGGTTGGATCTGCAATTGAACAGAAGGCTGATTGTGTGGCAAAGGTTTTGTAGTTTTCAAAAGATTTTGTGTGATTTAAATTCCTTTTTTAATTTCGGTTTTTGATTTCCATGTCTCCAATTATTAAGGGCCAAGTGGTGTCTAGGGTCTTTTATTAAAAAATTATGTCCATCAGTTTCAGGGATTCTTGTTCAAAATTAAAAGTTATAAGGTATTAATAACGGAAAATTCTGACTTGTTGGCCATCGGAAAATAAATAACAAAAGACTTTTTTCATTTTCCCTATAAAATAAATTTTATTATTATTCGCCACCCTATGTAAATTTTTTTCTGGGTACGTACGCCTTGGTCTAGGCAATTAACCAATTCTTAATTATTAAAAAAATCGTTCTTATTTTTTAGGTAATCGAAAAAATCAATCCTTCAGAGGCTGTAGGACATGTTTGTCTCGAAAAAGGAAAAGTTCGAGTGCTTGAATATTCTGAAATATCTTTTGAATTGGCTGAAGCTAGAGATTCTGATGGGAAATTACTTTTGTGTGCTGGAAGTATTTCAATTCATTTATTGTCATTAAATTTCCTTCGAATTGCTTGTCTTCCTGAAAATATTAAATTAATGCCTTTACATGCTGCACGTAAACAAATTAATTATTTGGAGATTGGGAAGGATAGTGGTGATTATTTGAAAAGGAAAGAGGCAACTGCTATCAAATTGGAGCGTTTTGTGTTTGATGCTTTTCATCATTCAAAGTATTTTTTTAGAAATTTATTAATGACAAAAAATGTAAATTTTAGTAAATAAGTGAGTGAGGGGAGGGATTTTAGGTGATAAAGGGAAATTTTTTAAAATATACAGACTCATCATTTCGTATTTCACCTAAACGTGGACTGGGGGGGGGGTGAGCGAAGGAATAAGTACCGGCATTTTATAACGGTACTCTTATAACGGCCTTTTTGAATTAATTTCCTTTATCTTTGATTTTTGTTCTAATTACAATAAATCAGTGTTTTCTGGTTTTGGAAACTGATTCCCTAAACCAGAACCGTAAAACCGACGGAAATTCTGGGACTGGCATGAGTTGGAACCATTCGATTTTTTCAGAATTGAAAAAAACACTGAAATATCTGAGTCTCTAAAAATTAAATTTTTAACGTTAAAATTTCACTCAAAATAAAAAAAAATTTTTCTAGAAACTTCTTGGTATGGCAAGTATTGGCCTCTGAAGAATTTAGTCCATTAAAGAACGCTGATTCTGCTGGAAAGGATTGCTTAAAAACGTGTTTGGCTGATTTCAACGGAATTAATGGAAAATGGATAAAAGAGGTTTGTTTAAATGTTTTGGAGAAGGAGAAGATTTAATTAATTTAAATAAAAAATAATTTTTAAAACCTCCCGGTGAACTACTTTTTTTTCTTTTTTACTCATAATTTTTGCAAAATTTCTTTTTATTTTTGCTCAGTCAATTTTTTTTTATTTTCTCACTTAAAATCCTTCATTTTTTTTTGAATTTATTTACAAAAATAATTAGCGCCTAATGAAGTATTATTTTCTTTAACACCTTTTTTTACCTTTTTCAATGCCGACCTTTTCCTGACTTGTTTGTGCCTTTTTATTTGTTACAAAAATTAGTCACTTCTTGAGCCTTTTTTAAATTAAACTCTCTATTTATCCGATTTTATTTATTTTTTTTCTAAATTTCTGTTATTTTTTTTTTAAATTTATTTTATTTTTCTTTGGGGAATTAGAGAAGGAAAAAAGGCTTTGAGCTATCTGTGATCGAAAAAAATTCAGCAAATTGGCTATTTTATTTTTAAAAATTCTCAGTCTAGTGTCAAAAGCCAAAAAGCTCGTAATTTAACACCATTGCTGACAGCCCTTTAAAAAATTTTTTCTTATGTGAAATTAAGTATTAGGTTGATTTTTATAGCAGATTCCTATATTGAAACCCTTTTAAATTTAAAAATTCCTTCTCTAATTTTTTTCCTTAAAAATTTTCTTGCCTCTACAAAAAAATTAATTAATGTTATAATTAATTTATTGTTAATTTTAAATAAAAAATATATTTTTTAAAAATTTTATTTTTTACTTTTACCCCAACTACTAAAAAGACCGTAATCCTTTAAATTAACGAGAAATATAAAATTGAAAATGAGGGGAGAATGGCAGAATGTCAATGCTTTTTTCCCTTTATTTATTTCCACTAAATCCCTTCCATTTATCCTTCTAATTTTCATATTTTTGCCTTGTTCACATTCACAAATTCCCTCCGTTATTGACCAATTTATGTTATTACGTAAAATGCGCATCTTTTCAGAAAAAAAGAATTTTTAACAGAAAAGCGGTAATCTTTCCCTTAAAAATATTTTAGAGGCACACATACATTCATTCATTTTCCCATTCATTTTCGATTCAGGCCGCGCATATTCTCTTGCCTTATTTGTAATTGAGTGCACAAAAATTGGAAGGGAAGGGGAATATTTAAGGGGATTATCCGCGCCGCCCATTTACAGGCCTAAACAACGATTTTTATTTAAAAATTTATCTGTCCTATTTATTAGAAATTAAATTGAGTCGAGAATATTTTTGTGTGTGTAAAAATGTTAGGGATAGAGAAAGATGTTGTTATGCCTCTTCAAAATTATGAAATTAAAAGGAGGATAATTTAGCTATAAATTGGATCGCAAAATATTTTTTCTGTCGTTAATCCTCTTGGTTAAATTGTAAATAACTTGATTAGTACAGTAGCTCTCTCACAATAAGATAAGTACACCCTTTAGTTGATAAAATTTGTATCTTATAATGAAAGTCTATTAAATAGAGGTGTATATTAGTACCTAAAGAAGTACTGAATAAAAGGTATCGTTAGACTCCCCCCTCTCTGTTCTGGAAAAATTAATAGTTTCACCCTTCAATGTCCCCCTAGCATTAAACATCATGGCACTAAACTTCGTTAATTACACTTAATAATTACACTTAATTGAGTTAATTACACCAAAAAATTATAAGAATTAGATATGAAATTGCCCCCCGTAATTTTGTTAGAGTTAGGTCCGTTTATTTTCTAGATATCCCGATTAACCCCCAAACCACCTGATTCTTTGATAATCATACATCTTACAAATTCATAATTTTGATTGGAATTGCCAATAATGAAGCTTCCTTCTAGACCGCTTAGACTGTTACCCATTCAAGTGCCTACCAAATTTTAAAAGACGTACCTTAAATAAAGGCGTGCCTAATATTGAGTGTATATTATATAGAGGCCCGACTGTCTTCTAAAATATTTTCAAAAAATATCTTGACTCGATTTTTAAAAACACTTCTTGGTGGCTGTTTATTTTGAATAAAAGAGAGGTAATTGAGAGTGTTTTTAGTGACCGTCGGCGACTTCCCTTAGTTTTCTTCCTCTCAATATTTTTCTGCCATTTCCCCCTTTTTAAAAATATCCATGTCTTTATTTATGAAAATTATTTCCGCCTTCTCGACGGTAAAAAAGGAGATTTTTGTTTGTGCCAACACCAACAGGTCACCTTCAAAACCATCTAAATATCCTTTACTTTTGGTAAAATGGCAAAGCAAATTAGGCGTGAATTTTGCGCTAAACGGAGGCTTTTTAACAAAGAAAAGTAAAAAGGAAGAGAAATTGTTTGGAACCGATTGTCGGTAATTTTGAAAATATTTTTTTACTTTTGTCCAATAGGGATAGTAGTTTAATAAAAGTTTTAATAAAATTGGTGGATTTGAACCGTTTTTTAATTTATTTTTAATTTATTTTACTGTCTAGGAGTTTTATCACATTTCATAAATTCTTGATTTATCTGTTATATTTTCGTCTTTAACTATACAATTGGATCTCACGATAGCCTCAGAATTAAATATTAAAAACAATTAAATCTATTGTTGGTTGCCCTTGTTGGTTGCCCTTGTAAGGGAAGAAGAGGGAGGTAGATCCATCTACCTAACACTTAGAACGCTTAATAAGGCAGTTCAATATCTAAAAGTGAAACAGCGCCCCGATAGCTTACTCGGTAAAGCACCTGTATGTGTTGTGCGTAAGCGACTAGCAATAACTGCCAGGAGGTCGCAGGATCGAATCCTGCCCGGTGGCTAAACGTTTACCTCTCATTCTTAGTCCTAATATGTGTTGGGAGCTTCCTAAGCGATACCTTCTAGTTAATATACCCCTATTACAAGGTTGAGGTTTCTCCTCTCTAAGTTTGTATCTAGAATCAGGTCCGATTCTATAAAGGGCATAGCTTATCCGGTTATTTTTTCACTGTTTATTAAAAAGCCGCAACTTTTTTTGATTCAATCAAGGTATGTACTTGTGTTTATTTGAAAAAGATAGGTTCTTCAATTGCTACCAAAAATGTATTAAATATATTATTCTAAAGTTCATGTGCCGACACCTCTTTTTTGTTCAATTTTTTCTCTTCAAGTTTTTAAGTACCTCTAAATCCGCTATTTATTCTAGTATTTTTTGTCGCTCAATTTAAAGTACAATTAAAAAATATTTTTGTTAATTTTTGGGCGTGAAATGAGGAGAGGAAGAACAAAAAGTTAGTGTGTAGATTAGAGGGGAGAATATTGTAATTTTGAAAAAAAAATATTTTTTTGGAAGACCGACAAAAAATCATTTTTTAGGTCAAAACCTTTTTTCTAAAAAAATCTTCACTGCGTAAAATCTCTTCAAAAATTCTTTTTATGGAAGTGATATACTCGTATCTATTCAAAATTATTATTTAGAGAGATCCTCTTTTGTTTAATTCACTTGGGGAAAAGATTAAATATTTGCACAAACTCTTGGCGCAAAACAAAACTTATTGTACAGGCGGTAGTTGCTTTTGAAAAATTTAAGAGAGGAGAGAATGTCGTCGAGACTTTTTTGGAAATTAAAGTATTGTTGTCTAAAATATCCCTTCCAATAAATTAACAATCAAAAACAAATTTTAAATTTATCATTTTTGCGTTTACAGTCGAAAAATGGAACGCCAAAGATTTCATAAAACGCCAAAAAATTGCAACTTATAGAATTTAACTGTGCGCCAATCTATTTTTATTACGTGTAAAAACGCCAATTTGCGTTTGGTTTGGCGTTGTCATTTTTGGCGTTTTTACACGTAGTGAAAAGGTTGTGGCGCACACTTAATTTAATTTTGTCTGCTTTTTTACTGGAGATTTATGACGAAAACGCAAATATTTTTGTACCTTAGAATTCTGACTTTCTTGAATTCTAAAATTTCATTTTTTACTCCCCCTCCAATTAACTGTTTATTTATCCAAAAATCTCTTCTTTTTTTTTAATTGATTGGCAAACAAAAATATTTTTGGAGGACAAATGTGAAGTTTTTAAAAATTATAAACTTGCCATATTTATTAACTAAAGAACAGTCTCTTCTAGGAAATACACAAAAACCACAATTTTTTTGAACGAGATGGAAAGAATATTTATTTATTTTTATGATTGTTTTGTTGCTACATGGATCGCTTCTCACTTCCCTTTTTGAGGAGGGAGAGGAGGCACTTGTTAAACTGACAAGTGAGAGAGAAGAATGCTCCGTTCAAGTATTATATATTTACAATATTTTAAATATATCAAGGACAAAAATTGGAAAAAGGATATGTGTATATTTAAATATTTATATTTAAATTTTGGAGTTAGAGAAGGGATATTTAATGTTGTTAAATAATAATAAATACAAAGCAAATGGTGGTACTTTATTAACAATAAGTCTTAATTAACCCCGAAAATTAAATATTAATTCTGGGTTTTGTGCTGATATTTTTAATTTGTGGAAACAGTGAATAAAATGGTCCTAATCCGACAAAGCCCTTTGGGGATGAAAAATGTGATCCTAAATCGAATATATCTATTATTGATAGCTCAGGCATCTCACCCAAAAAGTGACTAGCTAGCTATGCCTTAAATTAAAGTGCACCTAAGCGTGCCAGAAATGGTTATGAAGCAGGGATGGGTCGTGTTACTCAAACCCCGAAACTAAAGGAAATGTTGAAAACTCGAAACCCGACTCGACGTAACCCGACCCATCATGTTATGGAATCAGATGTTTGATTTTATCGTTGGCCAGCCAAGTTCGTTCTTAAAAACGAAGCTTATCAACTTATCGAAATCAGATGTTAAAAATCAGGGATTAAAAGATAGATATATTTTACTTAATTTTTTGTTAGTTCCCTCTTTTTATTCAACAAAAAATACTGTAAAACTTTTCAGTTTAACGGCAGAGAGTCACTAAGGCGCTATTGGAGGGGTTAAATTTGTTGGGGGAAATAATACACACAAAAAAAGGCACGCCCACAAAATAGTGTGACGAAGGGAAAAACTTGTTAGAATGTTTAACATTAAATATACACAAGTACAAATGTAAAGAATTTTTAAGTGAAAAAAAGAGGCGTGACAGTCAAAGAGGGAACAGAAAGCTAAAAAATATTGTTTAAGGGATTTATATATTGTAAAGGATTTGTTGAAAAGAATTAACAAATAAATGAATATATTTTGTCTTTTTCAAAAATATTTTAATTTTTATTTTAACAATTACCAATTTTTATTTTATTAAAATACAGTGTTAACTTTAGATAATTTCCCTTCCATTTATAACAGTCTTCTTGAAAGAAATCCGGATTTGAGTTAACCCAGACCTCCTTCTGCTAACGATGGTCTGTAAAATGTCATAGCTAGGACAGTCAAACCATGCAATGCATGTTTTGTATGTGGATATGCCCTGTGGATATACAGTTCCAAAATTTTCTAGATTCGACTTGTAATTCTTTCGAATTATTGAAAATTCCTTGAATAAATATCTTTATAACTAACAAATTTAATTAAATTTAGATAAACATTAAATATTAATTAATTAATTATTATGACAACAATTCCTTCAAGTAAGTTCTTTTTTGATTTTTTGAAAATTTAAAATATTGTATATTGAAAATTAAATAGCAGTAATAACATTTAATCACAAAGTCAATTTTATTTATCAGCGTTTTAAACAATTAATAGCCTTTAAAACGTTATATAGACTTGCCTCACATAGATGTTTCATAGGCTGAAAAAATTTTATATTAAAATGAGGGGTACCTTGAAGAAGGGTATCTAAGGAGAAGGGTATCCCCTCCCAAAGAATGTCCAACTATTTAAAAACATACAAGAAAAAGGGGTATATATCAGGGGTGTGCCGAAAGTGATTTTAAAAATCGAACGGCAAAAGACGAAAGTTCAAAAAAGGCGAAAATCGGGAAAGACGAAAGGCAAAACTCGCACATCCCTAGTATATATATTGAGCTCGATTGTATATCATTTTAAAACCTAATCTGTAATTTGTTTTAAATTATTTTCTCCACAATTTTACTTGCTTTTCTCCACTATTTTTTTCTCTACAATATTTATTTACCCTTTAAGCTCTTAATTTTATTCTTATTTAATTTCTGAAGTATTGTTCTGTGTTTTTTAATATCCCATTAAAGCCTTTCTAGTATACCATTAAATCCCAAAATTTTTCCCTAAGCAATTCCTTCCTCAATATTTTCCCAAAAATCCATGTCCAAGTCGAGAAGTTCCCCCTCCTTAAAATAAGAGGGTTAAAGCCTTTTTGCCTTTAAAAATGTCATGTTTAGTTCAAGCACTGTTTAAGCTTTTTCTTTTTTTTTAAAACACTCCTCTTCATTCTCTTCAAAAAAAATTTTTATTTTTTATTTGTTTCTCTCTCAATATTTTTAATAAAAAGAAGGCACAAATTGCTCTTTCTTTTATTAATTTTTATGGCATTTTATAGCAAAAAGCACATCTTTATTTGATTTTTTGAGGAAAAAGTTATTATTAAAATGTGGATAAAATTAAAAATTAAAAGAGAAAATGTGGAAATAATGAGGAAATAAATGTGGAAATAAAGTAGAAAAATTACAAGATTATGTAAATACAGACTAACTTTGCTTTGAGATACCCCTCGGAGTTGAAATTTTTATGATGGGGGTTAGCTATTGTGTTAATAGACAAACATATTAAAAAAGCTGTTTGAATTGAGGAGTAATTTAAGTGTTATGACTTGAAATAAGACAAAGTTAGCTTGTACAGCGAACCTTCTCTAAACCCTTGGGAATTTAGCTGACATATTAAAGAGTTGTTATACTGTGGAGTCAGATCAGACTAGAACAGACCCATTAGGATCGAAATTAGCTAATGTATGTATAGAATCGATGTGTGAGGATATGCTATGTTAAATAAGTTCAAATATATTTATAATTAAGATTGAACTATCATTTAATTCCAAAACAAGCAGGGATCATTTGATAATAATAAGTTACATTTACTTGAACGTGTCCGAATATCAAGTAAAAATTGGAAAATTAAATAAAAAAGTTTTTAAAAAATATTTTAATTTCATTAAACAGGTCGTATCCTTGTTGACGTTCCCTGTCGAGTTTGCCAAGATCATTCATCTGGAAAGCATTATGGAATATACAGGTAATAGTTAGATTTATCTTTAGATTTTAATTTAATTTTTAATTTTATTTTTTAAAGTTGTGATGGGTGTGCCGGGTTCTTTAAAGTAAATTTTCATTTTTTTCAAAAAATTTTTTCAAAATTATATTTAAAACAGCGTTCTGTTCGACGACATCGACAATATGTATGTAAAAACAAAGGCGGAGGTCTTTTAGAGGATAACTGTCCAGTTGACAAAACACACAGAAATCAATGTAGGGCCTGTAGATTACAAAAATGTTTGGACATTGGAATGAATAAAGATGGTGGTTTTTAATTTTAGAAATTATTTAAAAGTTTAAAAAAGTGTTTAAAAAATTAAAAAATAAGTTTTTGGACAAGGAAAAAATTTTGCTCCCAGGCGGCATCGATCCGCCGACCTCCAGTTTACTAGACTGGCGCTCTACCATCTGAGCTATAGGAGCTGTTGATTAAACTTTTAAATAAAGTGCTAAAATGTTTATTTGTTTATTGAGTGAAAAGAAAATAAGGAGAATTTTTCTTTTCACAGTCCAAACTGGTTTAAAAAAATTAAAAGTAAAATTTCAAAAAAAAAATTCTTGAAGAATGATTAAATTTTGTGCACTTTGATTAATTTGTCCAATTATTTATTCATCTTATATACTAAAACAAATAATTATTGTTTGTCGGCTCCTATAGCTCAGATGGTAGAGCGCCAGTCTAGTAAACTGGAGGTCGGCGGATCGATGCCGCCTGGGAGCAAAATATTTTTTTCTCTCTCCAAAAACTTATTTTTAATTTTTTAAACATTTTTTTAAAAATGTTTAAAATATTTCCGTCGATTTTTCTGCCATTTCCCTCATTTTTAAAATTAAAACTTTCAGCAGTTCAACATGAACGCGGTCCTCGCCAATCAACAATGCGTAAACAGATGCTTTTAATGAATGGTCTTCAACAACAAAGACAGCAACAAAGAATACATAATCAAAATGAAAATCAACATAATAATGGCAATAAAATGCCAGGCCAAAGAGGACGACTTTCGTTAATTAGAAGTCATTCTAGAGCGGCTATAAATCCCTCTTCTGTTTGTTTCTAAGCTTAAATCTTTATCGTATCCCACCTCTTTCTCACTTATCCCTCTATTTATTATACCTGAACCTCTAAAAATTAGTTAGAGTTTGGAATATTTGAGGATATGGGAATGACAAATTCAGAACTCAGAGATGACCAATTCTTGAATAAATTGCCCGTGATACGTCAAAGTGCAGGATAATTGGGGAGGGATAAGACAAAGATTTTGATATATTTTAATAGCTATATTAAATATTCATCTTTCAGCAGTCTCGTTCAACTAACAATCCCCCTTTGCTACCACCAAGACCGCCATTTCCCTTCCCACCACCACCATTGGAAGCATTATTGACTGTAAGGAAGGAATTTTTTTAATTAAAAAACTTTCAAAAAATTTCTAAAAAATTAATTTTCAGCGTTTTTCACTCCCCCCACAATTATCTACTACAATTCCAACAACTTCTTCCTCCTTTACCTCCTCCACCTCTTTATTCCCTCCAATAAATATAGGAACATCAACACAATTTCCTCCCCAATCCTTCCCTCACCCACCACCACCACAACAATTGTTTGCTGCAAGTGCCTTCCTTCAAGGATTGGCGGTAGAAAAATTATTTTTAATTTTTTAAAGAAAATATTGCGCAATTTGTCCCAAAAATTTTTTAATAAAAAAATAGCGGGAAACAAAATTTTAATATTGGGAAGGCAAGCAAAAATTATTTTTTAAAAAATACTTGCTGTGACATTCTCGAAAGTAAAAAATATTTTTTAAAAAATTAATTACTTCGAGGGGATTAACCAAGAAAGTTCTTCTTCCATTTTCTCGAAGGAAGGTAAACTTCCGGAATTTTTTTGAGGTTTTTTAATTTGTGGAAAACTGAGGGGAATTAAAAATTAATTAAAATTAACTAGGGGAATCCAATTAATTTTAGGAATTATTTAGAAATTGTCAAATTAAAAATTAATTACTTCAGATATTTTTTCTGCAAGTAAGGGGGCAACTGTATATTTTTAAAAAATTATTTTAACCTCAAAATAAATAAAAATTCAAATTTAGTTGATAGAAAAACAAAAACGTCAAAATTCATTAAAGAGAGTAAAAGAAGAGGATGGAGGGAGACTTTCAAATGATTGCCAAGAAGGTAAATATGTTTTTAAGAGTTATCTTTGAGTTAATCCTCGGATATACCGAGTTTAAAGTGATTTTTAATCGAACACCCTTTTTTTAATAGTATGTAAATTGAGTTAATTTAAAGAAAATTAATTTACGGAGATATTAGAAAGAATTATAAGGAGTTGAAAAAATCCAAATATCAGGATGATCCTCAGATCCATTTAGATTTTTTATAAGTGATCAGATCAATTCATGTGATCACTTATCTCAGTTCTGAGTGGATCTCACTCAGAACTCCCAGATTCACTCAGAACTCCTTTTAGAACTTTAGTAAAAGACCCCCAGGAGCTTTGATCAATTAACATCCCCGGGCCGACAGAGAAAATATGGAAGAATTTTATCCCAAAAAATTCGAGATACCTTGTTTGGAAGAGGATAATTTTCTTTAATTTCCATCGTAACACTCCCACTATTCACAACTCCCCACAACTTCCATTCTTTAATTTTTAATTTTAAAAGGAAACAACAATAGTAAATCAACAGAAAATTTACCCAATTTAATATTTTCTTCTTCTTCAAATTGTTCTGCCGCCCCTTCCTCCTCTTCAAATTCATCATTAATTATTCGGAAAGAATCAAAAGAGGAGGAATTAACTAAATTGGATATTATAACTAAAAAACTTTTTAATTGGGCAAATAATCTTTTTATATTTGCGGGGACTTCAAACAACAATAATTCTGTTAATTTACCTCAAGAACAGGTGAGAAAAAAATTATAAATTAATAAAAAATTTTTAAATTTAAATTCAATATAGAACAAAAAAATTTATAAAAAAATTTTTTGTTAATTCGAAATTTTTATTTCTGCCGTATTTTCTAAAATAACACCCCATGGGGATGTATTCTTCAACTACTCTATAAGGCGGGGTTCTAATTCAGGATGGATTATTTTAGGAAATGATAATTTTATCAAACCAGTAAAAAAATAAAAATAAAGGGCTTTCTTAAAATAAGGAGGTAGCACTCTGTTCCACGAAACTCCGACCCCCGACGAATTTTTAAACAAAAACCCCGACCCGAACCCTAAAGGCTCTACCCCGGCAAACCCCGAAACACGACACTCCCGCCCCCGAAGGCACCGGGTGCTACCCTACTTAAAGGAGTACCGGGTGGATAAATTGCCTAGACAGTACACCCCCTCCCTCCCCCAACCCACCCAATAGGCAACCGAATTTTTTTTAAATTAAGAAGTTAAGTTGGTGGATTCTGGGGCTAGATATTTTATATTAAAGTCCAAAAATTTCTCAAAAATTAGAAATCTTTTTGAATAATTTTCTTTTACCACCAAAAAACCCACTTTTTTATGGTCCTCCCGGCAATTAAATAAAAAAATAAAATAATATTCTCGTAATATGTAAATATCCTCTCCTTAATTCCTTAATTTTTTTCCTTTCATTCAGGTAAACAAAAATAAATTTATTTTTTTTTCTGTTCGGCAATTAAAAGAACGAAAAAAAATTTATTTTATAAATTACAATTTATTATTATACCCTTTCTTTAAAAAATAATTTTACCGCTAATCCAAAGAAACATTGAAAAGCTAAAATATGTATACAGTATTTTGGTCTGATCGAGAATCTGTTTTTTTTAAATTTTTTATGGAAAAAATTTTAATTTTGGGCATGCCTTGAAAAGCTCGACAATTCATCCTAGTATTTTAAATAGTAAAGAACTTTCTCCCTTGCCCAGCTAACCTTATAAAGCTCAAATATCTTGAATATGTAAATAGGAGGATATTTACAAGCCCCTCTCAGGACAAAAGATTGGATGGGACTTGCTCTCCTATAGTGTTAACCGCTAATCCATCCCACCAACACGATTGCTAGGCTTGGTCGGATAAATCCAAAGATTTTTATGGAGGAGACAAACTATCTGGTTATCTATAGCCTAAGGGGATTAATACTAAATTTTAGTTGCATACCTCAGTTTAAATTATCATTGAATGGGTAAGCTTTTTAAGTGGTAATGGATACACTCGATTTTAAGCCTCAAATCTTCAGCCCAATTGTCTAAATAAGGTTGAGATCAAATTGTACTAAGGTAGCACCCCGAGCCTTCGGAACCGAGAAAGCTTGACAATCGGGGTTTGCCGGGGTAGGGCCTTCGGAGTTCAAGTCGGGGGTTTTTGCCTAAAAATTCGTCTGGGGTGGGGTGCTACCATAGATTTTACCAAATAAAATATTAAAATGTCATTAATAAACCCCTAAAATAATTTTACTTAAATTTTAAAGTCAGTAGCAGTCTTCTCTTCCTCCTTAGGACGCTTACTTTTATTAAGTTCAATAGAAGAAGGATTACTACAAAAATACCAAACAAATTTAATTAAATCAAAAACCCCTCTATTTTCACAAATTGGGCGTATTTGTCTTCAATTACAACAATTAAATTTAGATAATATTGAATGGAATTTATTTAGAGCTAATTTACTTTTGAGAGGTTTTTTGGGGGAAATTTTAAAAGAAAAAATAATAATTTTTTAGATAAATATCCACAAATGGCACATTTATTATTATTAAATTTATCACAACACCAACAAAATATCCATTCAAATAGTAAGTTGATAAATTGAAAAACGAAAGAATTTTATAAGTTTGGGTAGAGTTGGGAGGTATCGGGATCAGCAAAATCGGGATCGAAATTCATAACTCCGAGATAATTCCACCTGACTCTGATCGGACGGTATTGGAATCCCGTTCGTATTCGGGCGGGGTTATCCAGGGTTTATGAATTCTGATCCCGATTTTGCTGTTCCCGAGACCGTGGACAAATCTCGATCCAAATTTCGGCCAATCCCGATCTTCCAGTCTTTAACGGGACCTTCATTTAAATCCCAATCCCGATTTATGTTGGAATCCAGAGGCAAACTAATTTTGAGATCTGACTTTTAGATCAATTTTTGAAAAAGAGAATTTGCTGAAAATGGGAATTTGATTTTAGCAGGGACCGTGCCTATATAAAAAATAAATTTCCAATTTCGGGGATTTCGGGAATCGGACGGTATGTTCCTTTGTACATAGTATAAGTTTGACATTCTAAATAATTATCAAAAATGCATCTGGCAATTCTTTAATAATCGAAAGGGCCAAAATCTTGTAATGTCCTTATTTCGAATTAAAATATTTAATTTAAGGAAATCTACCTTTAATTCTTAAATTCTTAATAATTTTAAAATTAAATTAAAGAGCCACTAAGGCATTTACAAAGCTGTCTTTTGCTTAACGAAATTGCTCAAATTAATGTTTGTTTAATTACAAAAACTCTTCAAGAAATTTTTAAAAATAATTTTGGGGAAAAAATAAATGAAGACAACTTATTAGAAGGTACAGAAACGATTGAAATTAATTGTGATACTCCACAATCTGAGAATGGAACGAATAATTTAGTCAAAAATGAGGGGGATTCTGAAGGAAATATGGTAGAAAAATTATTTAAAAAATTAATTAAATAAAAAATATTTTTTAGACCAAAAATAATGATGAAACGTTTAATACTTCAAATGAAAATAATAATAATAATGGAAGGAGAAGACTAGCTTTTTCAGTTTGTGAATTAGTTTATGAAAAACAAAAATGATTATTTTATTATTTGCTTACTATTTTGTATATTAAAAGAAATAAATTTCTCTCGTAAGCTCCTATAGCTCAGATGGTAGAGCGCCAGTCTAGTAAACTGGAGGTCGGCGGATCGATGCCGCCTGGGAGCAAAAATTTTTTTCTTTGTTTTATTGATGCAAAATTATTTTTAGATAATCAAAAAAATTTTTAAATATTTTTTTCTTAATTTTAAATAGTAATTAACAACCCATTAAATTCCATTTATTTAATCAAATTAAAAATTTATCAAAATACAAGAACATTCAATCGAGTTAAAAATCACATTAAAAGGTCAAAACTCTCTCATTATTTATCATCAGAAAGTAAAACTGACGTTGCATAACAAAGATCCCAATAATGAGCTACTCCGTATTTATCAAGAACTTCTCTAGCTTGTTTGTGATTACTAACTTGTATAAAACGCGGCTCTCCATTAAATGCTCGTTTTTGTACAATTCCTTCCCAAACCTACAAAAAAATTTTTTTTTGAAAAAATAAATTTTAAGTAAGAAACAACCCCCCTACCTCTTAAAATTAAGAAAAAAATAATTTAAAAAAACAAACCAATGTACACTCATTCAATTTTCCTTGATTATTTTGTTGAGAATCCTCGTCCAGTTGTGCCCCTTTACGTACATGCCTTTGTCCAGCAATTTCTTCACTCCATTTTATTCGATTGAGCATTAAATTTTTATAAAATTTTTGTTGTTTTGGACCTAAATTAAATTGAAAAATTCAAAAAATCAAAAAAACCTCCTTCAACAATAATAACATTAATATCTTCAAGTTGTATAATTGTACCAGTCATTTGTAATTGTTTTGCATTCATTAATACTTTAAATTTCTTTGCTGGATTTGCTAAGGATTTGACTCTTAAATTAGTAAAATTTAGAGGAAATTATTTAATTTTAATATTTTACAAGATTAAGAGAGAAGGTTGCCGTCTTCGAGTCGGGCTGGCGTTCGAGGTATTCTTTCGGACTTGTTTTTATCGGACCGGGCCGTACTAACATAAGTCACTTTCGGGCCAAATATCCTATGCCAGACTAATTAGGAGACATGATATTTTCAAAAAACCCTACCAACCGTTATACCTAATTCAAGGACGTTTAAGAAGGAAACTTTAAAGTCAATAGTGAAAAAAATGTGAAAAGAGCGAAAAAAATTGAAAATTGACTTATAAACCAATTGAATTAATTTTTAAATTTCAAAAATATATTTACTTGTAGACAGCAACATGTACAGCTAAAGATGTGTCTTCTGCTACTTTTCTAATAGCTTTCGAAGCCTTTTCTTCACGAGTCAATTTTCTACTTCGATTTTCATCAATATGCTTTTGTTCTCTTTCAGCCATTTGTTTTCGGACGACTGCCTCCATTTTTGTAGGATCTTGAATAGCATCAGTCCCTAGGACGCGCATAAGGTTGCTAATTTTTAATTTTGGTTCTGGAGGTTTGTCAAGTCCTAGTCGAATTTTTTCAGTTTTCTCCTTTATAGCTTCTCGACGATTTTGACGGCGCAATTTCTTTCGCTCCTTCTTCGTTAGACTTGCCTACAACAAAAAAAATCGAAATTTATCCGATAGAAAATAAAGAAACCTTTAGGTATTGAGGTTGGACAGGTTCGTCAGGTGGCTTCAATTGAATAGGATGTTCAACTAAATCGGTGATGGTGTCAGCATATCGATCCAATGGAGCAATATCCACAACTGAGGGAATGTTTTCATATCTAGAAATAAACAGAAATTTTTTTAAAAATTAATAAAGGAGCCAACCTTTTTCCGTTCCCCAGGACAACCTCATCCCACCATTCAACTTCAGGAATATATTCGCCAGTACTTGTTTCAGGCAATCCACTGGGCGTAACAATAGCTAATTTGACAGCGGAAGATATGCCCGTCTGCTTGGCCGCCTTTTCAATTTCTGACTGAAATCCAACTTCAATTAAATTATTTTATATCTTTAACAAAACCTGAAGTTTTTCAAGTTTAGCTTTAGATCGCTGCATTTTGGCTATTTTTTCATATTCACCAGGCTGTTTAAAGTCGAAATGACGTCGTTTACGTAATGCCGGTTTTAGATAAAGACGAGGATCCTGAAAATCAACAACAGGGCCAGTACTTGAATCAGGCTCAGCCTCGATAGTTTTCTTCAAAATGGGCGTTGTTTGTGCATTTTTCTCCTGAATAGAGAAATAATTAAAAGAAAAACTCATCGAAAATAAAAAGAAATTTATAAAGAAATAAAAATAATTTTCTATTTAGTCCCTCAGACAAAAGTGTGGATGAACCAACTCGTCATGAAACTCTCAGAGTGGTGCATGGATTAGCTCTCTTCACTGGGAATGAATAGAAAATGTTAGACATGCAACCAAGCCACTTAACCACGAATACAATTAACTTCACTCTTTCCAATTCCCTTTCATACTCTATCATATGGGGCTCAAATTTCCTATTTCACTCTCAAAACTTTGTTTCGCAAGTTTTACAGGTATTTTATAAACCCTTTTAGATTATTCAAAAAGCCCCTTATTCTAATCAATTTTAAAAATTAAAAGAAAAACCTCAAAATTCGCCTCTTCCTTTTTGACAGGTTTCAATTTCGATTGTTGTTCAGAAAGTATCCCCCATTTATTATCAGAAGCCATAGACTCAAGAACAAGTGACGGGGTCTTCACATTAACGTTAGAAAGGCTTTTAGCCAATTTCGTTTTCATCTTAAATTTATTCGAATTTTAATAAAAAAATTTTTCTAAACCTCATTAAGTCTTTGTACTTTCTCCATGTGTAATTGTGCAAATGCAATAGCTTCATCTGGCCTTAAAACCGTTTCGTTGAATTTATCAGATTTTGCAGATAATTGATGTAATGGAAGACCCAATCCCTTCATTCTCTCTTGAATTTGCATTTTTGCTTCATAAACAAATTCTTTGGTTTTGAGCTCCTCTGCCAGTGTTTCTTTTGATTTTTCGGCTTTAGGGGTAAATACTTCTTTTGACTTTTCAGACCTATGCCTGTCACTTCTGTCACTATCTCTCCTGCCATTAGTCACGTCTGATCTGCCACGCTTCTTCGGAATTTCATTTGAACGACGGGATGAACTAGACATTTCTTAAAAAATTTAAATGTTTAAAGCGCTTCATAATGAATGGAAAAAAATTCAGAAATGCTTTTTGCTAGTACAAGAAGCTTAACAAAATTTAATCTCAAATTTTGTTAACAATCTTAAATTAATTTTTAATAAAACCTCAATTTAATGTTTCAGCAGTTATTTATTGTTAAGAATTGTTGCTTGCTAACTGTAATTCTACCAAGTTTAAAATAAAAATCAGTCAAAAGTTTATTTAATCTGAAAAATTAAAAGAATAAATATACAAAAATAAACTTGACATAACTAATATTCTGGGAAAACAACAAGAGTTGTAGAGTTTCGCATGGAATTTTAGATCTGGGATAGGGGAGATTTCCCTAAAAATCTATAATACTAAAAGGGACAAAACTCCAAATATTTTAGATCGACTAAAGCCAAATATACATAAATAATTGACAATTCATAACTCAAAAATTAAATATATTAGCTATTTGAGTCACCTTAAACTGACTTCTGCTAAACATTTTCAGAGAAAACCTCAAATACCCTATTCGAAAATTACTTAAATGTTGGCGTCTGAATCGTGTAAGGAAAATATTAATGCCAAATTGAATAAGAAAACTACGGATTAAATCCGATTCAAAGATAAATAAAAAATAATATTGATATATTTATGAATTAAATTATGATTAAATTATATTTAAATTAATTGCATATACGAAAGATTTTAATTATAGAATATCGGACCTCACTTATAGATAAACCCAATACAAGACACCCCGATTAGAGATGTATTTTCAAAGTTTGTTTGACCATTTGAGCAGGGTAAGCCGTCTTGATTGACCGCTGGGCAGAGGAAAGCTATGTCCAAGACTGAGGAAACACTCAATTTAAGAGTGTATCCCCTTGTCTCAAGCCTCTATGTATAAGCGAAGTCCGATTAATTATATATAAAATTATTTAGAAAATATATAAAAAATATTTGCTTGAGGATTCCCTATAAATTAGAATAATACCTATTATATTAAGAATAAATTAAAATTAAAAATGTAAAATTGTCAATTGGATAGGCCAACATCTACATTAATTAATTACTAGGCCTTAGTGTATCGGTGAGGCTATAAGAGAGCAAGTATGGGCACTCTCGCTGTTAAAACTGTGATCCAAAGCATGCAGAAACACAAATTGTGCAGGCTCAGATTTGACAGGTGGAGCAACATTGGAAGTGTCAGGAACAACTTGAACTAAATTTGAAGGGAATTGCATGGGGGATAGACTAAAGAAATTTTTTGATAATCAACACCAGTGATGCGGAAGTTCCAAAATTATGGCGGTTCTAGTTCTGGAACTGGTTCCGGACCTTTGCCGGTTCCACGTTTCCACTTCCACAGCGGTTCCAGTTCCCAAGCGGTTCCAGCCATTTATCGGTTTCACGGTTCCGGAACTGAAACCCCCGCATCACTGATCAACACCACCACTTTTTAAAAATAAATTAAAATATAATATACCGCCAGTTTTGTCATCTTCATGATTCTCTCCGACCGCCGGTGGAGTATAATATGGACCGCCATAGAAGTTGCTGAAGAAATCCTTACTCGGCCAATTCAAAGTTTTGTCGTCGACTGAGTAGAGCGGATAGAAAAGTTTTGAATCGGAGAAGACCGTATACTAGAAAATTTTTTTAAATTTGATTCTTCAAAAATTCAAAAAATCAAACCGGAATTAAAAACTTTGTAAACTTCATAAAGTCATAGTTAACTGTTTGCACAGATCTCTTAAAACCCAAAAGAGTAGAGCGAACCATATAAAGACCATTAAGACAAAATTCAAAAGAACGAAGAGTGACTTTGTATTGCGCTGGAGAAGAAGATTCAGGATTATATATTGTTGTGTGAACAAGCAGATCCCTTTGCCAATCATCCAATTGTTGTTGCTTAATTGTTGGAACAACTCCTGGAGGCATGTAGAAAGTAATTTGAAGCATAGAAAGTCCCTAAAATGAACAGGAATTAGCAAGGGCGTACCAGTGGACTTCTGGGGCTAAAGCCCCCCTCGCCTGAGATCGACACCCTAGCTATGCCCTTGGGAATTGGATTGTCTTGATAAAATTTTAATAAGGTGGGCCATACTCAGGTTCTTGAGGACACCCAAAAATATAGCCTCAATAATTTCAAAAATACCGTAAGATATTTGCCAGCCTGAAGAATTCCACTCATTGACGTCCCCTTAATAAAATAAGTAGGTGGCTGAATAGCATACTTCTCCTTGGGAGGATAGAAGATGCGACAACCTAAAAATAGATTAGAAAACAAAATTATAGAAAAATAACCAGTCTGTTCAGCAATATTGCCAATAAGACGGTGACTAAGCTCAATATTCCAAGGATTAATAAGCGGAAGCAACGCAATACCAAAAGTCAACAAATCGTTTGAGGAACTCTTCTTGCCCTGTTTGAGTTGGAAATTTTCATTAAAGAATTCTATGAGAAGTTCTTCATTGCGCCACTCAGTTTTCAACACTCCATTGGTAAAGTCATCGGAGACATTAAAGCGAATAGGCAACGATTGCTCGTTGATTTTATCCTCTATGCGTGAAACAAATTGACGCGGATTAGAAGCCTCAATCTGGACAATAACACGAATTGGAGTGCGCAACTAAAAATAAAAAGAATAAATAAGAAAAATTAAAAGGGAAACATTACACGAATCTGTGAACGAATTTCCTCAACATTCTTCATTGAACCGCTAATCAAAACGTTGTTCAATTTGAGTCCATCAGGTCGAGTATTAGTATCAGGAAAGTGTAGCAATGATTTGTAACGTGTCATGAAGTACTAAATTTTAGTTAACTGGTAAGATACGTTAAAATATAGTAAAGCAGTTAGGCTATAGCTATCTGTACCCTTTAGCTAGTACAAAAGGTTAATTGGTGGCATCTTCAGTAGACCGGACTGATGTGTTACATTTACACCACGCCTACTGCATAGCCTTAGGGATTAAATAGCTATATGCTTTACAATACGACAGGTCTCTTCAGAAAACGAGACACTAGTTAAAGGTCTCAAAGGGTAACATAACATTCTACCATGGGACAGGACGCGACGCCTGATTTTCCACAAGACGCTCTTTAGTAATTTTAGATTAAAGAAGCTAGAGCCTCATTAAAACCCCAAAACCATCACGGGTGAATTCCAAAAATTATAACAAACGAACCTGGCTTTTCCTTCCACGAGGTCCAATTAGATAAGGATGATCAAGGAAAGGAACATCCATACAAAGTTGCAGACAATCAACCTAAAATAGACATTTCAATTAAAATATAAAAATAAATCTTACATTCTTTGGGTCAATGTTAAGTTTGTTCATTAAACCACTCCTAGGTGAAAAGCGAATCATATCAGCATTTGGACTATTAAATTTCTGCTGAGGTCGACGTTGGCTAGGAGTGCTAGGGGGCATATTCAGTCGTTTGTTTATAAATAAAATTGTGTTGTTTAAAAAATAAGAAAGAAATTAGAATATAAGGTTAGAAACCCTTAAAACAAATAAGAATAAAATAAAAAATATCAAAAAATTAAATAATTATAGAAGTGTCATCAACTTATTGAAAAATAAACTAAATAGTAAAATGAAAAAGGAATAAATGAAAGTTCGTTTATGAAGAATTTTTAATCATTGAAGAATATTTAAAAAACGTTTTACCAAAGCTTTTTTTATGAATTACGCCAAAAAGCGGTATTTCAACTTACCCACACTAATTTATTTCGAATCTATGGACTGAAATTGATTGAAATTTGCAGATCTTTCCGCAAAAGTCGGTCCACAAATGTTGCAGAATCTCGTTCAGCGAAACACTATAAAACAAGTCGGAATGGTCAATAGTGGACAAAGATACCTCAAGAACTCTAAAAAAGAACTCTATTAATTGTTAGAATAGTAGGTAAATAGTACAAGTCTTCTTTTTTTGCGAGGTCAAAAAAAGAAATCTAAAGACTCGGCTTGATAAAATCCAATTCGAAAAAACGTCTCGAAACCTCTGAAAAATGAGTTTTCGAGAGTTTTCATTATTTACAAATCATTTAAAAAATAAATCTTTATTAACATCCACAAAAGAAATTCAACGGGAACATTAACCCTTTTTAAAAATACAAAATAAAATTCTCATTCAACTAAATTTATTCCTGAACTCGACAAAAAAGTAGAATTAAAAAAACAACTATCGGTTAAATAATTAAAAAAACACAAAGAATGTCGGCACATCTTTATTTGATAAATTGCCTTATATTTACTCATCTTCAACTTATTTATAGTCAACAGAAAACAAACAATTCATTGTGCATATTCGAGACCAACTCCAAACCTTTAAAATTTAAAATTTCCCGATTTTTTAAATCTAATTCTAAAGGGATACTTGTTCGAAGTGTCAGGCAGTCCAGCAAGTCCAAATTGAGATGTAAAAGTCAACTTAACAGTCGAACTCAAGTTATGAGTTGCAGCAACGGTCACTTGAGATCTAAGGAAAATATTAATAAATTAAAATTCATTGACTAAAACAAACTGGTGATCGACTTTAGCGCGCAGACACAAATCTGGATTTACTTGATATTTAGAAGCAAGGCTCCATTGATTATTCTCTTCCTTCAATTTCCACATATATTGCACTCCAAATTCAAAATTCTTGTGGACTTTATGGTAGAGACTGAAATAAAAAAAGGTATCACTGAAGTTCGTATATCCCCTCCTTTTTCCTTCCTTCCCCAAACTCAATTTCCCTATGACATGGAATCAGTCAATAAAGAATCGGCACTGAAGGGGCCAAAAAATTTAATTTTTGCGCTGCAGACAAAAATTTTAAGAATTTTGGAGGCCGTAGGCCAAAAAACTCACCTGTGATCATCCCTCATTTCCCAATTTCGGAGGATGGGGAGATTCCCATCCTCTACCCCTCTAGCTACGGGCAGGGTATACGAACTTCAATTTTATCAAAAAATTCTCATTAAAAATGTAAGATAAAAAACCTTCCACCAAATTCATTCCCATCATTCGTATAGGTGTGCAACGCATAATCAGAAGTTTGGTGAAGAAAAGCAAGAGAAGTAGCTTTGAGTTCATTTGCTTGAAGATCATACTTTGCTTTGGCACCAGCCATCCAGTCCTTATAAACCTTGCTAACACCAAAAACTTCCAAAACAGGAGCGCCGACCAAAGAAAGATTAGCGTTTAATCTGACCATCTCACCCGAGAAGTCAGTCTTTACGAGACATTCACGCTTTCCAGAATTTGGAGTATATTTGGTGTCAATAGTCACTTTCAGACCCTTAGCCAGTTGGTTGTTCAACTCCAAAATAGATCCGAGTTGATTGGCAGTGTTCAATGACTCGGTTATAGTTGTACCTTGAAACAGACGAAGAACTTAGCAAAAAAAACTAAAAACCCCACCATATTCAGGAATCTTGTATTTAACTTCCAATTTGTTCTTGATCTTTTGAGTCGAAAGATTGTGTTCGCCTTCACTTTTGAACTCGACATTAGGTCCAGATTTCGATTTCACATCCAATTTAAGAAGTCCATGAGCTTAAAAGTAAAAATATATTTAACTAATTTTCACGAAAACAAACTATATCCTTTGGTGAACAAATCTTTAGTTGACTTTCCAAAATCGGTGAATTGCGGTGGTGCCATAACACTATTTAGAATAAAGAAGTATTCACTAAATAAATTAGAAAATTTGATTAATTAAATTAAAAAAAGCCGAAAAAAGAATAAAAAAACAATTTTGGACATTAATAAGTACCATTACAAAAGTTACCAAATCGAAATGAAATGTCATTTTGGTAAAATATCATTTTAGTCTTTCTTTTTCACCAAAATTTGTTTTACCAAACAGATTGAGAGAAAATTTTTTTGGTTTTAGCGCATTTCTGTCATTTTAATTTTTAGTTAGATTTTTGTTTTTTTAAATATCCTTTCATAGATCCACTAATATAATTTCACTAACACGACTTAATGCTATTTGAGAATGATTTCCGATGAACAACTAGAAAAGTTCACAACAATCGCACAAATTGGCAATGGTTCATTTGGAAAATGCTTTTTATGTGAACGCTGTTCTGATGGGGAGCAAGTTGTTCTGAAGAAAATAATGTTGAATGAAGATGCCAAATGTGAGCTTCTTTTAAATTTCCTTAAAATTTGTATTCCTCTCACCTTGATAATTTCCCCCATATTTTAGTTGAAGCCTTCCTAATTAGTCAAATCAACCATGAAAATGTTGTCAAAACCTTTGAGAGCTACGTAAGCCACAGAAGCGTCTACATAGTTATGGAATATATGTCTGGTGGAACTCTTCACGAACTCATCAAGCAACCAGGAAAGCCTTTGGAGGACAGAATTGTTCTCAATTATACGTCACAAATTGCTTCAGCTCTTAGGTACATCCATCAAGATCATCGAATTATTCACAGAGATGTGAGTTTTGGCTTTAAAATTCAATTTTGGTTTTTTCTAATTCTTTATTTTTAAGGTAAAGCCTAGTAATGTTCTACTCACTGATCACAAACACCTTGATCACAAAACGCTGAAACTTTGCGATTTTGGAATTGCTTTGAAACTCGAATCTGGTCAAAGATTAAAAGGCAAAATCGGCGCTCCTGGCACTCTTAATTACTTGGCACCTGAAATACTTGGAGGTAAACTTTAAATTTAATAGGTAGTTTCAAGATTCGTCCTCACTTTTCTTCCTTAAAAGTTGCATACTTGCCTTTCTTTCCCAAGTACCTTGCCCCATGGCATTCTCAATTGAGAGATAATGATCAAAACGGCATCAATTTTTAAAAATGTGACGCTCTTTTATATTTTCTACGTCAAATTACTAATCTTTTATTGACTGATTGAATGGGAAATAGAAAGAATTACCCAATTTCATTGTTTGGAAATTTAAAATGTTTTGAAACTTTTTTAAAACTTTAAGCCTGTGAGTACGACTTCAAAGCAGATATTTGGTCGTTAGGCTGTGTTGTTTTTGAAATGATTGAAAGAGAAAAAGCTTTTCCTGGTGTGCAAGAATTGGCAGTTTTCCACAAAATTTGCAATGTAAACTTTTAAAAGAAATTCGAGTTATTAATTTCATTTTTAGAGAATTGTTGCCATTCCAGAAGATTCAAAGCTATGTTTTTTAATTAATGTATTGCTCGAACCAAAACAAGAGAAAAGGCCGTCGGCAGAAGGTTTTTTTGTTATTTACAAAAAGTTATTTTATTTTTATTTCAGAAGTTCTTACTCTTTTGGAGAACATGGCTTTAATTGAAGAATGTACAAATGATGGAAGCCGCTGGTGGAATTTCAGCTTTTGGCCGAAAGGTAAAAGAACTTATCATTTGAAATAAAAAAAGAACTAGGAAATATAGATATTGTGTGTACATATAAGTATAAGTAATTTTCTTACAATTAACTAATCCCTCAACATCAAAACCTCTCCTTAAATTTTAACGCAGTTTTAACATTTTCTGTAAATATCCCTAGAGAGTCTCGACTCGTTTTTTACATCTTTATAGGAAAGAATCTCCTCGATTGTCTCTGATTTTTCTGTTTTTTTCCACCTATAAGTAAATAGATGTTCTAATTTTATAGTCAATATTTGCTTGTTATTTAGTCCAATATTCATTAAAGTTCTGTGACAATTCTTAAATATTTTTTTGATTAAAAAATATTTGGAGGTTTTGATGTTGAATTAATTCCCATTAGTAATTTTTCATATTCACATTATTGTACATTTAAGGCGTTAATTTTTATAATTCGGTTACATCCCCTTTATTTAGAAATTTTAACCCCAAAAATTAGCACACTTATGCGCTTTTATCTTGACAACCAACCTTATTAAAAGTTTTAGACAATTCTCGGTTGTCATTTTTGAATCAAACTATTTTTGATTAACTTAATAATAATAAGACAATTTTAGCTTAATCAAATTTAAAAAATAATGCTTAATACTTGCCGATTAACCTAAATCGTAAAAATTTCAGAGGATCTTTCCTTTCCATCTTGGTTTTTCTTTTTTTGTTTTGCTTTTGGCACATGAATGTTTAAAGGAGGCGTATAAAATAAAATGGAACAATTAAGATTATTTCCCTAGCTAAATTATTTTAAACTCATTTAACCGAAAAAGAGTTTCACAGTCAACTAAAGACCGACCAAGAGAATCGATCTTCGAGTTTGTTAGTTAAAATTCCTTTGAAAACTTGATTGGCCCAGTCTTTAGTCACTTTCTCTCTGTATTGTTTTCGGGGAAATTAAATTTTGTAAGGATATAGTGGTCTTCTGTCCGTTACGTTTTTAGTTCCACATGCTAAAAATTGAGATTTCAAGTGTCTGAAAAGAATAAAACCGCACCATAAAAGGCGAATACTCAAAACTTCAAAACATCAAGACCTCTCTATTCCCACAATAAAAAATGGCGCATTTGCCAAAATTCTTCAATCAGGAGATGGTAAAGATACGCCCAAGCAAACAACAGGAACGTCAACGTCCTTCTGCTACTCAGCATCAACAAGAAATCGTGATGCACATAAAGAATCACCAGCAGCAACAAATGAAAGAGAAGAACCAAGGGAGGCCCGTGGGAGGGCTTATGGCAAGAAGATCTATTGGTAAATTTACAACATTTTGGAATCAATTTCTTTTGAAGCTTTTTCGGGAGTTTACAAAGTTGAGGAAAGCAAAAGTGGATTTTTATTTAAATTCATTTTTTCCTTTTGAATTTCCAGTGAAAGTATAAGCTACAAAGTGTTGGATTACTTGTCCCGTGGAGCTTTTTCATCAGTGTATAAAGTAGTGGATAGCAAGGACGGCTCAATGTTTGCAGTAAAAGAAGAACAATCAAAGCCAAATTGTCAATTTAATCTGCTCAAGGAGATAGCAATTTTGGAAGCAGTGAAAAGTGCAACAGAAGAGGATCAAAAGCGATTTGCAGTTTTGCATGCAAAATGTAACTTGGATACTTCAATGCTTTTTGTAATGACTGTTTGGCGAGTCTCTCTCTTCATTGAAACGTATGGCGAGTCTCAAACGTTTCAATGAAGAGAGTGACTCGCCAAACAGTCATTACAAAAAGCATTGAAGTATCCAAGTTACATTTTGCATGCAAAACTGCAAATCGCTTTTGATCCTCTTCTGTTGCACTTTTCACTGCTTCCAAAATTGCTATCTCCTTGAGCAGATTAAATTGACAATTTGGCTTTGATTGTTCTTCTTTTACTGCAAACATTGAGCCGTCCTTGCTATCCACTACTTTATACACTGATGAAAAAGCTCCACGGGACAAGTAATCCAACACTTTGTAGCTTATACTTTCACTGGAAATTCAAAAGGAAAAAATGAATTTAAATAAAAATCCACTTTTGCTTTCCTCAACTTTGTAAACTCCCGAAAAAGCTTCAAAAGAAATTGATTCCAAAATGTTGTAAATTTACCAATAGATCTTCTTGCCATAAGCCCTCCCACGGGCCTCCCTTGGTTCTTCTCTTTCATTTGTTGCTGCTGGTGATTCTTTATGTGCATCACGATTTCTTGTTGATGCTGAGTAGCAGAAGGACGTTGACGTTCCTGTTGTTTGCTTGGGCGTATCTTTACCATCTCCTGATTGAAGAATTTTGGCAAATGCGCCATTTTTTATTGTGGGAATAGAGAGGTCTTGATGTTTTGAAGTTTTGAGTATTCGCCTTTTATGGTGCGGTTTTATTCTTTTCAGACACTTGAAATCTCAATTTTTAGCATGTGGAACTAAAAACGTAACGGACAGAAGACCACTATATCCTTACAAAATTTAATTTCCCCGAAAACAATACAGATAAAGATAGGATCAATCAAGTTTTCAAAGGATTTTTAAGCTTAAAACTCGAGGATCGATGCTCTTGGTAGGTCCTTAGTTGATTATGAAACTTTTCTTCGGTTAACTGAGCTTAATATAATTTAGCTAGTTAAATAATTTTAATTGTTCCATTAAATAATAATTCTAATTATTCCTCCTTTTAATTATTCATGTGCCAAAAGTAAAACAAAAGAAAGAAAAAACAAGATGGAAAGCTCCGTTGAAAGTTTTACGATATTTAGGTTAATCGACAAGTATCAAGCATTATTTTTTAAATTTGATTAAGCTAAGATTGTTTTATTATTAAGTTAATGGTAATTATTTAAAAAATGTTGGTTGTCAAGTTTATTTTATAATTGTTTTAACTAAAAGATTAAAAATTAAACCTACTTCCTCCTAATTTTTTTTATTTTTTAAAGAGGCTTTAAATAAATATTTTAAATTTTTTATTTATTTTTAATTTTTTTTTTAAAAATTTAATTTAACAAAGCTTTATTTTTTCTTTGAACAACAACAATAATTATTTAAAAATTAATTAAAAATTAAGGAAATTATTTAAAAATAGAAATATCTCCTTTTTCTTCTGAAATTCCATGTGATTTTTTTCCAAGCAGTTTGTAAAACATCTGCTAAAATAAATTAAAATTTAATCTTTCTTTTTTTGCTTTTTTTCCAATTTAACTGATCGAACAATCCCTTTGGGACAAATTTAATTTTTTTATCAAAAAATGCCATTCTTTTCTTTAATAAAATATGTAGGAGGAAATATCTATTACCGCTCATTGCCATGCTTTTTCCATTAATTTAGCATCTGGAGAAGAAAAACAAAAAAATAATAAAAAGGGTTCCAAAAAGAAAGTCGCCTGACTAAAAAGAAAAACCGCTAAAACACAACGAGGGAGAAAGACAGCTGCTTGAATTTGAGGTTTTTTAGGGGCAGATGAGAGGAAAGAGGGAAGGGGTTTTTTGTGGCTGCACATATAAGCTGTCACTCGTTTCAAGCCGCATTTTAAATCGATTCCTTTTTATCACAAGTCTGGAAGAAAAATGAGAAAATGTGTGGGAAATATGGGGGGTTAAAGGATGGGACATTTGTGCGTGTGTTTGGTTCGGGAATAAATAAAAAAAGGGAGGGTAACATATTTTGAAAGAAGCCTGCTTTACCTCCCCTTCCAACCTTTTTTATCTCCCCCGCAAGGCTCTGAACCATATATTTCCTATATTTTTTATTGAGATAAAAAAGAGAAGAAAGCTGGCAATGCTTCTTCTTTTTCTAGTCTATGAAATTCAACCCCTTTTTCTCGTTTACTCATTCAAAGCAATATATTTACGGTCAACAAACTCAATTTCTTGAATTCATTTTGTGCCTTATTTTTTATTTTGATAAAAAGGCAACCCAAAAGTTAATTCTAAATATTAAATTACTTTTTTGACATTAATAAAAAAATATTTTTTTTACTTCCCGAATTTACTTTAAAAATAATAATTTTTATTTATTGAAATTTAATGTTTAATTTAATTTAATTTATTGAGTAAACCACAAAGTACATAAAAAAGTACAATTATAGTGGTAAAATAAAAAATAAATTTTTAAAATACTATAAGAAAATGTCATAATAAATTTATAAAAAAATGTCAATCTAGGAGGATAAGGGAGTTGCGAACTAAAACCTCTATTTTATAAAGTTATTAACAAGTACTCTAAATTTTTGCGAATTATATGTTTGTAAAATTTCATTAGGTAAGCTATTCCAGTTATTTATGATTCTATTAAAAAAATTATTTCTAGTTTTACCGTTAAACTTTTTGTTCCTTAAACAAAATATTTTCCTTTTAGCTTTTACTGCAAAATCAAAGTATTTTTGTGGGTCTAGATGCGTCTGTTTTGAAATAATTTTGTGCGCCATTACAAGATCGGCTACTTTTCTTCGATGGCTTAGTTGTTTTAGTTTGAATTTGTTAAGTCTTTGTTCATAAGGTAGTGGCGTTATTCCTGTGATTTTTAATGCTCTTCTTGTAAAATATTTTTGTACTCGCTCTATTTTATTAATTTGAAGAATTCTGTTTGGGTTCCAAATTTCAGTGGCATATTCAAGTTGAGGACGAATATAAGATTTATATACATTTATTAAAGTCTTAAATTCTCTAGTTTTTAATATTCTTAGTATTTGATAAGTTATAAAGTATGAATTTTTAACTATTTTATCAATATGTTTGTTAAATTTTAAGTTGTTATCAATTAGGATACCTAAGTCTCGTACGCAATCTGATGTGTTTAATGTTTGATTAAATATTTTATATTCCTGTTTAAGGTTTCCTTTTCCTATATAAAGTATTACACATTTCTTAATTGATATTTCTAAAAAGTTTGATATAACCCAATTTTGTAATATTGTTATTGATTCATTAAGATAATTAATATTAGAATCATTATTATGTGAAATATAAAGCTTTATATCATCTGCATATATTTTATAGCCTATTTCTTTTGGAAGGTTGACAGGGAAATCATTAATAAAGATTGTGAATAAAATAGGTCCCAAAACACTGCCCTGGGGAACACCTGAATATGTATGAAAAGATCTTGAAAACGAGTCATTTATTTTTACACGGTAGGATCGTCCTGTTACAAAATGCTTTATGAATTCAAAAATTTTTCCAGATATACCAGCATTTTTAACTTTTGTAAGTAATAAATTTATTGGAACTGTGTCAAAAGCTTTTTTTAAGTCGATATAAATTACATCTATATTCTGATTGTTACCTACTGCATTGTAAAAATCTTCTAACATTGTTAGAAGTTGTGTAGTAGTAGATCTTGATTTGAGGAAACCAAATTGATTTTTATCAAAAAAATCCTTATTATGTAAAAATTCTATAATATTATTAGCTATGATTCTTTCAAAAACTCTACATAATGTACAAGTTAGGGAAATTGGCCTATAATTTTCTGGATCTGTTGTTATTCCTTTTTTATGTATAGGTACTATAATTGATGTTTTCCAAATGTCGGGTATATTTTTACTATCTAATATTAGTCTAAAGATTTCTGTAATATATTGTGCGATTTGATCACACGATCTCTTTAATAATATATAGGGTATTTGATCTGGTGATGTTGAATTTCTATTTGGAAGTCTTTTAAGTAAATCTAGAATTTGCAGAATATCAAAGTTTATATCTTTGATAAGATTTTGTGAATTAGAGTTAGGATTTTGAGAGTAGACGTCAATAAATTCTTGACTTTGAGTTTCTTTATCAGTGAAGTTACTTTGAAAACTTTCTGCAAGTAACTCACATTTTTCCTGATCTTTTGTAAGTATATTTCCTTTTTTATCTATTAATGCGTCAATACATGCGTTTGTTTTAAGTTTCTTTTTAATAAATTTGTGAATTGCATTTGCACCTTTTGATATAATGGTGTTCTCCTTATTATAATGAAATTTTTGTAATTGAATTTTAAGTTGTCGTGAGATAATTTTATATTTTGTTGCTAGATTAGAATTAGGAGATTCCTTCAAGGTTTTGTGTAATTTTAGTTTTTCTTGATTCAGAGATCGGATTTTTTGTGGATATTCGTTTTTAATTATGGTATTTATAGTCCTAAGTGGTATGAATTTATCATAATAAAAATATAGTATTTCAGTAAAAGAATTATATTTTTCATTGATTGCATATTTGTCAGACATATATTTTATAAAATCAAGTTGTGTTAGCTCTATGTTTAACTTGGAGAAACCTTTTTCTGTTACTTTTCTTATATATATCTTCTTTTTTGGAATACGCATAGTGCATAAGGAAAGATTGAACTTTAAGGATTTGTGATCAGATGTTGAAAAATTTTCAGTGATCTCTAAATTTCTAACTAAGTCATGGGGTCTCGAAAATACAAGATCTAAGATATTATCGCCGCGAGTAGGTGATGTAACATGTTGTTTAATTTGGGTGCGATTAACAAATTCAATAAATATTTGTGTAGTATTATCGTTTGAACAAGAGTTTGTTAACCAGTTTATTGTGTTAATATTAAAATCACCAGCTATTATTAAGTTTTTATGGTTTAAGTCAGCAATATATTTAAGTATTTTATTAGTACTAGATTGATTAAGTGATGGGGGTCTATATAAAGTAATAACAATAGTAGGTTTGGTAATTAGAATCTCAATAATAATAATTTCGCAACCAAATTTTGTCCCACAGAACAAAAGTTTGACAGGTATAGTTGATAAAATTAAAAGACAACAGCCACCTCCCCTTTTATTTGGACGATTTGCAAAGTAACACTGATATTTATCACCCATTGAAAAATCTGTTTTTATACAATTAGATTGAGTAAGCCAGCTTTCGGTAATCATACAAATGCTAGGGTTATGTATTTCAAGAAAATGTTGCAAATCAGGCACTTTATTATTTAGTGATCTGCTGTTAAAGCAAAGGCATGTTAAATTTTTTATATCTATATCAATGTTAGAATTTTTTGACTTTCGGGGTTTACTCAATTTATCCTATTTAGTATTGAGAGGTTTAGGTTCGCGTAACTCCCTTATTTGTAGGTCAACTACATAATATTTAAAAAGTTTGCATGAAGCATTAAGTGAATATGCTTTAGACCGTTGTGAATATAATATTGCTAATTCGGCCGGGATCATATCCCTTCGAACAGTAAGATTTTGGGGAAGGGAATGTATTTTACGCAAAGTGTTTCTAAAAGAATACAAAAATTTGTCACGCGAAATAGAGTTTTTAAAAGAAATTTTAATTAATTTTGGTTTTTTGTTTATTTCGCTAGACATATTTTTGTTTTGTGGGTGACGGTGTGTATGTTCTGGCAAATATTCATTAGTAAGTCCAATAGAATCAATAATTTTTCCTACCACTTCCTTCTCATCCATAGATTCAGGTAGTTTTTCTAGAACAGCTCTACATGATTTTTGCTTGAGAAGATCCCCATTAGATGCTGCTGAAGATATTAGTTTCATAACAAGGTCAGGTGGAGGACTTAGGGCAGAAATAGGCGAACCCCATGATGGTTGGGAAGTTGTGTTGTTGTTATTATTGTCAATACGTGTTAAAATTTCTTCAATTTTTAATATTTTTTCTTCAATTTTTTCAATACGTGTCAATACAATTTCATTAGTATTATTTTTTTTATTTGATGTTGTCAAGGGAGTAACAATATTAGAAATTTTTGTTGTTAATTGCTCTACTAATTTTTCCAATCGATCTATTCTTTGTTCTATTATATTGCCTTCATCCTCAGAACTTTCTAGTGATTTTTGTCTTTTCTTTGTCGATTTGGACATTGTCAAATCTTAAACTTGGCAACACTTAGAAAAAAAAAACATAAGCAAACACTTAGAAAAAGAAAACGAAAAAAATTAAAATCGTTAATGTTTAAAATCGTTTTGTTTAAATTGTTTTGTTTGTATTGTTTGTTTAATTTGTTTTGCTTTGAAATGTTTTGTTTGATTGTTTGTTTTGTTAGGATTGTTTGTTTGTTTAACTTCCGCAACAAACAAACATTCTAAAAACATAAACATTTATGAGAAAAACATTATAAAAATGTTTCTTTTGTTTTATCAATGTTTCAGGTGATGTTTGAGATGTTGTTTGAAATAATTATTCTATTGTTTTAATTTATTCATTTCTTCCGTTTATTATGCAAAAACATAAGCAAACACTTAGAAAAAGAAAACGAAAAAAACATTAAAAATTAAGGATGTATTTTATAAATGATGTTTGTGTGAAAATAGTGTATTTACATAATTTTTTAATTTAAAATGAGAAACTTCCGGAAAGAAAACACGGAAAGTGTTTTTATTAAATGTTGTTTTCCTGTCTGAGTTTTTGACAGCTAATTTAAATTAAATTTGGTTTTAAAGGATAAAAAGTTGTTTTTAATTTAAAGTAATCCTATTTAAAATTAATTTTTTTTTAAATTTAATTTCGTTTTAAAGCTATTCAACTGCTTCTTTTGCCTCTATATTTTTGTTTTGGTGTGTTTTTGTATTCTTGTTTATTTTAGGGTTTTCTATTTTTATTTTATTATTATTTTTTGTTTATATTTTCATTTTTATATTTTATTTATTTTCCCATTATTTAAAATTAATTTAATAATTTATTTAAAGAATTAAAAAACCTCCCACAATAATTATTTAATATTTTTATTCAAATGTTTTATTCTCCTTTTTCCCCAAACATTCTTCACAACAAATAAAAACATCAATAAAAACATCAATAAAAACATCAATAAAAACATCAGTAAAAACATGAATATATTCAAAACAACAATAAACGAACAACAACAACAAAAACATTTATTACCTCAACAACAACAACAACAACAACATGTTTTACTTAAAAATACCCCAATGTTTTTACAAACATTAAATAATTCTTTTACTGAAACAAAACAATTAGAACAACAACAACAATTTGTTTGTTCTCTAGGAGTTCATGTTTCCATATGGCCTTCATGCCTTCTTTTAAGCGAAGCATTTATTAATGTTGCGTTTATTTCCGTTGTTATGTTGGTATGTTTTTGTTTGTTTTTCTAATTAAATTTAATTAATAAAAACAGGAAAGGGTGGAAGGAAAAGGGAAGGAAATTAAATTAAAAATTATATATTAAATAAAATTAAAAGAAACTTTTTGATTAAAAAAATATTAAAAAAAAATTTTTTTTTTTAAATTTCAAAAAAAAATTTTTTTTTTGAATTTTAAAATTTTTTTCAAAAATTAAAAAAAATTTTTAAATTAAAAAAACATTTTTTCTTCCCCAAGGTAATTGTACTTGGTAATTTAATGGTAGTACTAACAGTCAAGTTTGACTCCAAACTGCGAGCTCAACGACAAAATTGGCTTATTGTTTCACTGTAAAATTCTCTAGAAAAATTAAAAAATTAAAAAATAAAATTTTTAGTGCCGTCGCCGATTTTTTAGTTGGATTATTAGTTATGCCGTTAACTTTGCTTTATGAAATTATTGGGGTTTGGATTTTAGGTGGGCCAAAAAAATTAAAAAAAATAATTTTTGGGAAATTTAAGGAGGTTTTCTTTGTGAATTATGGCTGGCTTTGGATGTTCTTTTTGTTACTGTAAGCAAGGAAAAATTTTTTTTCAAAAATTTTTTAAATTAAAAAGGCCTCAATTCTCCATATCTGCATTATTTCACTTGATCGGTATTGGTCAGTAACACAACCCTTAACTTATCCAATTAAAAGAACACCAACTAGAATATGTGTAATGATAGGTAAATTTATTTTAAAAAATATTTTTAAAAATCTCTAGAAAATTTTTTTTGTTAATTCTCCAAAAATGCAAAATTCCAATCCTTTTCTATCCAAAAAAATATAGAGGTGAACTGAAATAATTACTAAATCTTTATGAAAATCATTTCTAAAATCGTCTTATAATTCACTTATAGTCTAATTCTACTATAAGAATTCGCCTTATAAAGACATGAATTTTTATTAAATCCAAAAGAATATATTTTGTAAATATTATAGTTCAGCCTGGGTATTGTCTGGACCAAGGCCCGGGGTTTTCTTGTACCCAGAGTTCAGGTCCAAGCATTTTTTGACCTTCCTGTGTTTTTCCTGAGCCTGGGGGTTTTCCTAGACTACAGGTCTAAGATCCGGCCCAGGTTTATAAATTAAACCCAGAGTCCAGTAACAGGTTCAGGCGTTTCAAAAATACCGATCTCTAGTAAATATATATATTATTTTAAATTTTGTCCGAATTTAGAATTTTTAGCAATTAAAAATATTTTTTTTTGAAATTAGAAATTTTATCTTCTCTCTAATTTATTTTTTTTCAATTTCATGAAGACATCATTTTTTATATTTTTTTGGCCCGTTCTTTTATATTTTTAATATCCACTTTACTTTTCTCTCTAGAGGGCCGCTGTACTTTGTACATACTTTAAAAACTTTAAAAAATACAATTTAAGAAATTTAATATTTTTTTTCTAAACTTTATCAGGTGTGGCCTGGCTGGTTTCTTTTTTAATAAGTTTTCCTCCACTTCTTGGATGGCGTCCCCAAAGGGTTTGTAAAAAATATTTTTTTAATTAAAATAAAAGTTGATGAAAAAGAATAAAAATTTTGGAAATATGTAGTTGGACCTCACTATAATATAACCCAATATTAGAGACAACACACCTCTGTCTGAGATACATTTTTTATATTTTTGTTGGCCACTGGGTGAGGGGGGGGGTGGATGGAGGGATCCTGGAGGTTATCCTTTTTTCCATTTAAAAATTGAAAAAATCCGAAGAATGGGCGAGACCTTTACCATATTGTCTAGAGGTGTCGGTTCGTATGAAACAAAGAACTGAGAAAAATTTTTTTGAAAATTTTTCAAGAACAGACAGCCCTAGTTATCGTATAAGATAACCTGCATGTGTTCGGTATAGTCTGCTCTACTTTATACCCAAAAACTTGAAAAAATAAAACAGAGATTATCACTATAATGAGGCCGATTTAATTAAAAATTAAAAACCCCCAAAAATCTTAAAAAATTTTTGAAAAAAATTAAAAAAAAATTTTTTAAGAGCCCAGGAGAATGTTCAGTATCATCAGAGTTAGACTACGTTCTTTACTCCTCCCTAGGCTCTTTTTATATTCCTATAGCAGTTTTGGTTATGGTCTATTGGAGGATTTATGCAATAACTAAAAGACATAGCCAGCAAAGATTAAAAGATACCCAGAGAATGGACGAAACGCTTTACTCAATGACTGGGGGATCGACAAAAATAAATGGAAAATTGGAAGAATTTAAAGAAAAAAATAATTTGGAAAATTTAAATAATTTATCTATGGAATCTGATGTTAATTCTGTTTGTGCTAAAACAATTAAAGAAGAAGAGAAGGATGAAGGGGTAGGTGTTGGGGAAAAATATTTTTTTTGAAAATTTTAGGAATTGAAAGGATCCAAGGATTAAGCAAGATCGTTACCTAACTATATTCGTCTATCTAATCCGTCCCTGTTAATTTTTTTCTGAATTTTCAGAGGAATAATAAGGGTTTGTAGGAGGTGTTGGTTGGAAATTACGAAGGTGTTGGAAATCGGAATTCCGACCGACTCCTGGTTTGTAGGGGATAAATACGAAAGATCAAAAGATTTCTATATTTCCGTTCTTTAAAATTTGATTGACTTAGTAGGAGGGTATTCATTAACTATATTTAGCAGCAGGATCTAATCAACTCTATTCCCAATTTTCTAAATTGTGAATTTTTATTTTTTTATCTCGGCAAGATCCCTCCCTGTGTATGATCACTTACACACTGTTACAATGATTGGTTCTTAAAATTCAAAAAAAAATTTCAATAAAAATTTCTTTTGAATTTTAAAATTCTTATTAAATATTTATTCAAAAACTCTCCCTCCTCGTAAAATTTTTGTAAAATTTAATTTTAACAAATTTATAGAATAAACGACCAACAAACCGTTGTTCAACATTATTTTCACCTTTATTTAAAAGAGGACAGGCATGGACTGACACAGAAATTCTGTCTGGAATACAACGAAAACGAAGCATAGAAAAACGAAAAAGAAGATTAAAAGTGCTTTTTTAATTAATTAAATTTTGAAAAAATTTTTTTAAGGCAAAAGAAAGACAAGCAACTCTTTTACTTGGCCTTATACTTTTTGCTTTTATTATTAGTTGGATGCCATTTTTTGTAAGAGAAAAAAATTTTTTTTTAAAAATTGAAAAAAATATTTTTTTGAAGGTGATCTATGTATTAAATGCTCTCACTTTGGATATTCCTATGCCTATATTTAAATTTTTCTTTTGGCTTGGATATTGTTAGTAGCCTTTTAAAAAATATTTTTAAAATATTAAGAGAAGGGTAATTAATGTTGTTGGGTATTGAGTGTTTTTTGAAGACGGTTCCGGCTCCAGAGCCGATGGTTTTCGGAGCTTTCCATGTTTTCCATTTCCTAGTAGGTATAGCTTAGCAAGCTCTCCAACCATTTTAGAATAACCTTACACTAAACTGAGTTGTATGCTTAAGTTGGGGCTTATATTATAACAAGATTTGATTGTATAATTAAACAAATTGTCTCTCTGAACTTTTATTTCTTGCCCCTTTAGTGAGTATGCTAGAAAATTCTACTAGAAATTTTTGAGTCTAAATCTAGTTATTTAAAATTTGAAAAATATTTAAAATTATTTAAAACCAATCCACTCTCGAATTTTCTCTTCTTTTTTCTAAATTATTTTAAATTTGAAGGTAATAGTGCCATCAACCCAATAATTTATACTTACTATAATCGAGAATTTAAACGTGCACTTTTTCGACTTATTCGAAGGCATCAACACAGACTTAATTTTTTAAAGAATATTTTATATCACAAATAAATTAATTAAAATTCTATAAATAATATACGGTTCTTTCTATAAATATATGTAAATTGGGGGTTAAATATTGAAGAAAAATTAAAAAAATTTTTTTTTCAAAATTTTGAAGTAAATTTTTAATTTTTTTAATTAAAAATCCCAATTTATATATAAATCTATTTTTTAATGCCATAATTATTTTTAAAAAAATATTTTTATTTTGAATAAATATTTTTTTTAATTAAAAAAAGTTTATTAGAAAATAGTACTCCTTGTGAAGCTTAACCTTTACTTTAACGCTTATAAAATTGTCTATAGAGTAACTATAAACATGAAAATCTGTTTGATTATGTCTAAAACACCTAATTAACTTCGCCAAAAATTTGAAAATTTTTGGTTTAATATTTTCCCGAGTTGTGACCGAAAAGGTGTTGAAAATTCTAAAAAAATGCCTAATTTTGATGCTTTTTTGACCATAAATTGGGAGATAGTATCCCAAAAATTCTAAAATTTTTAGAGGTTATAATCAACACTATAAAGAATATTTTGGCAAAATTTTAGGAATTTTAGTTTAGTTTACGAGGAGTTATGGAATTTTTTATAGACGTGTTTGCCTTGTGATAGTCCTTATTTTCCCCCACTTATTAAGTAGGTAGCCCTCACTTAAAAATTTTTCCCTCACTCTCCCTCACTTTTTCCTTCATTCTCCCTCACTTAAAAAATTTTTTCCCTGCTAATAAATAAATTTAAAAAATTTTTTTCTTGTAAATTTAAATAAATAAAATAGAAATATTTTTTATTAAATAAATGTTTTCTTGAGCAAATCCCCTACCTTTTTTATTTTCTCGCAAATCGATTTTTATTTATTTTTTTGGATGCCCTGGATTTAAAATTATTTATCCATTTCCTTTCTTTTAAACAAAATTGTGCGCGTTCACAAAATATTTTTTATAAAATTATTAAAAAAATAAATGTGGCTAAGAATTATTTTATTAAAAATTATTAATAAAATTTTAATTGGAATTAGAGAAATTATTCGCCCTATAAGAGGATTTGCTTTTGCAATTATTGTTTTTGGGACTTCTATTTTTGGTAGTTTTTTTTATTTTTTTATCTTTGAAAGGTATATTAAAAGGGTAATCGACAGGATGGGTCCTGCCGTTTTAAAAAAGTGGTGGATGGAAGGGGAAGCGGAAGAGAGTTAACTAATCTAATTAATTAACCCATCCCTTAATTTTTTTTTTTTTTTTCTTTATCGAACACAAATAAATAAGTGTGAAACAATAAAATAAAACTCCTGGATCCACAGGGATCACTTATGGAGAGGTAACGTACAATAAAAAAAAAACAAATAAAATATGACTGTTTTAAAAAAAATGTTAAGTTGTAAAAAAAAAATAAATAATGGACTCCACAGAAAAAATAAATTAAATGTATAAAATTAAATGCCATAAAAAAATATATAGGTATGTATATTTGGGTATATAAAAAATATTTGTATTAAAACTAATTTTATTTAAATGTTGAGTAAATTTGTTTAGGTAAGAAAGTGAACATTTGGGTTAGGATTTTATGTTAATACACTCCATTAATTCATACTCATAAATTATAATCTTCTGTGGTTAATATTTTGTCTAAAAATTTTTTAAATTGCGGTATAGTACTGATTTTTTCAATTTCTTTTTTTGGAAGTTTATTCCACCTATCTATGACTCTATGTGAAAAGAAATGATTATTTTTGGCTTGCTTTTTGAATAGCTGATATTTATGTAAGCGCGGATTAATTCTATTAGGTTTTGAAAATATTTTTTCTGGATTTATTTTATAGAAACCCATGATTATTTTGTAGGTTGTCATAAGATCAGTTTTTATACGACGGAGATTGGAGGGAAGGAGTTTGCATCTTTTTAGTCTTTCGTTATATTCTATTTTCTGGTATTTGTATTTATATCTTAAAATTCTCCTTGTAAAGCTTTTTTGTGGTCTTTCTAATTGTTTATTAAGATATTCTAATTTGGGGCTAAAATTTTCGGTGGAATACTCCATAATGGGTCTTACGTATGTTTTGAATGCTTTTACATATGTTTCTATTGGTAATGTTTTTGGTAATATTCTTAGGATATTGTTTATTCTTATAAATGAGGATTTGGTAATTTTTGATATATGATGATCAAACTTTAGCTTGTTATCTATGTATATACCTAGATCTCTTATGTTATTAACCTCTTCGATTTTTTTACCATTTATCTCATAATTAAACCTAATTTTATTGTATATTTTTAAAACCTTTACTTTTGCTATAGAGAATTTAAGTTGATTCATTTCTGACCATTTACACGCATTGTCTATAGCCCCCTGTAACTCTATACAGTCCTTTTCCGTCTTAATTTCTGAATAAATCTTAAAATCGTCCGCATAAAGTTTTACTTTAACATTTTGTGGAATATATTTTGGAAGGTCATTTATATCTATGGAAATATATTGTGGAATATATTTTGGAAGGTCATTTATATCTATAAATAATATACGGTTCTTTCTATAAATATATGTAAATTGGGGGTTAAATATTGAAGAAAAATTAAAAAAATTTTTTTTTCAAAATTTTGAAGTAAATTTTTAATTTTTTTAATTAAAAATCCCAATTTATATATAAATCTATTTTTTAATGCCATAATTATTTTTAAAAAAATATTTTTATTTTGAATAAATATTTTTTTTAATTAAAAAAAGTTTATTAGAAAATAGTACTCCTTGTGAAGCTTAACCTTTACTTTAACGCTTATAAAATTGTCTATAGAGTAACTATAAACATGAAAATCTGTTTGATTATGTCTAAAACACCTAATTAACTTCGCCAAAAATTTGAAAATTTTTGGTTTAATATTTTCCCGAGTTGTGACCGAAAAGGTGTTGAAAATTCTAAAAAAATGCCTAATTTTGATGCTTTTTTGACCATAAATTGGGAGATAGTATCCCAAAAATTCTAAAATTTTTAGAGGTTATAATCAACACTATAAAGAATATTTTGGCAAAATTTTAGGAATTTTAGTTTAGTTTACGAGGAGTTATGGAATTTTTTATAGACGTGTTTGCCTTGTGATAGTCCTTATTTTCCCCCACTTATTAAGTAGGTAGCCCTCACTTAAAAATTTTTCCCTCACTCTCCCTCACTTTTTCCTTCATTCTCCCTCACTTAAAAAATTTTTTCCCTGCTAATAAATAAATTTAAAAAATTTTTTTCTTGTAAATTTAAATAAATAAAATAGAAATATTTTTTATTAAATAAATGTTTTCTTGAGCAAATCCCCTACCTTTTTTATTTTCTCGCAAATCGATTTTTATTTATTTTTTTGGATGCCCTGGATTTAAAATTATTTATCCATTTCCTTTCTTTTAAACAAAATTGTGCGCGTTCACAAAATATTTTTTATAAAATTATTAAAAAAATAAATGTGGCTAAGAATTATTTTATTAAAAATTATTAATAAAATTTTAATTGGAATTAGAGAAATTATTCGCCCTATAAGAGGATTTGCTTTTGCAATTATTGTTTTTGGGACTTCTATTTTTGGTAGTTTTTTTTATTTTTTTATCTTTGAAAGGTATATTAAAAGGGTAATCGACAGGATGGGTCCTGCCGTTTTAAAAAAGTGGTGGATGGAAGGGGAAGCGGAAGAGAGTTAACTAATCTAATTAATTAACCCATCCCTTAATTAATTTATTAAGCTTGTTATTTAATCCTAAATACATGAAAAGCTTAAACTTAACGGCAGTTACATAGAATTAAAATAAGGAAAAAATTTTTAAAAATATTTTAATTAATTTAACCTTTAATTGAATTAAATTTAAAATATTAATTTACATAGAAACTATTAGTTAAGGATCAGGGGTGTCCGCCTTTATGCCTTCCGTTTTTTACCTTTTGCCAAAATTCCGCCTTTTTTGGAATCCCGTCTTTCGCTTTTTAAACTCTGTTTCGGCTCATCCCTGTTACGGATTATGGAACGTGTCAAAATAAAAAAATAAATTCCCAATTTCGAAGTCGGAACAGAACGTTTCTTCCTATGGATAATAAATCCTCGAATTAGATTATTTTATGTGTCTGCAGATTTTTCAAAAAAAGAATCAATTTAAAATTAATTTATAACAATTTTAAAAAGGCAATTATATCGTTACTTTATTCCTTCCAATGATCACAATTTTTGGAATGCATCGAGAATGGCGTTCTTTAATGGATAGAGCAATTACTTTTTGGATGTTAATTCCTCTATTTTTTCTACATTTTATTTTTCGAGTTAAAGTTAAAGCTATTGGGGATGAAATACGTTTAGATGAACCTTCTATATTAATTTTAAAGTTGGGAAAAATTATCGTTTATAATTAAAAAATAATTTTTAAGTCATAGAACGAGGTTGGATTGGTTTTATTTTTGGTTAGTTCTGTGGAGAATGAATCCGTAAATTTTTTATTTTTTAATTAGAAAAATATAAAGGAATAGGGAGAAGAGGAAGTGAAAATTTTATGAAAAATTGTCAGGAAAAAAAATTTGCCATAAAGCCGAAACTATACCTATGCCCTCAATATTTTTATCGGACATTCCGAACAGTGTTGTCTACCATCTCTAAAAATTTCAGAATTTTAGGTTAAGTATTTCACGAGTTATGAGTTCGTGTTTCTAAGTGAGTGGAATAGGGTAGACACTGCTAACCTGCGTGCTCATAAAATATTTAAACGACAACATAAAATTATAAAATTTTGTAACCCTATCCTTAATAATGTCTCCTAACAATTCTAAAAATTTCAGGATTTTTGGTTCAGGATTTCAGAAGTTATAGGAAAAATAGTACATATAATAAGGTAGACATTTTAACAAGAGTAGGCCAAAACTTTTATCTCTGACCATAACTTTAGTAGAAATTTTCAACCAAAAATTCTGAAATTTTTAGAGATAATAAGTAAAACTATATTGGATATTTATACGAAATTTAAAAAATTAAAGTTCATTCTACGAAAAGTTAGAGGAATTTTTAAGATGATTAGTCTTGCGCTTGTCCTTATTAGTATCACCTATTAGAAAACCTATCTACTCATAAAAACAAAGTTAAAAATTTTTCCTCCTCAAGTTTAACTGATAAAAAGTTAGATAAAAAACTTTAAAAATTTCCACAAAAATATTTTTTTCCTAAGGTGGTTAATGACTCGAAACAGAATTGCTTTGAAAGAACTATTAAGGCATGCTCCTGGTGCAGGTCTTAAATTATTAATTAATTTTTATTTTTCTTTTTAATTAACATAAAAAAAGGTTTTGGAATGCAAGGATTGCTTTATGTATTTTTAAAAAGAGATTTTGAAATTGACAGTGCTAGAATGGCTAGAGCAGTTGATTATTATGCAGATATGGGACAGCCTTACCAAATTTTGATGTTCCCAGAAGGGACGGACAAAACAGCACATACAAGTGCCCAAAGTGATCGTTATGCTGATAGGGAAGGATTGCCTAGATTGAAATATTTACTCTATCCACGTACAGCAGGATTTGTACATTTGGTGCAGAAAATGCGGCAAAGTAAATTTTTTTGACTTTAAATTAAGCCTATTTGTGGGACTGTGCTGAAGAAGGACAATTGTGAACTTGGAATTAGAGTTGCGCCCGACCCCGTACACAACCGCCCCCGAGCGTTCAGGGCCCAACCCTCCTTGGAATAAATGGGAAGGTGGGTGATAAGGTAGAATAGTAGTGGCAAGGGCTTAAGACAAAGGGGGATAGCTTGGAGATTTTGATATGTGGAAATGATAAGAAAGGAATAAAATAGGATATATGAAGGAGTAGGATGAGTGGGAGAGATTTTGATAAAAAACAAGCCCCTTATTAAAATAAATAATCACAAGAATAACTTTTTTAAAGGAAGCTACCTAACCAGCGTATATGACGTAACTGTTGCATACCCTTGTAAAGAGATAGTTCAAAACGAGGCCGAAATGTTGTTTAGAGGAAAACTTTCAAATCACGTACATTATGCAATTAGGAGATTTGATCAAAATGAGTTGCCAAAAATGGATGAAGAATTGCATGAATGGCTACTTAAGTAAATAATATTTTTTAATATTATAGTGCCTTTTACTTAGAAAAGGCTTAAACTCGTTAAATGTTTCTTAACGAGCTCGATAATTTGATAGTTTTAGATTCGATAATTTTATACAAAGCTACAGTCCTTCATTGCATTAAGTAACTAATTTTAAGATTTTTAGATGATTAAGAGGTCCGTTTCATTAACGGACCTCTTAATCCTTACCGTTTTAGGAGGGTTATTCTCTACAAGGAGGTAATGAAAAAAAATAATATCGTTCATTAGAACCAGAGGTGGGTCAGAACAACTGGCTCAAAAGTCCGAAATCGGAATTCCAACCCACCTCTGATTAGAAGTTTAAACAAAAAAACTTTTGTTCCAGTCAGAAAATATTTGAAATAAATATTTCATGCCCATGATAAACACCTTTTACAAGACTGTTTTAGGATTAATTCATCTCCTTAAATTGTGGCAAAGCAGAAAAATTGCCAAAAATTAAAATTTAAAATTAATTAAAAAACAGAATTTGGGCAGACAAAGAAGGCCGTCTAAATGACTTTTATAACGAATCCTCATCTACTCGTCGCCATTTATTACAACCGGGGAATGGATCCACATTAAATAGAATATGGATAAAAGATAATTGGAAGCAGTTGGGGGTTAAAATTTTTGGATTTTGTTTTTGGTGTAGTGTTGTGCCTGTTTGGCTTTTCCATCTGGGATTTTTACCTTTTGTACAGGCAAGGAATTAATTTTTTTAAAAGATTTTGAGTTAACTTTGATTAGAGTTATATGTAGAGGGAGAACCGAAGAAAAACTTTCTCAATGAAAGCGAGGAAATATTTTCTCTACAGCCTCCCAGTTCGAAGCTTATAACTCTCTTTTCTTAAGGAGAGCTATATCTCTCTGCAAGGTATCTTGGGGACCGATTCGTTTCTTAGCTATTCATAAGAATAAAAAATGTTCTTCCCATCTTTTTCAAGGTATTCGGAATTCCTAGTCTCTTTCTTCACTTTCTAATGGTGAATTTCCCTCAATTTCTTATTACAAATTCCAAAGGGTAAGAAATAAATCTCAGGCTTCAAAGAATTTTTGGGGATTATAATAAAGGATTTTTATATTTTATAAAACCATGAGTACAACCATTTTTTTATTGACCTTCCCGTAATTTCCAGTAAAATTTGGGTAATTATCGGAGGTTTTTTCTCTTCTATTTTTAATTAACGTTAGCTCTAATTTAAATTTATTTCCCTCAAATTTTTGTTTATTTAGATAGGTTTTATTTTTCTTTTGCTCAATTATTTATTTATTTACTCAATATATGGAGGATTAGATGAAATGATTCTTTTTCAATGGGAAAAATTTAAAAGAAGAAAAATTGAAAAAGCTTTAAAAAATATAGAAAATGGGGAAAATTTGTTGGAAATTAATTAAAATTTTATTAAATTATATTTTTTGTTAATTTTATTTAAAAAATAAAAGTCAACCCTTTATTATCAGATAACCCCCTCTATTTTCCCCTGTATTTTCTTCTTGAGAAAAATCGTTCATTGCAAGGAGGTGTCTATTAAATAGAAGGTATCGTTTAGACTCCCCTACTTAATAGCCAACTTAAATTTTAAGAAAGTCTCTTAAATAGAGAATTATCCAGTGCTTGGGCTTCCTATAAGGAGGCCTCTGACTAATTTATATTTTATTCATGAAAAAATAATCCTTCTATCCTTTCCAACCTTATTTGTTGAAATAAAAAGAGGTTTAACGGTAAGGGCCTAGTGGCGCAACGGATAGCGCGTCGGTCTTCGGAACCGAAGGTTGCAGGTTCGAATCCTGTCTGGGTCGAAAATTTTTTTAAATTAAAATAATTATTTTTATTTATTTTTAAATATTTTTTAGATTATAGATTTAATTGTTTTTATTTTTTAAATGAAGAAAACCAAAAAAATATCATTTTTTAATTTCTTTTTTAAATAATTTATAATTAAATCCCCCAATTAAAGCTTAAAATATTAAAAAAAATTTTTTTGTTTAAGTTTTCTCCAATTCATTTTTTCCAAAATTAATTAATTTATTAAAAAAATAAAATATTCAATTAATTTATGTAAAATAATTTTTAATTTTTTTATTCTCATTTTTCTATTAATAATTATCATTTTCTGCAATTTTAATTAATTCTTTTTTAACCCAATTTTAATTTATATTTGCCCAAAAATATTAAGAATTAAAAAAATTTGTTAAAAAAATTTTTTTCTGATTTTTGGTGAGTATTAGAGATCGAGCTGGGCTTGTATCAAGGCCTGGGTTTTTCCTGTACCCAGAGTCTAGGCCCTGGCATTTTTTGACCTTCCAGGGTTTTTTCAGGACTACTGGCCCAGGATCCGGCCCAGGCTTTTCAAAAAATTCGATTTTTAGTGTGTATTTATATTTAGAAATTAGAAACCGGATTGGGAATCGAGAGATAGAAACCGGAATTGAGATTGATATCTCGAAGAATTTCTATTCTCGATAACCGAGATTTTTGTTCGTTTTCAGAGATGAATCGGAACTGTCGGAAATCGGAATTCTGATTCACCTTTTGGTCTCTATCTGGTTCTGGTTCTAGTTTAAGGTGTTTAAAAATTAAATTTAAAAAGAACGGGGTATTTAAAATCGAGAAGTTTGACTGATTTTATTTAATTTTTAAAATATTTTTAAATAAATTTATTAAAATAATCCATAATACAAAACACAAATAAATATAAAAAAAATAAAAATTTAGGGATAGGCTGAAGAGAAGAAACAAACAAAATTGCATTAAAAAAAGCTAAATTTAGCCTTTTTTATTTCCATATTTGGAATTTAAATTCCCACAAGAAATGGAAGGAATTAAAAAAAAAAGGAAAAATCAGATTAAATATTAAATTAAAAAAGTGTTAGTTTTGCTAAAAATTATTATTTTGTAGAAAATTAAAAAAAAACCTTTTTTTAGCTTCTTTTTCTTCCTTAAAATTCTGAAAAATATTTTAAATTTATTTTTATTATTTGTAAAAATATTTTTTTTAATTTTTACATGTTTAAGAAGAATAAAGGATTTATTAGGAAATTTTTAATAAAGAATAGATGAGGACATGACCTGAGCTGTTTCGAAACAAAATACTCTTCAGAAGTTGGAAATCAAAATTCCGAAACTCTGCCCAAATTGAGGATACTCGTACAGTAATTAAAAATTAAAGCATTCTTACCAATAACAAAACAATGGATGGAGCGTTAGCCCCCCCCCCCCCCACCCCCCCCCCCCCCACAAATTGAGGATATTTATATAATTAAAAATTATGGCAATCTTATACAAAATAATGAAATGTTAGTCTCATTATTCGATCTAGGTCATTAACCTAGATGTTTGTTTAATTAAATTTTCTAATTGCTCTTTAATTAAAGCTTAATAAAGAGTTTTTGTTTTGGCATTCAAAAACACAAGAAAATTTTTTTCTAATTAAAAAACCCTAGAAAACCTTTAAAATAAATTTTTTTTAGTATTTGCGTGAATTATTTTTGTATTTAAATTTTCTAACAAAAAATATATAATTTTTTTTTCTTGATTTTTAATTAAAAATGTGTGTATGTAAATAATTTACGTAAATATATTTACGTATTTTATTATGAGAATTTATTTTTTTAATTAAATTTATTTTTACCATATCTCGTACAAATTTTCACCTTTTCTTTAAAATGCCTTTCTCTTACCATTTTTAATTTTTCTAATTAAATTATTTTTTTTCTGATTTTTAAGAGAAATTAAATTCAGAAAGACACGCAAACTGACGTTGCTCGTGAGTCTATAAAAATGCCAAATTTAAACTTAAAAAATCCAAATTTGGCACAGACAATTCTTTTAAGGTTAACTAACGTCTATAAAAATTTCAGAATTTTTGGGAATTTATTTCCAAAGTTATGGGCTAAAAACTAACCAAAAAATAGTCGTTTTTCGTAAATTTCGTCGGTTTTTCGTCTCAACTTTTGAAATAGTAGACGAATTTTTTTTTGAAATTTTTTTGAAACTAAACTAGAAAGAACTAGAGGTTATATACCTATCAGAAAATTTAATTAATTAAAGTATCTTATACCTATAGAAAAAAACTTTTTTATAAAGAAGCTTATTCGGGCTTATCTAAATAAGGTTTCTTTTTCTATAGGGCATAATTTTATATTTTATTATAATTTATTTTTTTATAAGTAAAACTAGAGATTGGATCGAGACTTGATCTTTGATCTCGAATAAAAATTTCGATTATCGAGATAAAAATTTTTCTAAAATAATGATTTTGATTCTCTTACGGCCTTCCCCCAGTCTGATTCTTAATTTAAAATATACGAGAATAGACTAAATTTTTTAAATTTTTTAATATTTAATTTTAGTTCCTTTTTTAATTATATTTACTTAGCGAGACGGGATTTCGAACAAAAATTTCGATTATCGAGATAAAGATTTTTTTAAATATTGATTTTGATTATTTTATTACCTCCCCAGTCTGGTAATAAAAAATTAAAATTTAAAACATACAAAAATCTACTAAATTTTTTTAACTTTTTTAATATTTATTTTAGTTCCTTTTTTAATTAAATTTTTTATTTAATCAGATTATTGTACAGATTTGTATGGATTTTTCTCTGTGATTGCCTTACAGACTATATTTAAATTAACTCACAAAATTCACTTTATCTCTATTAAAAAATTAAATAAAAAAATTTTTTTATTTAATTGTATACCCAGAAATTAATAAAATTACCAAACAATTATTTTTCATTGCCAGGCAACATTAATTCACTCACACACATTTTATTTTATTCTTATTAAAAATTATATTTTATTATTTAATATTTATTAAGCTGACGACAATTACCCTTAATTTACACACATACTAAATAATTTATTTAAATAAATTAACACAAAAAATAGTCTTGTTTTATCCAATTATTTATTAACACCTGATTTGTCTAATTTTTATTTAATAAAATTTTATTTTAAAATTAATTGGGAGATAAAATGTCTCTAATCGAAATAAATTTATATTTTTCGGCTCTATTTAATTTTAAATTTATTTTTTAATTAATTTAATTTAAAAAATTAATTTTTTAAATTAAATGTAGAAATTTTAAGATTATTCTATCCTGAAGGAATTTATTTCCAAAAATTTTTATTCCGTCTAATCCCGTAGACCTTTAAGTCTTCAAATAATTTTAATAATTATTGTAAAGCATATAGCTATTTAATTCCTAAGGCTATGCAGTAGGCGGAATGATGTAATGGCTACCACATCAGTCCGTCTACTGAAGATGCTGGTTCGCTCCCAGCCGCCGATTACCTTTTTGTATTAGCTAAAGGAGAGAAATAGCTATAGCCCAGCTGCTTTACTTTATTTAATTTTAATTTTTAAATTATTTTTAAATTAATTTTTAAGTAGACTGAGTTAAAATAGAGATTTAAAATATTAAAAAAATTTTTAAAAGAATTTATTAGATACCTACATACATATAAGAGAATTTAATTAATTAATTAAAGTATCCTATACCTATAGAAAAATTTTTTTTATAAAGAAGCTTATTTCAGGCTTATCCCCAACTAAGGTTTCTTTTTCTATAGGGCATAATTTTATATTTTATTATAATTTACTTTTCCCCTCATTCCTTTAATGAGGGATGTTCCTTCACTTATTTCATTTTTTGTTCTTCTTATTATCTCTCGACTTATGGCCAAACTGGCACTAAAAAATGTGTTTGTTAATTGTTAGTAGACGACGTTTTTCCTTTATATATTTTTATTTTTAATGTTACCATAAATTTAAATAAAATAATTAATATAACAGATAAATCTAAGAGAGGTGGACGCGAACCACGTCAAAATTTGAATTTTTCAAAATTACTTATTGAGGTCCTAGAACCGTCAAATTTTGCGTGGATGTACTTGATAGTGTTATCTAACTCCTCTAAAAATTTCAGAATTTTTGGTTTAGTAAAGGAAAAGTTATGGGCCAAAAGCTTGATAAAATTGGCATTTTTGGACAAAATCAACAAATTTTTGTCTATAATTTTTCCCAAACAACACCAAAAATTCTGAAATTTTTAGAGAAAATAGTTAACTCTATTATTCATTTCTATGCAAAATTTTATGCCTCTAGCTTCTCTTTTGGCTAATTTACAGGCACTCGCTTAAACGCTAGTATGAGAAACCACGCTAAGGGGAAACAGAGAAAAAATATTTTTTGTCCTCCAATTATTTTATTTACCTTTCATTTCTCTAATATATTCCCAAAATTCTCTGCTCCATTTAAACATACCAGCCGAGTAGTGATAACCTCCATTTTCTTCCATGCTTTTCCACAAACAACAAAAAAATTCCCTCACAACCAAAAAAAAATATTTTTTAAATGAGGCCTTCTGTCAATACAGCTGGCATGGAAATATAATATGGCAAAAAATGTAAATGCATGGAAACGTAAAATAGACGACAGAAAAAGTTTTTTTCTCTCTCTATAAGAAGCATATGACAAAAAGAGCCCCAAACGTTCTTCATTCTTTCACTTGGCAAAAACTTGTTGAAGCGCGCGGAATTTTATTTTATTTATTCATAATTATTTTTTGTTAATTTTAAATTAAACTAATAATTACCTTGGATTTTTAATTTTTTATTTAAATTTAATTATATATTTTATGATTAATTTTAATATTTATTTGGCATGTTTCTGACATTTTTAAAACAATCTTTGAAGCTTGAAGCAAAAAATCAGAAATTAAAAAACCTTATTTATTTAAAATTAGTTATTCTGTTTCTGATTGTATTTTTGTTTTTCCACTTCTGAAAAAAAGTCATAAGCAGAAAAACAAAAATACAATCTGAAGCAGAAATACAGAAATACAAAATCAGAAAAACAAAAAAATACAAAAAATCAGAATTAAAAATAAACATAGAAACAACAAAAACATTTAAAAACTTAAAATACAAAACATGAAAAACACAAAACAAAATCCAAAAACATTTAAAACATGTTTTTGATAGCTAAAACATGTTTTTAGGTTTAAATTGATTAAATTTAATAGATTTAAAAATTTATTGCAAATTAAACAAAATTGTTTACTGCTACTAATTATTAACAACAATTTTAAAAATTCCTTTAAATTAATTAAAATTAATTAATTTTCATTATTTTTAATTTTACTACTAAATTTTAAATAAAACGACAACAAAAAATTTCTTCAAAATTAAAGCAGTAATTAAAAACTGCTTAAAAACATTGAGACAACAGTTACACAAACAGCAATTGGAGTTTACAAACCTTCTCCATCACTTCCTCCAGTAGTTTCTGTTCCACCTGTAGAATTACCAAAAAGAGGTTTAACTGCTGAAGGTTTAACTGAAAATTGTTCTGAAGGAAAGACTACTATAGAATTGGGTAAATAATATTTTAAAAATACAAAAAATTCTGAAAAAATACAGAAAACATAAAACTAAAAATACGAGAAAATACAAAAATTAGAATTAAAGCAAAAATACAACAAACATGAAGCAAAACTAAATAAAATCAGAATAATAAAACACAAAAAATCAGAAACAGAAAATACAAAAAATACAAAATAAAAAATACAAAATCAGAAATAGAAAATACAGAACAGAAAATACAAAAAAATCAGAATTAAAAATAAACACGAAAAACACAAAAACACAAAAACATAGAAAACACAAAAACATTAAAACATAAAAACATCTAAAACATGTTTTGTTCATTAAAGTTATTATCAACAAAACAAAAGAAAACTCAACTAACAACAAACAAACATCAGAAAACAACAACAACAATCAAACTTCCCAACAACAAGAAAAACAACAAAATAATCTCAACAGTGAATTAAAACAAAACAATATTAACAAATCATCTAATTCTCCATCTTTTTCTGTAGGCCAAATGTTGTTGAAATTGTTGCCTTGTAATTGTTCTTTTATGGGTGGAGATCATGGGTAATTTTAATTAATTTTTAAATTTAATTTAAAAATACCGACAAAAATTATCGAAAAAAATATTTTTCCCCTAAAAGTTTAAACAAACAAGGGATTATATATTCTTTAATCTTTTTGGCTTTATCGTCACAGAAAATATATAAAGTATTATTTTACTTAATATTAAAAAATATTTATAATTGTTTTCCCATAAATTAAAAACAAAGCTTATTATTTTTTGTTTCTTTTTTGTTTGGAAAATATATTTTTTTTAATTTTGAGCTTTGGTTAATTAAATGAATAAATTGGAAATTTAATTAATTAAAAATGTTTTTGTTGTTTGTTTTGATAAAAATAAATTGAAACGAACAAAACAAACAATTAAAATTTAAATGTTTCTTTAAATGTTTGCAACAAAACATGAATTAATTTTGTTGATAAAAACAAAATTAATTCATGTTTTGTATAAAAATTAATTCATTTTTATAAAAACATCACAAAAACTTGATGTTTTTATGATGTTTTTATGAAAATGTTTTTGCGCACAAAAACATCAACTTTTTGTGATAGGTGTGAGTCAAACATCAATAAAACTCGATGTTTTTGTGTTTCTTGTTCTCGATGTTTTGTGTCCCTTTAATTAGAATAATCTTTTTTAATTGTAAAAAATAATAAATATTATGTAAAGAATTTTAAAATAAATTTTTTAAAATTATTAATTAATTTACTATTAATCAAAATTTTTTAAAAATAAAAATTCTAATTAAATTTAACAGACTTCACGACTTTCGAATTGGCTCTGATGGAATTGGGGGTGTTTCTAATTTAGAATTTGATGACAAGTTTGTTTAAAACATAACAAAAACATGTTTTTATTTTAATTAATTTAGAACAACATTTGAAGAAGTAGCATCCTGGGGAGTTAATTTCGATCGTTTAATGAAAAATAAACATGGACAGAAATATTTTGCTGAATTTTTAAAAAGTGAATATAGTGACGAGAATATATTATTTTGGTAGGGAATTTATTGAAATATTTTTTTGAAAATTAATTTTTAAGGCAAGCTTGTGAAGAGTTAAAAAGAGAGAAAAATACAGAGAAAATTGAAGAAAAGGTAAAAAATAATTTTTTTTTAATTTTTAAAATAATTTTTAAAAAATCCTAAAAAATTTCTGAGATTTTTAAAATTTTTTTAATTTAAAATATATTTAATATTTGGGGGCATACCTACTTAGTTATTTTATGGAAAAATCATATTTAATAATTAAATGTATCGAATTGCTTCTCCCTTTAGATGGGCAATTAAATAAAACCCGAATAAAACTGAGTTTTCTAAATTGAATCTTTTGATTTCTTTCGATTATCCCAGAAATATTTACTTTTTGGGGATTTGTTTCCATAAATTTTGGAAATTTAATTTTTTTGTTTATTCTCCATATTTTTAAATATAAAATATTTTAAAATTTAAAGAATAAAAATTTTTAATTTTTAAAGGCACGTATAATTTATGAGGATTTTATTTCAATTCTCTCCCCAAAAGAAGTTTCTCTAGATTCTCGTGTTCGCGAAATTATTAATCAAAATATGGTTCACCCTTCTTCACATACTTTTGATGAAGCACAGAATCAGGTTAGAAGGAGCTTAAGAAAATTATTTTTTAAATTCGGAATTCTAAAAATTTTTTGTTTTTTTAATAATCCAACTTTGATATTAAATACTTCCTTAAGGGAAATAAATTCCTTATGTCTCCCACGTGGCCAAACAAATTTTAAGATTAACTACTATATTTTAAATTGAGGATGGTTAAACTAAGTTGTAATTATCGGGCGGAATTTGAGGAGAAAAATCTTTAAAAAAACTTTCGATTTTATCGAAAATTAGGATTCTTGACCATAAACCCCGAAATTTCTAGTTTTGTTTTTGATTAAAAATTAAAATATCCTTCAATAAACATTCCTCTATTTAGATATACACATTAATGCAACGGGACAGTTATCCACGGTTTATAGCATCTGCTCTTTACAAAAGACTTTTAAGGTAATTTTTGCGAATAAATTAAGTTAAGTTAAATAAATAATTTATTTGTTTATTAATAAATTAAGAAATACGTAAAAGAAATATTTTTACTAATAAACAATTTTGAAAAAGAATTTTTCGATGACTAATATTTAATTTGTTTTAATATAGTTTTATAGAAGAGTAAAAAATTTCAAAATAATTTTGAAAAAATTTTTCGCCGAAAATTAAATTTTTAAATAGATTAATTGAGAGAGACGTTCGTAGAGTACGTCGAGTACCGAGTAATTGGGAAAACCCCGTCTCGGTTTACACCGAGTTTTCGAGTAGGTATCAGGATTATTAGGATCCTCCCTCCAAATATCAGGATCCCAATTTCGAGCCCCAGTAAAGACGAAAAAACCCGAGTGTCTGTTAAAACTGGGTGAGGGCAAAACTACTTGGACGTACTCCAGTTCAAGTCTAAATTCAAATTTTAATTAAAAATAAAAATTATTTCTAAAAATTTTTTTCTAGTTCTTATGGACATATGGAAGATTTGTAAACAGTCATTTTTTTTTAATATTATTTTTATTATTCAATTTATTGATGATCTAAAAAAGAAAAGATTTTTGAATTTTATTTTAATTATTAAAAAAAAAATATTCATTTTACAAATGTAATCACTATTTAATTCTCCTCTTAATAATTAATAACATTTTCTCGGCCCAAAAATCGAAAGATTTCAGAATCGAGAAGATACTTGTCTATAAACAAATGTCTATATATATTTTAAATTTTTTTTTGTCTTTTATTCACTATAAGTGACCAAAACTAATTGAACTCTCTATTCAATCACAGTCGAATCTCTCTATAAGGACAATCCCCTAAGACGAAATTTGCAGACATAAGAGGGGAAGAGTCGGAGGGGAGTCATATAAGGCCAAAATACACCCCTCGAGTACTTATAGAGTTGGATTTTTCGAATCGGGTCGACGTTCGTGTCATTTTTCGGGCCTCATTTTTATCGAACTTTCGAGTCTTTTTCGTGGCAAAATTGGAAGCCTGGTTCGATCCTTCGAAAAGAACCGAACCGGGCTCCACCCTCCTAATTAGGCTAACAAAATAAGGAAGGATGAGGAAAAAGGATCCCTAAAGAGAGATTTTGCTGTATTTATTAAATTTTGTGGTCGTTGTATCCATCCAAAAATCCTCAAAAATCCCCCAGACCCCTTCAAAATTATATTTTTTATCTCGTTTATTCTCCACTATTTTTTCTCATATTTTTTAAAAATTAATTTTTGTGTTACAAATTTATTTTTAGCTTTAAATAGAATTTTTTGTGAATAAATTTTTTTTAAAAAGAATTTTTTAGGACAAAGAAAAAAATTTTTTTTCACAAAAGAACTCAAAAAATCTCCAATTCGCGGACACTTCTCTCGCAGAAACTAACACAAATTTATTTTTAAGTCAAATCCGGTCCTCTCGATAGATATAATGGTCAATCGGTAAAAGAAAAAATAAGAGAAAAAAGAACTAAATAAAATAACTCAACAATATTTATTTTTCTTTTTCTCTCAAAATTAACACTAAACTCCACACTATTTCTTCTTTCTCTAACCTTATTTTATTTAATTGTCCCACAATGGACTTTTTTTCGCGCACAAATAAAAGAATTGAAAGAATCCTTTTTTATTTGAGCTGTAAACAACAAATAAAAAATTGGAGCAACAAAATATAATTGCATTTGGGGACATTAAAAATGAAGGGAAAATGAAAATATTTTTTTGAAATTGGTACTATAATTATTTTTATTCATTTAAAGAATATTTTTTAAATTATTTTTGGAAATTTAAAATAAAATAAATTTTTTAAGATTATATATGTATGTAACTACGTTTAAAATTTTTTTTAAATATTAAATTTGAAAAATAGTCTTTGTCCGACATTTTCGAACACTCCTGAGAACCGACATTTGCGGACAAACCCAAACCATTTGAAATTGGAACAGCAATTATTGGGCTTGTCCAAAACTATGGCCTATGAATACTTACCATTATTAGGTTATAGAACTCTTCAAAATTTTGTAATGAAGCTTTAAAATACATACATAAAAGCCTACTTAACGTCGCAAATGTTTGTACGCAAATGTTGTTCTACCCTCCAAACCTCTCCACAGACCTCTATTTTGTTGACGCATAATTCTATAGACACAAGTTTGCAATCATAAAAAACAAATAGAAATAAAATATCCTCCTCGATCTATTGAGATATACCCCAAATTTAGCACCTCCTCTCGATTAATTACCTTCTCCAGCGAAAGGTCAAAACAATAACTACCCAGGGCAATTATTCAAACATTTACAGGTAGTCCATTAAAAAGAGGGTTAATTCTAAAATTTAAAAAACCCACTAAAAATACCTATCTCTTTATTTAAATTAGAGTTGATCAAAACGATACTGGTATCGGTCAACCCGAGACCGAGATTGACCGATACTCAAGAACCCGATACCGAGACCGATACCATCATTTTGAGCCGAGACCGATACCGAGAAACGATACTGACCGAGACTAACAAAAAATTTTATTTTATGTCAGAAAATACGTGTAAAAATAATTTATTCATTATTTTCATCCAAATCATCAGATAAATACTCTTGCCAAGCCGATCAGGCTTTGCAATGGATGCCAAGCCGATCAGGCTTGGCAATGGATACAAATTTTTGTGTCCGTATCCGAATATGTATGTATATCCGTGAGGTCGACATCCGTATCGGATTATATCCTTACAACTTTTGAGGCATATCCATCCTCGGTATCCGCGGATGGCCGAAGTGAAAATTTCGGTAAACCAAACCACTATTTCAGCGCCGCAGGCAAAAATTTTTAGAATTTTAGAAGTGCAAGTAACAGATTTCTTCCAATTTTCAGCGCCGCAGGCGAAAATTTGTAGTTTTGCAAGGCCAAGAAGCCAGAATTCTTCCTATTTTCAGCGCCGCAGACGAAAATTTGAGAATTTTGGAAGGCCATGAAGCCAGATTTCTTCCAATTTTTGCACTCAGATACGCAAACTCAATTCACTCATCCCTGCTTCCGATCATTTTAAATCTCCTTAATCCACTGGTGGGAACAATAGTTGCCGAAAATCGGAAGGCTCTGTAATCAAAATTTTGAAAATCTAACGGCCGAGGACTCGAAAAATTCAACATTTCAGCGCCGCAGGCGAAAATTTTTTGAATTTTAGACCTAATTCGAAAATAATTCACTTTTCTCTGTTATGGACGGATATCCGAAAAAATTATGGACGAAAACTTGGACAATATTGAGAATTTTGTTTCTTTGAGTCAGTATCGTTTCTCGCCGAGAAATGGACCGAGAATATCGGTATCGGTTTCGAGACCGAGAATGAAAAAACCGAGACCGATATTGGAAAAAAGCCGAGAATCTCGGTATCGGTCTCGGTATCGGTCTCGTCATGATCAACTCTAATTTAAATCCTTAATAAAAAAATTTTTTTATTTCTTTAAATTTTATTTATTGATATACATATATTTTATATCGATCATTAAATTACGCGCAATCATCAAAACCTTCTTTTCCACAACAACAAAAATAAAAATAAATTTATTTTTACGTCTTTTACGTTGTTTTATTTTTTTTCTTTAATTTTATACTTGAGTTGCGCTGTTGTGGAGAAAAAAAACAATTTTAGAAAAGAAAATGTGTGGATTGGGTGGAATTTTTGAAAGAGAGGAAAGGAAGGATTGGGAGTGAGAGAAATTTGACATAAAATTTGTTTAGAAAAATTTTTGATTTTCAAAAAAAATTAAAAAAAAATTTTTTTAAATTAAAATATGAACTTAAAATATTTTTTCATAGCCTGAAAATAATGGGTAATAAAACAGAAATTGTTGATGTTAATTTAAAACAAAAAGCTTTGAAATTTTTTATCAAAGCTCTGATTTGACCAATCTCTACTGATTTATCTCCTATTAAATATTGTTTTCTTTTTTTGTGTCAGATTTGGTCCTAAGAGGTGTTTTGTACATCAAGAGTGTTCCGAAAGTGATTTTTAAAAAAGCGAAAAGGCGAAAGTCCAAAAAAGGCGAAAATCGCACACCCCTGTAGGAAACAACATTTAGTTATCCAATACTGTTTTAAAGAGAAAATTAAAGTTAATTTAATTTAAAGTTAATTTAATTTTAAATAAGTTGCTGTTGAAGAAAAAATTAAAACTAATTTAAATAATCTTAAAGAAAATCTTTTTTAAATAAAAATTTAAAAAAATTTTATTTGATTATAAATCACATTAAAAAATTAAATAATTAAAAAAAATTTATTGAAAATAATTTTACTTAAAATTAAATGAGGAACCCTCTACTATCCGCAAATTCTCTTTGAAATTAAGAAACAAATGAAGATTTTTATTGAAAAAATTTTGAAATTAAAAAAAATTTCTGGAAAATTTTTTTACCAAAAATTTTTGCCAAAAAAATTTTTTAAAATTAAAAAAAATTTTCTTTTCTTCTGTCCCTTTTTGTCCACTTTTATTATTTTTCTCTTTTATTCCCCCGCCCATCCATCAACTGAAAAAAATTGAAGTGAGAGAAATGCTTTCGCGCAACCTATCTATACCCCGTCCTTTTTTTGTGTCCAATTCTGCCAGTTAATCCTTTATGTACTTAACAAGATTTTTTCTTAGTTTTTTTTATTCTTCTCTTCATTATTCTTAAGATAAAAAATTGAGAAAAGAATAAAAGAAAATTAGTTGCGGATAGTTAGAGGGACGAAAAAATATATTAGAAGAAAAATTGGGAAAAGTACACAACTTGAGGCAAATAAAAAAATTTTTTGGAAATTTTTGGGGAAAGGATTTTGATGGATTTCTAAAACAAAAAAAATTTTGGATTTTTCTGGGAAATGAAAAAATTTCAAAGGAGGGTTTTGCTTCTCCTACTATTAAATCTTCGCCTTCAGCTTCGATCACTAAAGGGCTAAAATAATTATTTTTCCAGAAAATTTTTGTTAAAATGGGAGGGAGGGGAAAACAAAACACCTGTGAAGAAGGGGGAAAATATGTAGAAGCTAACTAACCATCGTATGTATCTACCAAAGAAATCTTACCAAACCGAGTTACGATTCCCAAAATTTGGAAGATTGTGTTTTCTGTCAATCCTAGTCCCTACAGGCTTATTTTAAAATCCTCCTTGAAAAATTAAAAAAATTTTTTTATTAAAGTCCCCCTATTGATTTTTTTCCTTTAAAAATATTTATATATAATTCTCCCCAATATATCCCCAATCATTCTCCAATAATCTTTTCTTTTCAAATTTTAAAGAAAATCCAAAAGGCGTAGATACCCAAATAAAAAATCTTTTTTCTTTTGCGCATACCTTTCAAAATCTATCACAAAATAATTTGCGCGGCACTGCTGGAGGCAACAACCAAGTAAAGAAATAAAAATAGCAAACACAACCAGCCAGTTAAAAAAAAAGTTTTTTTTGGGTATTTTGAAGAGAGAGTCAAGACGAAATCACTCTTCTTTACACTCCTTCAATCCCTTCTCCTTTCTTATAAAAATTTCCACTTGACTGAATGAAAAAAATTTTTTTTCTGTTGCTGCGCAAAAGTTGTTGCCCATATATATATTTTATACTTTTTTTTCTTCTACTTTTTACTATTCCTCTCTGACTAACTATTTTTACTTCAATCCCTTCCATGCATTCTCAATTTATCCCTTCTCTTTTTAACTTGCGCGGGCGCGCACCTCTCCATCTCAACAATTTTCCCCAAAAATCGCCGGTTGGACGAAGAGAGAGCCCAACCCTTTTTAATGATCAGTTGGTGGTACGACTGGCTAGAAGTAAGGGCTAAAGGGGGTTGTTTCTTCGTATACTAGCTTTGCTTCTGTTTTGGGGGCAGGAATGAAAAGGAGAGAGAGAAGGAGGGAATGGTGGACGGATTTTGGTCGCTTATCGGCTGACTGGTTTTTGGCGATTTTGTGCTGTTGGGCGCGATTAATGGACCCTTTTTATCCCTTTGATAGACCCTCTACCCATCAATCCCCTCTGGCTATCGTTCTTTGCATGTTCGCCAATCCCTTGCCCCAAATCCCCCAATCCTTCCTCCCAAATTTTTTCGCTTCCTTTAAATAAATTTACGGCTCCCCATTGTGTGTAGATCACCGATCCGCATCATTACCGTCCCCAATTTTCACAAATTTCTTTCTGTTTCTCTCTCAAATCCGTCTCCAATTTTATTTTTGCTTTTTTCGAATATTAATCCTTCCATATTTTCTATCTCTTTCTTTTATCTTTGGCGCCAAATATCAAACAAAAAATATAATAATCGGCACATCCAAATCTCTCCTTCCCCTCCCTCTTCCATTCTTCTAATCACACACAGAATGCCCATTAGCTTTCAAAAAAATAACCGGCTGTCACACAACCAACAGATCTAAGCACAGAACCTTTTTTTCTAGAAAAATTCTTTTTTTTTATTCCTCTCCTGTTCTTCGTCATCGCGGAAAGACTAAAAGGGCCGGTCCTTTGCGCGGTCTTGTTTTATATATGAGGGAATGTGTGTGTGTAATGAGAGGAGGAGAACAGCTCTTCCTTTGTAAAAATTCATGCAACTACCACCCCCCCCCCTCTCCCCCATTCTTCAACTAACTCTCTCCCCACCCACCCTTCCACTTGTCTTTTTCTTCCATATTCCTCCGCCCTTTTTCTTCCCTTCATTTTTCTTCCTTTCTTCGTACTTTTCCTTGAGACAGCCTGTTTGTAACCCGTATTTTTATTTTTATTTATTTATTTTTATATGCCCAAGCAAGTCCTTTCCTTGTATAAAATAGTGTTCTGTTTTACCCGTTGTACTGGTTGTTGTGGTTGTCCTTCTCCGGCCGGACAGGTCTCTTCCCCCCTTCCCCCTCCTTTTTTTCTTCCTTTTTTCCCTCTTTTGATAAAAGCAAGTATATAGTAGTTGACTCTAAAATGGCGCGCAAAATTAAGGGGAGGCAAAACTGGACTTGACTTTTCCTTTAGTAACTGCCAACTTGTTCAGGTTTTGCAATTTAGTTTACAAGTTATTAAAGGAGTAGTGAAAGGGAAATTAGTGAAAAGTTGTTTTTTAATTTTAATAAATATGTGAAATATAGGTGAAGATTTATAGAAAAAATTATTGTAAGAGTTAATGAATTAAAGGTTGTTTAAGTTTACTTGAAGCTATGGTAATCCTTTCATGTCTCCAGAAAAGCCAAGATAAAAAATCATTGAATCAAGTCATTAAACGGTTGTTTAGACTACTCAAATCAGTATGTTCCACGTGTTTTTAGAATTTTAATATCTATAGATATTATGAAAGTCTCAGTTCTGGAGGGTCTTAATTAATCAGAAACTATTGGGATTTTATAACAGAACAAAAAGTAAATGCAAGAAATTATTCCTGAATTTTTGTCTTAAAATACGGATAAAATTAATATATTTTGGTATATTTTCCCTTTAAATTAAAAAATTTTCTCGTTACTTTTTCTTCATCTTCCTTCTTGTTTATAATTTGGCTATCCGGTCCTTCACCTGCGCAACATACACATAAACCCTGTTTTTGCTTACAAAACAGGCAACAACAAAAACAACTAAAACCACTTCTCCTAATAAAACCTCAATACAAACAATTTAAAATAAACAGGCTCCCCCCTCAACAATAAAAACACAAAACAACTTTTATATAAAAACAGTCTCTTCAACAACAACATAAACAACTTGTTTTTGTGTGTGTCCTCGTGTTTCTCCCAAATAAATATGTAGCAGAACGACCTTCGAATGACCCAATATTATAAACAAGATTAAAAGGGGAAGGAAAGAACAGGAAGAAAAAAATTTTAAAAATTTATTTAAAAAATATAACAAGTTTTTGGGAGGTTTGTAAAGATGAAGAAGAAAGATGAAGTAAATAGAAAACTTGAAAATGAAACAACGTAAAACAAAAAATGTTTTGATAAAATGTTTTGAGGTTTTAAATCGGATGTTTTTAACATGTTTCTCAACATGTTTTGTTGAATAATGAAAACATGCGAAGAAACAAACTTGAACAAACAAATTTGAACAACAAAACAAAAACAATAAAAACAACAAAACATCATCAACAACATTTTGTTTAGGTTGTTGTTTTTGATGTTTTCTTTAACAAAGACAATAAAAACAACAACAATCAAAGATAAAACAAAAGAAAGTTTTTAGTAGAAAACAATGTTTACCAACATGTAAATAAAAAAGAAGAAAAACAAACTTGAACAAAAACAACAACAAAACAATTTGCCAAAACAATGTTTGAATAATCAGAAAAACATTTAAAGAAAAAAACAAGGAAACGATAATAAATATAAAAATACTAATTAAAGTTTAGCGAACTCTTAAATATTTTAGGGGAAATATAATAATTAATAATAATGTCTTCAATTAATGATTAAGAGTTGAGAAATTTTTTTGAATTTTTAAATAAAATTTAATTGGAAAATTGATTTATACAGTCTATTTTTTTAATTTTTGAGTTAAATAGGTAATACATATTAAAAATTAATCCTTCCCTTCAGCCTATCCAACTCTACCACTGTCCCCTTCGGACTACCTGTCCCTTACGGACTACCTGCCCTTTCAGACTACCTATGTCCTCTTCAGACTACCTATGTCCCCTACGGACTACCTATCAGACTACCCAATATCTCCCTTCAGATTTGCCTCCCATTCTACTAATTTTATGTTTATTTCTTTATTAGCGTTAAAATTATATGATTTATCTTTTATCATAATTTTTAGAATAGTTGTCGATCTCTTACAAAAATATTCACAGCCGTATGAAATACGGTTCATCAACAACAACGGCCGGAACTAGCAATGGAAATACAAGCAATAATAATGGCTATGAACATAATTCTAATAGTGTTATTAATGCTGGAAATGGAGGTCAAACAATGATGTTTTTACCTGTTGAAGCAACCAATTCTGGAGTACAACAAAGTTCAGTAAGTAGATTGGATTTATAATTAAACAGATGGGGTTTGTTAACTTTTGCCGTAATTTACCGTGGATATTTTGAAATAGCTTTGTTCTCTCCCCTTCCAATCACTCGATCTTATCTCCATTTCTCCCTGCAATTCCTGTATTCCTTTTTAATTATTCTAATGTTCCCTTCAGAACACCTAATGTTCCTTTCGGACTATCCAATGTTCCCTTCGGACTATCCAATGTTCCCTTCGGACTATACAATGTTCCCTTCGGACTATCCAATGTTCCCTTCGGACTATCCAATGTTCCCTTCGGACTATCCAATGTTCCCTTTCGACTACCTATGGTCCCTTCAGGCTATCCAATGTTCCCGTTCGACTTTCTAGTGTTATGTTCCAATATTCCCTCTAAACCACCACATAAACTGTTTTAATTTACTAAATTCAGGTAATAAAAACAGCACCTCCAGGCCGTAGCCAAATGTTAATGGACTTTTCTCCTAAACAAGAACCTATTGAACTTGCACCCTTATCCAACACACACCCATGTTTACAAGTAACTAATTTATTTATTTCCAAAAAATATTTTTTCATACATTTTTCATTGCTTTTCTTTCTATTTATTATTAAAAATAACAAAAAAAATATTTTCTGTCACGTAAAAATATTTTTTTCTATTTATTATTTTGTTGTTTTGTTGCGCAAATAAATTGTTTGCGCAAAGAAAGAGAAATAGTACACAAAAATGAGAGAGACAACGTTTGTTGTGTTCTATTGAATGTGTTCACAATTTACTTTTAAGTTTCTTAGGGGAGCGAATTATTTTTTTCTTTTTTTTTATTTTTAAATTTTTCTTCAAATAAGTGCCTCCGGCGGATGTGATTTTAATGTTTTAAAAAAATTCCTTTTCTCTACTCAAAAAAAAATTTTTTTTTAATTTTTAATGGGCCAAAATAAATTTAATAAAAAAATATTTTTTTGGAAGTTAAGAAAAAAATTTAAAAAAATTTAAAGAAATTGAGAAAATAATAAATTTAAATTTTTTAAAATTTAATTAAAAAATTATATTGGAAATTAATTAATTATTTGATTGATTAAAATAAATTTTAAAAAGAAAATTAAATTTATAGTAGAATATACCCAACTTTATTTATTAGTTTTTAATTGAAAACAAAAAGTATCTCTAGAAAAAAATTTTTATTTTGGGGAAAATTCCATAAAAATTTTAAAATGACTCTTATTTAAATAATCAGAAAAAGTCCCTCCCTAATAATGAACCCTAAAGGTTGATTAAAGATTATATCGAGATCATAATCACTATCGAACATATTAGAGTTCGATCCGGGGAAGGGAATACCCTGAGGACGGGGGAGGTCTCCCGCCGGGGACCCGTTCCCCGTCCCCACGTTCAATTCCCCGCACCTCCCCCCCCCCTCCGGGGAAACCCCCCGTTCCCCGTAAACCCAGCCCCCGCCCCGTAATATCGAACCCTAGAATAAATTCTATATTCTCGATTGATCACTCAAGCTTGTTGTTTTTACCAGATCTACTGTCATCCCTATTCCCGCTAATTTGGAATTTCCTACATTTTCTTTGGGTCAGGAAAAAGAGTAATACTGACCTTATAATTTAAAATAAAATATCTCTCGTTAAAAAAATTTTTTTCTAGAACCTCGGCAAAATGTCTGTAGGTTCAACACAATTAGAACATTATTATTCTTCAATGAATTCTGTCAATAATTCTTCAAAAAATTCGTATTCCCCTTATTATGAATATTTAAATGTTGGTTCAGCAGCTTCTGCTACTTCCTCATATCCCCAATCTATACAACAACAACAATCTACAAATTCGTTGCTTCAGCCAACAGCTACATCAGCAGTTGTTGCTTTAGGTGGCGGAGGAGGAGGGCAACAACATCAAGTAACTAAAATTAAATTTAGGAAAAATATTTTGGATCCAGTAGCACAGTAATTATCTCAAATGTTCCCCTTAGTACCCCTTTAATGTCCCTTCGAACTAGCCAATGTTCCCTTTGGACCATCCAAGTTCTCATCGGACTACCCAAAGCTCCCTTCAGACAACCTAAATGCTCCTTTCGGACTACCCTATGTTCCTTTCGGACTACCCTATGTTCCTTTCGGACTACCCTATGTTCCCTTCTGACTACCCTATGTTCCCTTCGGACTATTCAATGTACTTTACAGACTACTTAATGTTCCCCTCAGATAAGTTTATTAAAATTAAATGTTTCATCTTAGGATTGGCCTTATATGTCCTATAATACTCTTCACCATCACAATCAACACCATCAACAACAACAACAACTTCATCTACATCAACAACAACAACAACAATTAGGTTATTTAAATCAATTAGATAATTGTGGCAATTCCCTCATCGATCAACAACAACAGAGAATATTACTTTATAAAAATAATGGCAATAATAATGGAGATGAAGTTGGAGGAGGTGTTGCACTTCTATCTCCCGTAGATTCTGGTATTGGACAGGAACTCTTGTTGGAACAGGCAAAACAGGTTTATACATATGTTTATTTTTTAATTTAAACCGATTTGCATTGTTGTCAGGGCTTTTCATTATCTTGATCTCTTTTACCTATCACAAGCTTACTATGTTCAATCCAGTTTATTCCATATGTACCTTACAGCCGACCATATGTACCTTACATACGACAATATGTACCTTACATAATACTGGACAACCTATTAACTCTTATGTTCCTTACAGCCTACTATGTTCCTTCCACCCTACATACTATGTTCCTTACAGCCTACCAGTAGACGGGAGGCATTCTTGTCTGATTCCAGAGTCATCACACTTCTTGTTTTCTTAAATTTATAATCCAATTTATTCACATCCCTGTGGCACTCACTGTTTGTGCCTTTCTAAATCCCTTCTTATTTCAGCAGTTACACGAATTCTTCGGCCCAGTATCTTTATCTTCAGCAGGTGTTCTCGTCCCTTCACAACAACAACATTCTTCAGTTATTCACCAACATCACGGGGATAATACTGGACAAGATACCCTCAATCATGCCCTTTTACTCCAACAACAACAACAACAAAGCCAACAACAACAAAATAGGCAGAGAGAACAAAGGAGTAGTGCTGAATCTGTAGGGTTTATTTGATTTTTTTAATAAAAATGGGAAGAATCTCTTTCTTATCTCCTTTGCTATATCAATAACCATTTAACTGACGCAGAGGATCTTAGATGTCCACAATAACATGATTAAGATATCCACTACTACCCTTTTTATCCGGCTAAAATTTATCCCAAGACTGTGTTCCTTCCAGCCAGAAGTCGATCGAAAATGACGAAGGTGCCGGAAATCGGAACTGTCGGAAATAGGAAATGGCTCAAATCTTCGAAAATCGGAACTCCGATCGACCGCTGCTTCCAGCCCCACTTTGTTTCTCAATTGTATGGAGATATAGAGATATGTATCCACATTGTCCTGGAATTTTTTTTGGAAATATTAAACTGCCAGTTTTTGATTGAGACTATTAAAAAACCCGTCTTTACATTAAAATTTTTCTCTAAAAAATTTTTTTAATTTAAAGAATCAATCAGCACAGTTGCAACGAGTACATGAATCTAGAGAACAATCAATTCCTGTATGTATCCCAAAATTAGACAATCAATTGGGGTTTCAATATACACTTGAAGCACCGATCTCTACATCTATTAGAAAAGAAGATGACAGAATGTAAGGGAACAACTTTTTAAAATAATATGATTTTTAATTATTTGGGGGAAATGTTTGATTTGATATTCGGGTTTTTAGGGTTCTTTAGGTTCAGATTTCAGACATCATCCGGATTAAAGATAATTTTAATCTTGGCCATATGTTCCCTTCAGCTTACTGATTTTAAGACATAAAAATTTTCTAGGGAATTTTATTTAACTCTTAGTAATGGCCAAGAAAAGCAATTCAAAAATATAAACTTATTAAATTTTAAAGGACATATGTCAACAAAGGCCAATTTTATACTGTTTCATTTGATTATATTCTTGATTTACGGTGTCCTCTTAAAGGAATGACTGTTAGGGTAAATTAATTTTTAATTTAATAAAAATTAATTTTTAAAAAATTATTGAATTACCCCTTCTAAATTTAACGGGTCACAGCTTTTTTTTAATCACTAACTTTCTTAGTACCCAACCATTCCAAACAAATTATATACCATTCGAAAGCTCTAACTTTGCTTGTTATTTTTTCTAATGGGCCCGGGTTGATTTGATTACTCATTTGAAAAGTAAAGATGAATTAGTTGAAAAAATCGTGATTTTTGTCATTTATCAAGTACTAACTTCTTCGAAGTGATCGGAATATAAAAGGTTAAATTGAGAAAAATAATCAAATAATCCGTTAACTTCAAAAAAGGATTTCTTGCTTTGCTTTTTTAAAAGAGTTATAGTCCAAATAAAGTATCCTGGATCAGGCCAAGGATGTTACGAGTCACCAGGCACCCCATAATTATTAAATGAACTTATTAAGAAAATTAATGTGAAATCCTCATTGAAATTGGGGTCATTTTATTTTAAAAGAATCATTTTTTAATTTGGGAATTTTCACAAGAAATCAAAAAAATTTTCATGCAAAATTTCTTTAAAAAATTTCAAAATAATTATTTAATTTTTAAAGAGCCAAATAATAATAGTATTTCGAGAAGATAAATCATTTGAAGAAGAATTAAGAACTTGGCTAGTTTGGTATAAACGCCAACATTCCCCTAAACAACGCATAATTGAAATAGATGCAAAAAACTCTATGGGGGCTATTGGGGGAAATTTTGATGAAATTGCCCACAATGCTGTCCAATTTTGTTGGACGCCTGGGGAACAACCTGGGCCTAAAGTCTGTTTTGAAAAAAATTTTTAAAAAATTATTTTTTAATAAAAAAAAATTTTTTTTGATAGAAAAATAATTTTTATAATTTTTTAAATTTTATTTTTTATCAATTCAAAAAAATAATTTCCCGTAATTTCCTCAAAATAATTTAAAAGAGAAGAAGAGAAAAATATATAGTCATTTTTAAAAAGTTCCCTCTCATGTCCAGCTATAGCTCAGTTGGTAGAGCGTGGGACTGTAGAGTATACGAAGTAATCCTGATGTCGCTGGTTCGAATCCGGCTAGCTGGAATCCTTTTTTCTCTTATTTATTTTGGTTGTTTAAGATTTCCTAATTATTTTTACTTAATTTAAAAATTGTTTAAATTTTTTTTCGAATTTTTAAAATTTTTTAAAAACATTTTTAAGGTCAGCATAGCTGTGCAATGTCTTTCAACTGATTTTTCTACCCAAAAAGGGGTTAAAGGACTTCCACTTCATGTCCAAATAGATACTTATGATGATCAATCTGATTCAAAAATTCCTTTTCATAGAGGCTATTGTCAAATTAAAGTGTTTTGTGATAAGGTAAAAAAAATTTTTTTGAAAAAAATTTTTTCGTTCACTCTCTTTGTCTCTCTCATAATTTAATTATATTTTCTCTATTTTCTTTACAAAATCCTAATAAATTCTGATTTATTAAATTCTGAAAAATTCTAAAAATTAATAATTCTGACATTTATGTATTTTCTTAATAATTCTGATCTTTTTAAATAAAATTATTAGGGAGCAGAAAGAAAATTACGAGATGAAGATAAACGTGCCCACAGAAGGAAAAATAATGGAAGTAATGGAAGTGCAGGTAAAATTAATGAAGAAAAAAATTTTTTTAATTTTCTAAAAAATATTTCTCATTCCTTTCTATCCTCTTTTTTGCCTTTCTATTATTTTTTCTGCTTTTTGCCTTTTTGCTTTTTTAATTTTTAATTATGCTTTTTATTTTTTGTTTTTTTATTAAAAATTTTAAAGGGTGCAAATCGGAAAATGCTACATGAAAATAGAAGGGATGAACGACGACGAACTGGTGGAGACTTTTAATTAAATATTTAATTAATTTAAAAAATATTTTTGCTTAAAACATTTGCGGACAAACTGAAACCCCGTTGATATTGGAACAAACGATAATTAGATTATTTTAAATAATATCACCTTAATTTAGCAAACCTCCATTTTATAAGCTAAAAAGTTTAATAGTGTCCGCAAATATAGCTTTATTATTTAGCTTTTGCTTTGCTTTTATTTTTAAGAAATTAAGAAAGGATGAGAAATATAGAAAAAAAATTTTTAAATAAAAGTTTTAATTTATAAAGTATTTGGAGACATTCTAGAACAGGATAGGGGCATTTCCTTCCGATTTCCATAAGTTGTCCTTTTCTGGTATTTGATTTCTTACTGACAACTTGTGTAAGGCAAATGGATTTTTCCAATACAGGGAGTACCGAAAAGTAACGAAAAATACCGAGTCAATACTTTTGGGAGTGTTGTGGTGATTAGTGTTCGGCAAATGACCTTTTCCGGTATTCGGTATCGGTATACCGAAAAAATACCGATACCGAAAAATACCGTTTTTTACAAAAATTGACCGGTACGGTATCGGTATACCGGAAAAATACCGATACCGGAAAATACCGTCTCAATATTTTCGGTATACCGGCCGGTATTCGGTATTTTTTTAAAAATTTTATAAAATTTTTTAAATTTTATTTTTAAAATTTTAACAATATATCTTAACAATCTCAAGGACTTGAGCTTCTTCTAATCGATCATAGGCAAGATTTGAATCAGCAAAACCCTGCTTTAATATTATGTCCCCTGGAGGATGATTGAAAATTACTATGCCCCCACCATTAGAATACCCTCCTTTAATAGAATGACCCAGAAGGATAATTGAAAAATACAATGCCCCCTCTAATAGAATGTCCCTATATATCCTTTTTCAGCGCCGCAGGCGAAAATAATGAGAATTTTGGAAGACCAGAAGACAGATTTCTTCCTTTTTCAGCGCCGCAGGCAAAAATTTTGAGAATTTTGGAAGACCAGAAGACAGATTTCTTCCTTTTTCAGCGCCGCAGGCAAAAATTTTGAGAATTTTGGAAGACCAGAAGACAGATTTCTTCCTTTTTCAGCGCCGCAGGCGAAAATTTTGAGAATTTCACAAATACCGAAATACCGGAAAATACCGCTGTATTTTTTCGAGGACCGGTACGGTATCGGTATCGGTATACCGAAAAAATACCGATACCGAAAAATACCGTTTTTTTCAAAATTTGACCGGTACGGTATCGGTATCGGTATACCGGAAAAAAATACCGCGGTATACCGGGAAAAATACCGCGGTATACCGTACCGTGCCGAACACTAGTGGTGATACCGAACTGTGCCCTACTGACAACCCTGCCCTTTTAGTAAACGCTTCCCCCTACCATTCCCTAAATTTTTAAAGATTTTCCTACTCCTTTTCAGTCTTTTTTGATCATTCTCGAGAATCTGAATATAGAATATAGTTAAAAATTAAAGGAGGTCCCTTTCCGGTGTTATTCTGAGAATAAAACCAGCTGTTGGGTTTAAAAAATATAAAATTATTTTTAAGGAAGTGCAGCCCCAACTGTTAGTGGTGGAGCAAGTGGAGGTGGTGGAGGGGGAGGAGGTCGAAAGAAAATTGACAGTGGAGAATTCCACGAAAGTTGTGAAAGAAGTCAATTTTATCACAGTGCAGACTTGGAAAGGCCGGCAGCACTCTTTGTGCCTAGCGACGATTTCTTTTTTGATACAGCTTCGATTTGTTCTTATGATGCTCTATCTGAAATGGAACCACAGCCTAAAAGGCCCAAATCTTCTGAAAGGAGTAAATTTTTTGAAAATTAATTTTTGGAGTTTTCTGGGTTAACGGAAATACCTTTTTGTCCATACAGACTTATGGAAAAATTAGCCCTCCAAATTAGCTCTCCTTTGTTCCCATACCTATACCCTTCGTCTTATTATTCCAAATCCTTACTTCGGTTCTTCCTAGTGCATCTCGTTATCCATGTCTTCTTCCTTAATTTATATACCGGATTCTTCCCTCCCCTTATCTCAATTGAGAAAGAAATAAGGTTAGGACGAAGTAGGAGAGATTAGAACATGATGGAGAGAAGAGGACTGATTGTGAGTGAAGGGAAACTTCAGGGATCAAAATAGTAAGTCAAAAAGGGAAAGGCCTCTTATCTCTGTTTTATCCCTCAATTTCTCCCCTCAGTTTAATCCTTCACTTTATCTCCCCTAATTATCCACTTTTAGGATGTATGATTAAAATTAAAATTTTCTAATTTTCTAGTAATGATATACGTTCGGAAAGCAGACGAAGATGTTTTCACCCCGTTGCATTTAGTCCCGCCATCACTTGGGTAACTAACCAAAAATATTTAAAAATGTCAAAAAATTTTTAAATTTTAGTGGTTTAGCTCGTGCAATAAGCGAAAAATATAATTTAGATGAAACTAAAATTGAAGCTTTTTATAAACAATGTCAAAAGGGTGGAATTACTGTTAAAATTGATGGTTGGAATTTTTTAATGATTAAAAAACTTTAACTAATGGACCATTGGTAATCTAAGAGGAGTGAAAATCCAAGGGGATTAAGAGCATACAAAAATTTTTGAATTCAAAATGTTATAGAAAATTCTGCTGACTATTCCCCCTAGCTTCCTTCAAACACTTTAAAAATAAATTTAAACACTAACAGACCCTCCAAGCCAACTTTCGCTAGTAGCGACTAAGAAGGGTAGAGGATCACCTATACCGTATAACTAGGGTTGGATTTTTCGAACCGGGCCGACGTTCGTAATCCCCTGTCATCTTCATTTTTTTGGGCCTCATTTTTATCGAACCGGGCCGTTCGAGTCTTTTTTGGGCCAAAAGTCGAGGTCCGGTTCTATCTTTCGAACCGAACCGAACCGGGCCCACAACCCTACTTATAACGGGATATTTTTTTATTTTCGACCAGTTTTTAAGACGTTTAGGGACGGGCTGGTAGAAGAAAAACTCTTAGAAACACAGAAAAGATAAAAGATTTTATTGGATTATCCCATTTTTGTGACCAGATATCTCATAAAATTTCAATAAATTAAAAAAAAATTTTTTAATTTTCTCCAATATTTTAGATGACATGTTAAGGCATTATAGCAATCAAGACACTTTTTTAATTGAATTAAAACAATCAGAATTAGATAGACATACTTTTTATGCCGTTACTTTAATTGAACTTTTAACTGCCAACAACGACATTCCTTTAAATAAAAATAATAAAATTTTAAATTCTTTTAATATTCACCACCATCATCATCAAGATACAGCTTCAGCTACTTCCTCTTCCTCTACTAATTCAGAAAATATTTCCTCAAATCACCAACAACAGCAAAGGACATCTGCTACTGTTTGGTGAATTTTGGAGGAAGAAAATTTTTAAACCTCTATTTTATAGACAATAATTATTTTTTACCTCTAAATTGAGGACGATGTTTTTATAAGAACCTTCTATTTTATATACAGTTAGGTTATAGAGCCTTTCATTATAAAGGACGATAACTTTACTTAGGTTCCTTTCGCCCTACTAGGTATGTTCCTTACGCCCTACTAAATATGTTCCTTATGTTCCTTTCGCACTAGTGTTGAAAAATATCTTATAGAGAAAACATTGTGAAATAGTTCCTCTATTTCACGGTCTATAAAATAGAAGAAAATTATATTTTATATTTTTATTTCCAAAATTTTTAACAAATTTTAATTTTATCCAATTCCGAGTGCTAAAGCATTTATATTTTATTTTTCACTTAAAAACTTCAAAAAATAGTAATAATCTTAGATTTTTCTTCATAATTATTAAATTATAGTATATTTAAATTGCCCAAATATTCTTTTTCAAAAATATTTGTAAAAATATGAAAATATAATTAAAGACCTCTATTTAATGTACATTTTGTATAATATTGTGGACTTTGAAAAAAAATTTGAATGGACCCCTCGATAGTATGAGCTCTTGATAGTGGAGACTCTCAATAATAGAGACTTTCGATAGTGGAGACTCCCTAATTAACTGACTCTCGATAGCAGAGACTTTTTGGAGACATCAAATTAATCTATCCACATAAGTCTCTTATAAAGGGAGTTAAAAATATTTTTAAAAAATTTATCCATAAAATAGAGGTCTATAAAGAATTTAAATATAAATTATTCTTAAAAATTCCTCTATTTCACTTGTGTATATTTTTATTTCCCTCAACTGTGATATATTGCAATGAATAAATTTATTTAACACAAAATTAATTATATTTTATTTTTCCTCAAAAATATTTTCTAATTTTTTATTTAAATTTTCTTTTGTTTAATTATTTAAATAAACTGCCTTTTTTTTCTTTTTTTTATGGAATTTATTTGTTGAGGGAGAAGGAAAACAAAAATTGCAACGTTTCATTTATACGTTGAGAGTAAATAAAATAAAATATATTTTATAAGAGTGGTAAGCCAGTCAATAGCATAAACTGAACGGGGAAAGAAAATTATGATTATTCTCGATATTTAATTTAAAAATCAATTGTTTCCTTTTCGAATTTCATTCATTGAAATTTTTTTAATTTATAAGACATTTTATAAAGGCTATTGACTAGAAACCGGACTAAGAGTGTCATACGAGAATCGAGATCTAGAAAAACTCTCGATCTCGATAACCGAGATTTTCTATCAAGATCTCGTCTCGGTCTCTACTATTGACTGTCTTCCGCTTTGTTTACTTTCACCAAATATTTTATGAATTTATTATCAGTCGACAGTCTATTTACTTCTTTCCTATACTTCCCTCTCTTTAAATAGATTAAGGGAATTCTCATTTAACGTTAACAATAAATTCTTCGTGGAGCTTATTTCAAATGATAAATAATGAGCAACAATTATCACATTCGAATAAAGTCCCTCAATGGAGGCTTTATCATATTTGAAGATTTTCAGGAATATTTAGTTGTTAAAAATCCTCCTGTGTAAATTACCGTAGCTACTTAGAAACTTCCTTGACACACTCCATACTCAAATAGGCCTTTTATTTTTTATTGTCATGGTGTATTTTAATTTAAAAGTTCTTTAGAGTCTAGCCTCCCTTTTTATTCCCTTCTCCACAACCTTGCTACTTCCTTTAAATTCACTTCAACAATGTCAAAAGGTACAGTTTTGGTTACAGGAGCAGCTGGATTTATCGGCTCACATACAGTTCTACAATTATTGGAGGCGGATTATGAAGTTTTGGCATTAGATAATTTTAGTAATTCAATTCCACAAGGTTTTTGGGAATTTTAAAATTTATTTTTTTTTTGTTTAAAAATTTTAGATGAAGGGAAGAATAATGCTGTTAGTTTGCAAAGAGTTTCTGAATTGACTGGAAAGATTATAAAGTAAAAAAGAATTTTTTGCGGATAATAATTGCGGACAGAATTCCCCTTGTAATTATGTCCACAAAATTTTTTGCGGATTTTTATTTCCCTCAAAAATCTGTTTGCAAAAGTTTTGCGGATTTTAGGTCTCTCAGAAATTTTGTCCGCAAATATTTTGCGGATTTTTTTTAATTTAAATTTTTTTTTAGATTTTTCCAAGCTGACGTTCTTGATTTACCCAAATTAGAAGAACTTTTTACAAAGGTCAAAATTAATTCAAAGAATTATTTTTTCTATTTTTTAGGAAAAATTTCGTTCAATTATTCATTGTGCTGCTTTAAAATCTGTTGGTCAGTTAATTAAATTTATTTCCTTCAATTATTTTTTTAATTTTAGGGGAATCTGTGGCCAAACCTTTGGACTATTATAACAACAATATTGTTGGCTCTCTTAATTTAATTAAGGTTTTTATTAGGTTTTGAATATTTTGCGGACTAACCTATCTTATTGAATTTGTCCGCAAATAAACTTCCGGACAATATTTACAGATTTTTTAGGTTGAAAATCGAACTAGCCTTTAAAGTTAAACCATAAATCTTTTAGAACTTATGCTGGGTGCTTTTTGAAAATTTTAAAATTATAATCCGCAAATATTTTCCGCAAATGCTGTCCGCAAAATTAGAAAATATTTAAAAAATTTTTTTTTATATTTTTGTAGTGTTGTCAAAAATTTAATGTCAAAGAATTCATTTTCTCGAGTAGTGCAACTGTTTATGGAGAACCAGAGTCTTTACCCTTAACTGAGGAAAGCCGTGTTGGTTTGGGAATTACTAACCCTTATGGACAAACTAAATTTATGGTTGAACGAATTCTTATGGATTTGAAACGAGCTGAACAGGTTTTTCTGAACTTTAAATCTTGGGATTAAAGCAAGCCGTTTTTGGATTTTTTTTAGTTAAATAATTTTTGCGGATAAAATTTTCATTTTGCGGATGGTCTGAAAATTTTGGGACTTTGGAGGGCCATATCTTAGCCAGATTAAATCACGGGCAAAAACGGCACAAAATCCTTGCTAGAAAGGGCACATTCTCTATCGAATGAGCCCGGTCTCGACCGTTTTTAGGTCGGACACCTCGCAACCTTTCCTTGTTAGTTTTAATAAATCTTTAAAAAATTATTTTTAAAGGACTGGAAAATTTCAATTCTTCGTTACTTCAACCCTGTTGGGGCACATCCAAGTGGATTGATTGGTGAAGATCCTCAGGGAATTCCAAACAATTTGGTTTAATTTTGTTTAAAATATTTTTTAAATTTATTTTTTAAAGATGCCTTACATCGCAAAAGTAGCTGTTGGAAAGTTGCCTCATTTAAATATTTTTGGAACAAATTATAACACTCCTGATGGTACTGGAGTTCGTGATTATATTCACATTGTTGATTTGGCTAAGGTTTTTTAAATTTCTTTTTCTGACGGTCAGACAAATATTTTTTCAATTTTTCATCCAAAAGTTTCTTACTTGAAAAAATTTTTGAATGTCAAATTGGGTGATTATATTAAATCAATTTACCCTCAAAGTTCCCTAGAATTTAGATTTACTAGCTTGTATTTGATTTTTAAATATTTTTCATGTCTCTGGGAAAGGAAAGGTCATATCGTGTCGTACATATCGTTATAAAATTACCCAACATACCATTTTTAGAGCTAAAAATCATTTTGGGTTTTGCTGTTAATTTACGCTTCTTTAAATAATTATTTTTATTTTTTAAGGCTCACGTTTCTGCACTAGATAATATTGGCAAAGATATACCAAAAGGAAGTAATGGAGAAGAATTGGCAGAAATTTACAATTTGGGAACTGGAAAGGGATATTCTGTTGGTTTTCTTTGAATGAAAAAAATTATTTAAAAATTTTAGGTCAAAGAAATGGTTGCTGCTTTAGAGAAGGCGTCAGGGAAAAAGGTTCTAATTTTCTTTAATTTATTTTAATTTCTTTCCCTTCTTTTAAAGTTAGCAGTAAAAGAAGTAGAGCCTCGCCCTGGAGATTTGGCTATTTTATATTGTGATCCTTCTTTGGCACTCAAAAAACTTGGATGGAAAGCGGAATATGGAATAGACGAAATGTGCAGGGACACTTGGAATTGGTGTGTTAAAAATCCTGATGGATTTGCCAAAAAGGCAGAATGAGGGGTTTTTTGGAGATTTCTTTTCTTTTTACCCGGTTGTTAATTCTTTAAAATTTAACTTTTCTTTCTTAAATGCCTTTTTCTTTATAATTATTTAATAAGGTTATTCACTACTGATTATTAACCGGCATCTGATTATGAGTCTTAAGGATTTTATTTTGGGTGAATTTTTTTAAATCTCAAACGTCTTCGGTTTTAAAATCAGTCATGAATGATTCTAAATATTTAACTCTTTATTTAATTAATTTTCTTAATTTATTTTTGGATTTTTCTTGTAATTTAAAAGTTATTATTGTGATTGTTTTGTTGAAAATAACAAATAAATTATTCTAAAATTAAAATTCAAGATTTTGATCCATCTATGGTTTCATTTGGAACAGATAACTTTTGAAAAGCAAAAACTTTATACATTGTAATTACTTCCCATTCACTTTTTGAAATTGTGCCCTGAAAAAAAAAGAAAATTTTTTAATCCCTCGAAAATCATTCCAAAGTCTAGGTTTCAAAAAATTTTTGGGCTTTATTTAGGTTTTCCTTAATTAAGGTTCTAAAATCCGACACTAGAATATCTTTCAAGAATTTAAAAATTAATTAAATTAGCATGTGAATCCTTAAAAAATCTCCTTGAAAATCCAAAAAAAACCCCTTCCCCTCCAATAAACTAACCACTCTTTCCTCGTTTCCACTCTTCAATTTAGTAATTGCCGGTCCAAATTCTTCCTCATCTGCTTCAGAAAATTTGTTTTTGTCCAAAATCTCCAAAGCATCCATTTTCTGCATTAAATCAATTGCTTCATTTCCTCTCTCTTTTAAATAATTATTTATGGCATCGGGAAAATCATATTCATAAATTAATTGAAAGCCCATTTCTTCTAAAATTCTAAAAAAAAAGTTGATTTTAAATCTAAAGAAAAAGGGGATGAAAAAATTGAAAGTAGAATAAATTCTAATAATCGGACCTCATTAAAAGAGGATCTCCAGAATTAGCCAGGTGCCTAGCTTATATAAAAATAAATTTTCGAGAATCGGGTTCCGTGTTATGTATACTTTTTTTAAATAAAAAATCTGGTTGGACACTAGATGGGGAAAGGAGGCTGCCTAACAAATAGGAGAGATACCATGGATACACTTGATTCAAGATACAAACGATTTTTCAGCCCAAGGAGTATCTTATAGAGTAATGAGGACAGATTATTCACTTAAAAATTTTTAGTGATTTTCTAATTCCAAAAACTTTAAGTTTATAAAATATATAAAAAAATACTTTTGAAGCAGAGGAAAGTAGCACAAATATTCTGGGCAGTCAACAACCCCCTCCAATCTAAAACGAATTTCAGCGCCAAACGGAGGAATTGGGGATTCTTCATCTAGAGAGAAATTATTTCCCAAAGAAACACTGCAAACACGATTAGAAAAATTGCCAGCAGATTTACGCAGATATTGACTAAAATTTTTTTAATTAAAAAAATTCCTTTAGACAGGGCCGTAACCAAGGGAGATCCCACTCTTGCCCCCCTCCCCCGAAATGAGGGAAAAGGAAAAAATTTTGGGAGGGGATTGAGGAAAAAAGTGAATTGCCTAAGTCCTTCTGAACTTCTTCCCACCTTGGCCCCTCCCCTCTCGAAAAAAAATTCCTGGTTACGGGCCTGCCTTTAAAAATTTAAATTTTTCCCTTACACAATAGCTGAAGCATTTGTAATTGTCCCAATAAAATATCCCCCAACTTGAATCATTTTTGTACAATTTTCAAGCATTTTTCGAGCACATTGTTCAGAACGGAAAGCATAATGAAGTGCAAATTGACAACTGGCAATTTCAAATTGTTTAGGTGCTTCTTTTGGTAAACAGTCAGGAAGATCGACCTATTAAATAAAAAATTTTAAATTAAATTTTGGAGAAATTTTGGGGAAAAAATTTAGAAGTCTTTAAAAATGGCATAAAAACCAAAAAAATTAAAGGGCAACCTCGCAAAAGGGGTGGGCTAGATATAACACATTTCCTCATTATACGGCCACGCCTAAAAGGCCCCAAACTGTTGAGAATGCATATTTTTCTCTTTGGACGAAGTTATGGCCATACAAGTTTTGTCTAGACGAAGTTTTGGTAATTCGGAGTTCTGCCCCTGGCAATCCCGGAGAATTGGGGTTTCTTCGAAAAAAAAGTTTAAAAATAAGAAAAAGCAGGTAGAACTGCAGGTAGAACTCATCGAGATGCATCGAATGACACCAAAATCGATGAAATCCGACATGATTGGACCGAGATACAGACCCCGGAATATTGAAAAACCACAGGGGTGATTTTTTGGAGTAAAAAAAATTTGTACAAATGATAGCTCATTCGAAAGAGCTCGTCGAGCTGAGTCGAGTGACACCAAAATTACAGTGCTTCATCAAGTTTTGACAAAGTTATGACATAAGTCGCCGACTCCTACAGTACTCCCATAGGTATACTTTTTGTCATAACTTTGTCAAAACTTTACCGATCACTGTGATTTTGGTGTCATTCGATGCAGCTCGACAAGCTCTTTCGAATGAGGTATCATTTGTATATTCGAAATTCGGGTTCAGGGTTCGAAATTTGGTTCGGGTCCGGGATTCGACTTCTTCAAAATCTGAGTTCAGATTCGTGATCAGCATATTTTTTTACCCTAGAAAAATCCTTTTTCTTATTTTTAAACTTTTTATTCGAAGAAACCCCAATTCTCCGGGATTGCCCTGCCCCTCACACCCGAATTCAACGGACAGGGTTTGGACTTATTTAAAATATTTTTATTTAAAAAACAAAAAAAATTACTTCAATTAAATCAGCCTGTACAAAATGAGCATTGAAAGGTAAACGTCTTGTCTTCCGATCTCTCATCCTGTTAAAACGATCTCTGCAATCTTGAAGAGAAACTTCAGCTATGTCTTTAAAGACTAATTTTAATTTAAAAAAATATTTAAAATAAACCAATCATAACAATTTCATCGATTCCTCCAACACGCCATTTTCGAAGATCCCCACCTTTACCACAAGCCAAATCGAGTACTCTTATTTGTTCCGAACCAAATTTTTCGCTTTGTGATTTTAATCTATCAAGTGTGTCAGCTAGAAAAATTGGGGAAAAAATTTAGAAATTTTCTGGGGAATTTGGGGATTGATAAAGAATTAATGGGGAAGACATTTGATCCCACAAATCTCTTTCCAACAAATTTCTTAAAATAAATCAAAACTCAAACCTATTAACATACTCTTCATCCAATTATTCAAGTTTCTAAGGTGAAGAATGCTGCTATTATTTCTTTTTTGAATTCCAATCTCAGGGATCGCATTATAATGTGAAGCAACTAAAGAGGATGAAGGGAGTGAAATATCTTCATTTTTAAGATTTTCTGAAGTGTTGTTAATTAATTTGCTTAAATCAGCCATTTAAAAAATTCTACCAAAAAAATAAAATTAAAAAAAGTCCAACAATTAATTAACAACTTCCCCATAGTTCAACAAACTTTTTATCTTGCCATAGAACGGTCATTAAAAATGTTCAAGACTCAACTGTCCAAGACTCAAAATAAATAAATTATTTGTGTCTGCCATTAAAAATTAGTGTTAAATAGAGAAAATAATTAGAGGAAATATAGAGAGAGATAAAGAGAAAAACAAAGAAAATATAAAATATAAAAATGATATATAGATAAAAAGAAATGAGAAGAGATAATGTAGTTTTTAATATATTCTCGGTCAAATCCATAACTGACATTTTGTATTGATTTTTTAAGTTTACATAAATTGGTGATGATTTTATTTTATGAGGCAAACTAAGTTTTGATGGGGATCTTTTTTGTAAGATCCGATTTTTGGGTTGATGTTTGTGTTTAATTAATGTGTTTGAGATGTGTGTATGTGATTTTGAGTAGTACTGCAAGTTGTTGTTTTGTTTTAAATTTTGACTATGTTGTGGTTTTTTTTGTTGTTGTGATGTTTGATTGTTTTTGTTGTTTTCTGATGTTTGTTTGCTGTTTGTTGAGTTTTCTTTTGTTTTGTTGATAATAACTTTAATGAACAAAACATGTTTTAAATGTTTTTGGATTTTGTTTGTGTTTTTCATGTTTATTTCTAATTCTGATTTTTTGTGTTTTTATTTTGGCGCAATTCCTATTCGTTGTATTTATTCTACGGCCTAACACCTCTTTTGGTGATTTTTGCACTTCAAAACATGCTAAAAACAAGAGGCAACATTTTGCCAAAAGACTTCGCCCTAACTCAAAAATTTTTTTATTTCAAACTTAAAGGGTAAAAAGCAAGTCATTGAGAAAAATTTTGTAGTTTAAAGCTACAAATCAAATAAAAGGAAACCTATCAACCAAACAAACATTTTTATTTATCACATACAACGAAAAAAAACATCGATACAAACAAATTATTTAGACAACACAAGCTAATAAAATATACCTATACATATTTACTACAAATAACAAAATAAATTTTGAATTTATTTTCTTTCCCCTTTTCTTTCATCAACACCAATCGAACGGTTCTTTTAAGGTGCACCTCTTGCGTTTTGCCACTCGTTTGACCATAAGACAAAGCCAGTCAAAATCCATTTTATTAGCATATTCTTTTTTGGTCAAATAATTCATAATCTGCCTCAATTCCAAAAACTGAAAAAAACAAAAATAAATTATTTAACACATTTGTTCGAAAAACCTCCTGTCCTGGAAACAGTTTTTCAGTATTTTTGAAAACTTCTTCCTTCATATCTGCAACCACTTCAACATTTGTTTCATATCGCCAAGGAACATTTGCCCGCAGAATTAAATCAGCCAAAGAATAAATCCAACTCTCAAGGTCGTCCTTAAAGCCAGATTCCATGCCACTATGCATTGCACGGGGAGCGAACTTGACGGTTCCTTTAAACTGCACCTGTAAAATCAAAAAAATTTGTTTTTTAGTCAAAAAAGGAAATCGAACTAGCCTTTTTTCTAGGAATTTCGAGCTTCCCATCAGTTCCAACAATCTTCCGGGAATTTCCGTAGTCTATAATATGCACAATATTTTTAGAGCTTGTTTTTGACCGGCCTAAGACGAAGTTGGATGGCTTAATGTCACGATGAACAAAGCCTAAAGCATGGAGTTGTTTTATCGATTCAAGCATTTGGATTCCACAGTAAAGGCCAGAATTGATACTGAAAAAAAATTTTTATTTGGATAAACCCCCCCTTTTTAGACCTAAGGATTTTCGTGGGCTGTTTAGCCTTGATATCAGCTAGAGAGTCGCCTAGAAGCGAAATTACAAGAAACATCGATGTTGGCGATTCAATACTTCGGTCATACAGAACAGGAAAATGCTGTTTTTGTTCTTTCGATAGAGTTTAAGCAGCTTGCAAAACTTTAAGTTCCATTTCAAGTTTGAAGAAATTTTTGTTTGGTCGTCTTTTCTCCTCTTTCAGGGCAAACAATGACTTATCACCCCAGGTTGCTCTGATTTGGTAAACAGCGGCGAAAGGCCCAAACGAGAGGTTTTTTAGCACATTATAGGTTTTACCACTCAAACTAAAATTATTGAAATTATTAAGATAGGGATGGTATTAAGATTATAAAGGAATCATAAGCTTATGGTAAAAATTTTACCAAGTTATAAGATCGCCAGCCTGTATTCCTGTAGGTGTTGGTGTAGAAACTTCAGGCACTGTTGGTTGACGTTGTTGCTGAAGGTGATGATTTTCCGGTGGCTCTTGAAGATGTTGTCGATTCACGCGTGTCCAGTCGATGGATTCGCGGTTAAAGTGCGTCGGTAAATTTGACATTTCTTATTTGAGAAGGGTTGTTTGAGAAGGGTTGAGAAGGGTTTGCGTGTTTGTTTGTTTGTCTGTTTGTCCTTTTATAGACACGTGGATGTATAAAAGCAGGCTATTTTGATCATTCCTCAACTGCTTTCAACAATTCAACTCTGCTGTGCTCTGTTCTACGTCTACTTTTGCTGGAGTCTTGTGTCCTGTTGAGCTAGGCGTCAACGTTCATGTGTCAAGTGCTAGACGTCAACGTTCATGTGTCAAGTGCTAGACGTCAACGTTCATTTTAAGTGCTAGGCGTCAACGTTCATGTGTCAAGTGCTAGACGTCAACGTTCATGTGTCAAGTGCTAGACGTCAACGTTCATTTTAAGGGCTAGGCGTCAACGTTCATGTGTCGAGTGCTAGACGTCAACGTTCATTTTAAGGGATAGGCGTCAACGTTCATGTGTCAAGTGCTAGACGTCAACGTTCATTTTAAGGGCTAGGCGTCAACGTTCATGTGTCAAGTGCTAGACGTCAACGTTCATTTTAAGGGCTAGGCGTCAACGTTCATGTGTCAAGTGCTAGACGTCAACGTTCATTTTAAGGGCTAGACGTCAACGTTCATGTGTCAAGTGCTAGACGTCAACGTTCATTTTAAGGGCTAGGCGTCAACGTTCATGTGTCAAGTGCTAGACGTCAACGTTCATTTTAAGGGCTGGGCGTCAACGTTCATGTGTCAAGTGCTAGACGTCAACGTTCATTTTAAGGGCTAGACGTCAACGTTCATGTGTCAAGTGCTAGACGTCAACGTTCATTTTAAGGGCTGGGCGTCAACGTTCATGTGTCAAGTGCTAGACGTCAACGTTCATGTGTCAAGTGCTAGACGTCAACGTTCATTTTAAGGGCTAGGCGTCAACGTTCATGTGTCGAGTGCTAGACGTCAACGTTCATTTTAAGGGATAGGCGTCAACGTTCATGTGTCAAGTGCTAGACGTCAACGTTCATTTTAAGGGCTAGGCGTCAACGTTCATGTGTCAAGTGCTAGACGTCAACGTTCATTTTAAGGGCTAGGCGTCAACGTTCATGTGTCAAGTGCTAGACGTCAACGTTCATTTTAAGGGCTAGACGTCAACGTTCATGTGTCAAGTGCTAGACGTCAACGTTCATTTTAAGGGCTAGGCGTCAACGTTCATGTGTCAAGTGCTAGACGTCAACGTTCATTTTAAGGGCTAGGCGTCAACGTTCATGTGTCAAGTGCTAGACGTCAACGTTCATTTTAAGGGCTGGGCGTCAACGTTCATGTGTCAAGTGCTAGACGTCAACGTTCATTTTAAGTGCTAGGCGTCAACGTTCATGTGTCAAGTGCTAGACGTCAACGTTCATTTTAAGGGCTAGGCGTCAACGTCCATGTGTCAAGTGCTAGACGTCAACGTTCATTTTAAGTGCTAGGCGTCAACGTTCATGTGTCAAGTGCTAGACGTCAACGTTCATTTTAAGGGCTAGGCGTCAACGTTCATGTGTCAAGTGCTAGACGTCAACGTTCATTTTAAGTGCTAGGCGTCAACGTTCATGTGTCAAGTGCTAGGAGTATATTGAAGCAGCGGGAATTGTGAAGCAGGCGGAATATTGAAACAGGGGGAATTGTGAAGCAGGCGGAATATTGAAACAGGGGAAATTGTGAAGCAGGCGGAATATTGAAGTAGCGGGCAGGCGGAATATTGAATGTGAAGCAGGCGGAATATTGAAGTAGCGGGCAGGCGGAATATTGAATTGTGAAGCAGGCGGAATATTGAAGTAGCGGGCAGGCGGAATAATGAATTGTGAAGCAGGCGGAATATTGAAGTAGCGGGCAGGCGGAATATTGAATTGTGAAGCAGGCGGAATATTGAAGCAGGGAGCCTTTTTTCTCTTTCAAAGTATTGGCTTCCACAGCTTGGTACTTCAATGCGCTTGTAGGGCGCTGTACTTTAATGCGCTTGTACTTCTTTCTGAATTTGGCATAAATAAATGCCATTCTGCTCCAAGAGAGCGTGTACATCCGTTCGTATCTTTACATTTCTTTGCTGGCTTTGGGTTTTGCCTTGGACGTTTGCGACGTTAGTGATTACTTTTTTGGCGAATTTGAAATATTTTTTAAAAACTACACCATATATCATTTTAAAATTCACAGAAAAGCTGAAGTTGACTTGGTGGTCGTGTTGAATTCTTCATTGTTTTTCTGTGCTGATGTTTTCTAGGAGTTGGCGTCATCTGTTGTTGTACAAACAAACATGCTTTTTTAATATCTAAATTGAATTGCTATCAAGATTGGCTTCTTCTATGGACACTTCCAAGCAATATCTCCTTTAAAAATATTCTTTTAAAAATCTCTCCTCTTCTAGATTATCTACTATATCCACTGTGCTCACACGAACGAACTTCACAAACAAAAGAAAGTACAAGAGAAGATAAGGCTAAAACACTTCAAGCCCAATAACCAAAGGGTGTATGTTGGGTGGAGGGGAGCAATTTGCAGTGTGATAGTAATTATGTCACAAAGAAACGTGACATGTCTACTAAAATTTATAAGCATAACTTATTAAAATAATATTTAACGAGTCTGTATCGACATCAAGATTTAAAAATTATTAAATACATTTTAAAAATTTATATTAACAAGTTTACCAGAACTTATAAATATTATTAAGTCCTTTCATAAGAGGACTGGCTTTGGATAAAGGGCGCAATTTAATTTAATTTGAATTAAACATTTTATATTAAGTAAACTTGACTAAAAATATAAATGATTCTAGAGCTACATACAAGGAGAAGTTTTTTCAAAGGATTCTTTTTCTAATACATATTTAAAAACATTACAAGTACATCAAAATTTCTTGAGTATAACTTTATTTAAAAGTTTTTCTAAATATATTTTGTAACTAGTCAGTACCGTTGATTAAAAAATCGGGTGCAGTAACTTTATTTTACTCGTCTTTAATTATGATTATACTCAACTAATATACATATTTATGATATAATATAATATATTATATTAAGTAAATTGTTAAAAATTTCTTTACTTTTCTCCTAACAAATTTTTTTTTACAAATGTGAGACTAAGAGGTGTTTTGTAGCAAATTTTAAGGGCTTTCAAATTAGCCTATAGAAAAATTTAAAATATACACTTAACAAGAATAACCTTGTTTTAAATTAAATTCTGCAGGAATTGAACTGGTAAAATTTGTTGGATTTTCATTTTTAATTGGATTCCTCAGTGTTCTTCACAATTGAACAGTTTATGGTACATGCGGAAAAAAACTACAAAAATATCTCAATTTAAAATTCTCCGTTAAAATATTCAGGGAGTTAACGGCCGAGAAATTGAAGGGTATATTTGGAGGTTTTGATCATTTTTAATGTAAAATCAGATATGCCTAAAATAAAATTTTTAATTTAATCTCTAGGGGGTTAAAATATTTTTTAAGTACTGTACCCCAATTTTTCGTTGATTATCAAGATATGAGATCTTGATGAAGAAATAGGTTACAGACTTTGTTTTTTTATTTTTTCTACTCAGTATCGATGTAAATTTTCAGAAAATTTTTTATAGAATTTTTGACCGAAACTAACGTCGATATTTTTAATTTTAATTAGCTTTGTCCTATCTTTTTTCCATCCCAAAAATTGAGTTGTATGTATTTTAAATGTTTTGTAAAAGTAAAAGGTAATATTTGTAGTCATTTGATAGAGGATAAATTACTCAATAATTTTTGTCAATTTTTTCTCCTATAAGTTTAAAATTCGAAAGATAATTTAGTAAAGGAAAAATTGGTGCTTTTGGTCCTCTTCTTTTCCGGCACAGTATGTAACAAATAGAAGTAGCTTTTTGCGCGCTCAGTAAATAAGAGCGTTTAAAAAGCTACTAAACTGTTCATAAAAATTTTTTTAACTTTAACTTTTTTTTAATCTTTTTATATGTATGTAGAAATTTGAAATTAATTTTACAAATTTTCAAAGGTTGTAACCTGAAACTTTTAACGTTAAGGCAAACTTTGGTCTTCATTTCTGGGTACTTTTCCGTTATCATTAAAAATGCTTTTAAATGCCATGAATACGGAGAAAATACGGCTCTACTCCAGTTTATGCGTCCAATCGACTTTTATGCGTCCAATGAAAGTTTATGCGTCCAATCAAACTTTATGAGTCCAATTAAAAAATAATTGGATTTTTCTTGGTATTGCCAGGTTGGGGTATGGGTCCAAAGAATTTTTTCATGTTCGGGACCTACGCCCACTGGGTCTGGGACCGTTCCTTACCCTATCTCTCGAAATTTCGAAAAGTTATAGCCAATTTTTAAAATTTTCAGAAAACAATTATGACTTTCCGAAATTTCGAGGGAT